AGACGGAATATCTAGGATCTACGGATTGGGATGTGATTGTCAGGTCGTCGGCGTATAAGTATATGTTGGTGTTGGGGGGATGTGGGATGTCGGAGTTGTAAATGGTGTATAAGTGTGGGGACAGGACGGTGCCCTGGGGGACACCGGCCTCCATGGGACGGGTGGTGGAAAGGGAATCTTGGATTTGGATGCGGAATTTTCGGTGGTGTAGGTAGGATTTTATGAGTTTGGTAAAGGATATGGGATATTGGTTGGTGAGCATTTTCATCAGTAGGCCTTCATGCCAAACCGTATCGAAGGCCTTTGCGACGTCCAGGAAGACAGCACTAGTGTACTGTCCCCTGTTGAAGGCCGGCAAAATTAACCAGAACTACAAACACAACAAGATTTATAATTATTTTTTAGAAATTCTTTATAGATAAATTTATAAATTCTATACTACTCAAAAAGCTATGAAAAATATAGGAATTATTAATATTAATTATGAAATCGCAACTTGATAAAGTTTTTTGAACACACCCCCACTTTTCCGACGTCAAAAATCAATACATTAACATATTGGAATAAAATCAACAAATAATTAAGGGATAGACAAATAAATTTTTGTGTTATGCATAGATAATAATTTTAAAAATAAAGGATGACTAAATAAGAAAATAATAAATAATAAGTTGACGTTATAGATGGTTTATTGACGTACCACGTACTTTGTAGTGACCCATCATCGAATCGATTGTTTTGTTTCACAACAAGCAAAAAGAATCTAGGGTTCGTTTCACAGTGTATTATTAAACATTAATTGTTAAATTTCGGTGATTTTAATTATAATGAAGTTTCAATATAAGGAGGAGCATCCATTTGAAAAGAGGAAATCCGAAGGAGAAAAAATCAGAAGGAAATATCCTGACAGGGTACCTGTAAGTATATCAAAATTTTGCATAACAAAGACATTACTTTTGAAAGGTATCATATGGAAGAAATGGATTGTTTTTAAATTACAATTTTGTATTGTGTTGAATTATGCGAAGTTATACGAATTAAGACTTTTTGCGATACAATGACGTATTTTTGTTTGGCAAGCATTTGTTTTCCTTACGTCGTAAATATGGCGATTGAAGGTCATCTGATTATTGAATATATTTTTTAATGGAAAGTGGATAATTATATTAAAACATTTTTTCTATTTCGTTTAGGTAATCGTTGAAAAGGCACCGAAAGCTCGCATTGGAGATGTTGACAAGAAAAAGTATTTGGTCCCATCTGATTTGACAGTGGGACAGTTTTATTTTTTGATCAGAAAGAGGATCCATTTGAGGCCTGAAGATGCATTATTTTTCTTTGTAAATAATGTTATTCCTCCCTCATCCGCGACAATGGGATCTTTATATCAGGTAAAGTGATTTGTGTTGTTGATTTTTGATAAGATATGCGATATAATCTTGATGTATTATAATTGTGTTTATTTAATTTTGATTCACCGTCTAGTAAAAATTTCTATTTAGATTGGCTTGTGTGTATATTATTTAGTTCAGAAATTCAAATTTTTGTATTTAAATATAAAAGAAGCAATTTTCTAGTATTCTAGTATTAGTATTGCTATTATTTTTACGTTATCTCCATATGTTTAAATTGTTTGAAGTTCGAGTCATGAGCAGTTGGCATAATAAAAAATATTTGAGTGTAGATAACACATTATTAATAAACAACAGTACCGTTTGACAATTAATTATTTGGAAGACCACAATTAAATTTCTTGCCTGTTATTTTATATTCATTCTAGCTATTGCAGTAACTCAATATATGACAGTTGTTTACATGTTAAAAAAAGCACTGCTCGCCTAAATACAAAAATATATGGATCTTCTTGACATTGCCAACAAACAGCAGTGAGTTTGATAATTGTAGGTAAAAATAGAAACTTTGAAGGACGGATAATTATTGTTTAACAAAAAATAGGAATCAGTTTTGATGATATTTGTTTTTACACAATATTGCATAACACGGTGCAATTTATGGTTAACTTTATTGTGCAGATTGCTTTAAATAGTGAATTATCAAAATGAATGAATCATACAAAACTAAATTTTAATTAAAGAAAAATATCTATTTTGGAACATTTAAAACGTAAGTCGTGAAATGATGATTTAGTTTCGTTGTTTATTATTTGGTGCATTGTGTTATTACTATTTCATTTACTTTAAATTAAAAATATTTTTTTTACTTTTGATTTATTAAACTTATATTTGATAAAGATATTTAGTAAAAATATATCGTACAACATTGAATTTAAATTTTTACTATTTTACATTCGCAAATTGTCAAAAAGTTGTAAAATTTGATATAAAAAAGTTGTTTTAAATTGACAAAATGTAACCAGAAAACTGAAATAGTATTTTTTATTTCCCTTTAAATTTTATCGATGACTAGTTTGGGTTCGAAGGCTAAGTACTGTCGACAGTCTTGGCTCCCATAAAAATTTATAGGCCTACTTTATAAATTCTTATCGCTGTTTTTGGGACTTTCCAACTTTTTTAAGTGAAAAAAATGTGCTTGTGTATTATCGATACAACGTACCCTTTTCAAGATAAGCATATTTAATGATAAAGATACCATACAATTTCCAACATATTTTAATACTAATAAATACCCGAAAACAACAATAATTGGTTCTTTATATACGAAAATAAATATAATGTCAAATGACATTTGATGTTACATAATTATTTTGTTGCATAAATAACTCATTTTTCTTTTCATGTAATTATTACTAAGATATGTCAAAAATAGTATGTTGCCCCGATTATTAAATGCATTTATCTAGAAAAAGTATGAAATTCTTAAAAGCTGCAATAAAAATTTAAAAGTAGGCCTATAATTTTTTTGAGAACCAATATTACCGAAGGCACTCTGCTTCCAGACTCCCAAAGTAGCTGTCAGTAGTAAATTGAATACAAACATAATAGAAATTTCATTGAAAAACAAAAATATTAAACGAAAAATCAGTTTTCAACTGTCGACTTCAATAACTCTATAAGGGTAAGATCCGAACAGAAAAAATTTATATAAACTTGCAAATTCTACCTAAATCCAAAGTATTTCCCATAATTTTCTAGATACCTTTATAGAGAAACTCCTATATCAAATTTCAATTTGGACCTCTCCATATACTCGGACTGTGAATTAATTTTGAGGGCTTTATTGTGAAAAATTGTTTACATTAATATTTTTCAAAGTATTGTCTTCGCTAGCCACTATTTTTTCTCATCTTTGTGGCAGCATATGGACCCCACGTCAAAAGAACAACTCATCTTTTGATGATATCCATCAATCGATCCAATTTTTCCTATCCGTAAGATTGGAATTGATTTTAGAGAAAAATGTTCGACAGATGAAATATGCGCAATAAAAAGACCTACAAAATACAGCCTGATAGTTAAAATCGGATGAATTGTTTAAAAGTTATTGCAAAATACATAAAAAAAACGTGGCAAAACAGCATTTTTTTTATTATCCATAACATTATTTGTTGAATTTTATAAATATGCATAAAAGTTGTGAGTATTATTGTTCCTCAAAACTGTGCAAAAGATGGGTGCTGTGGGTCCAATAGTTTTTGTAAAATTTTATTTATTTATCATCAAGGGCCAAATTGCATAACTTTAACCTTCTGTCTTTCCGAAAGTTATTAACAAAAAAGGGTTTAGAAAGTAGATTTTTAATGCAAGACTTAGTTTTGTATTTAAACGGGATTTTGATTTATTGCCAGGGACTCTTTTGATTTGTATATTAAAAAATTGTCTTTTTTACCACTTCTTTTTTATAAACATTTAGATTATCTCCAGAACTATGCATAATATTTAATTATAAAAACTGCAATTGTATAATCGATTAAAAAAAATCTAAATGTTTACAAAGAAAAATGGTTTTAAAAAAAACTATTTTTTAATGTAAAAATCAAAAGGGGGTCTAGCAATAAATCAAAATTCCATTTAAATATAAAGCTAAGTTAGGTTTTAAGCTTTAACAATCGACTTTCTAAATCCTTTTTTGTTAATAACTTTCGGAGAGACAGAATGTTAAAATTTATACACTTTTCCCCTTGACGGGATAATAAATAGAATTTTGCAATGCTATAGTGCCCACAGCACCCATATTTCGCACAGTTTTGAAGAACAATAAAACACAACTTTTAGACATTTATCAAATTTCAACAAATAACCAAATTATGGATAATTAAAAAAATGCTGTTTTTCCATGTTTTTTATGTAGTTTTGCAATAACTTTTAAACAATTTATCCAATTTTAATTTCTCAGGTGACATTTTGTAGGTATTTTTATTGCGCATATTTCGTCTATTGAACATTTTTCTCTAAAATCAATAGTTTTTCCAATATATTGGAAAAACTGATTTTCGATCCAAATTGTTAAAAAAAAAACAATGTTGCTAATGAAAAAAATTGAGTCACTAGATGAGACACCTTTTCTACTGCCTTCATTGTAGTCTTGACACACACCCTGTATATTTTGAGAAATAAACCAAACTGGCAGGGTTTTATTTTGATACACCAACTACATTAGGCTTCAATGTCCAACATTGGTCGAAAAAATTGAGTAACAATTCAATTTTGTTTCAGGAGCATCACGAAGAAGACTTCTTTTTGTATATTGCCTATTCCGATGAAAATGTGTATGGAGCTGATAAATTGTAAAGTAATAATTTAGCATGATTATTACCTTAATGTAACAATACAATACACAGAAATAATTTTCAGTTGTTTCTTTTTTTTAATGATTTGTGTATATTTTAAGTGATAACTACATATATGACGTTAAAACAGTGTTTAGTTTTTGGGTTTCAATTAAGGGTACTTTAATAAAATAATATATGTGCACATATAAGTGATAAGCTAAAATTAGTTTCATTAACGGTTTTTAAGCTTGCATCAAAGATGTTGCTTTAATTTTTGATGGAAACGTTTAAAAACGGATTTAGCAATTAGATGTAAAAAAGTATTTAATGTGATAAAAAATATATAACTAAAAATCCAGTTGGTTTCTGATTTTTCCGTACCCTGTCCTATTAACCGCCTCTACCAGGAAAGTTCAAAAAATAAATACAAAAATTTGTATAACTTAGAAGAATGTTTATAGTTAAGTTTGATCAAAATTGTTGAAAACAAAAAATAAACTTACAATTGCAAAAATATTTATAATATAAATTACAGTAAGTAATGTTTAAAAAAAAATTGATCGAATATTGCCTAGAAATTTAAATCTTACATTTCAAAAGCTACCGTAAAATTGCATTTAACATTGTAACATTAATCGAAATCAATCGTTAAGAAATGAATTTATCCTATCAACATTTTCTCTAAAATTTAAAGGTACATAGTTGCGTAGGAACATTTAAAAAGTTGTATGGTACTTCTAACATTTTAAAGCATAAATTTTTCGACCAAAGCCAGTAGGCGTAAATAATAATGAAATAAATAAATCCGTTAAACTTTAGCGAACATCTAAATTTGTTTTGTGCTGTACCTATTAGAAACATAAAGATAAATTTTAAATTTCATAACCTATTAGTATCAGGTATTGTACTTAGTTAATATTATTTATAACACACAATATCTGCTAAAATTTGTTACCTTATGAATAATAAAATATATCTCACAGATCCACTACTTATTACTATTTTATTCTATAAAAATTTTTAAATTTTCGTAGCTTCTGTCGTATACATAGAAATTTAATCAAACCTACCTAAATTCCATGGATTAAAAAAATATTTCTAACGTGGTAGATTAAAAGAACACTGACATCCAAGCATAGATTTTTTTGAAGAAGAAGAAGATACGTTTTGAGGCATGGATTAAATATTCCATGGCATCCCAAATTCAAATTTTGACTTGTGATATTTACTTTAACGAACATAAAACATATTAGTAAGTAACAACAAAAGAATATCAATGAAAATAAAAAGCATTAAAAATCAAAATGATTTTTTTTTAATTTATGACATGACAGTAGATTACCTATTTTATTATGTTAAAACGAAAAATAATAAATTGACATTTATTTTCCTATGTTACCAAAAAGTTTGATCAATAAAATTTTAAAATCTGAAATCCTCGTTTAAACACATTAAAATGGATATTCAAGCAGACAACTCAAAAAGTGCTATAATTAAGCCTCACATAAAATTAAAGTCAAGTCCTGAGGCTTCCCAGATCTCGATTCAAGAGTTTTTAAACTTTTTGAAAACCGCCTACCAGGTATGCAAACATATTTACAAGTATGTGTGCCTTATTTTCCCAAATTCTAGGTACAAGACAGTGTAGAAGGTATCTTGATGTCAGGTGGTATGTCCGAGGCAGTTAACTGGTTAAAACGTAAAGAAAATCAGATGTCGTTGAAGAGCATCTGTTGTCAGACATCGGATACTATTATTATAAACTCAAATAAAGGATCTGGAGATGACAAAAAAGGTGTAACCATCTAAACTTAATTCATCTTTGTAGGTATAGCTTTTAACGATTTCATTCACTATTTTAGATGTAAATAAAAAAAGAAGCGCTGCAAGTGTTTCCGATGCAGATCCTTTGAAAAGAAAATTAAATGAAGTACTATCGGAGGGACTACTCGACTCTGTCCTACCTTACCTAGTTCAAAATGCAACATCGGTGAAGAAATCTATAGCAAAGTTACATGGTAAAAGAAGTTAGGAATTGAAATGTAGGGGTGACATATTTAGAAAAACATTTTTTTTTAGACAAATCGTCTAGTAATCCAATAGTATGTTCCACAAATGAAAAGACTATTTCGAGAAGAGCAAGTGACAGTTCTATCAAACCAACAATAACCAAAACAGAGTAAATGTGTTGATATAGTTATATTATTGTAGAGTTTGAATTTATTTTGTAAAGTTATTATTAGAGTGTATACTAAATTTTATTTATGATTTGAGAAGAACATTTTACAAATAATTTTTGCTTGCCTGCGTACCAAATAATTTTTATCAGCTAATATTAACAAAAAATACATTTTACAAATATGTATGTGTTTGCCAATGCAAAAATTATTAGAAATATTCATTTAATACATTTTAGCTCCGAGGTAGAAATACACGTATGCGACGAAGTGAAGAACATGAAGAAAACATTTGTTTGCAATCAAAAGTTACTGATAGAAAAAATGGGATATTTTGCAGAAGTAACACTAGGTACATGAGATAACTATTTAATTCAATGAAAAATCTGCTGTTTTTTTATCGGAACAGGTCAAAGACTAGAAGACATGGACATTTCAGTACATTGCGACATTGGTATTTTCGAGTGGCTGATGCGGTGGGTTAAAAAAGACGCATTCCTTGAAGATGATTGTCCCGAATTGGACGCTCAATGTGTTATTCCCATTCTAGTCTCAGCGGCTTTCCTACAGATGGAACCGCTTTTAAACGATTGCTTGTTATTTTGCCACCGCCATATGAACGAGATACTGAGGACCACTAGCAACTTATCATGTTTAAACGATTCCGTTCTGACAAGGTAAGCTACGATTAAGGTGTTCGATCGTTTAATCAATCTTCTGCGATTTTCAGACTAGCTGCTATGTATACCAATGTCGAGGTAGAGTCGATAAAAGATCGTAAGGATAAAATTCAGTCGCGGCTTTTCTCGAAATTAATACAGTCGCTGGCAGAACCGGAACCGGAAAGTGTGAGGGGTCACTGGTGCTCCTTAGCGAGAATATTTAGGTGTGAAAAATGCGAACAGCTCATAACTCCTGCTGTGGCAATCAAAATACCCTGCACACCTTGTTCTATGAGACTGCAACCAGATGGGTCCATCATAAGTTTACACGTAAGGTACGTAACGGGGACTACTGTTGAACTAATGGGATTCATCAATTTTTTTCGTCCAGAGATTCTTCTTGGGACATAAACAATTATATAATCAAACTCCACAAAACTCTAAAAACGTGGCGTAAGGTCTATTGGAGACTATGGGGCGAGGCACACGTTTTATATTGTAGTATATGCAAACGCTACTTCCCTTCGAATCAGATTGGATGGTGTCGGTATCACCCGGACGCACCCCAGTTTTTTACATTAGACGCACAAAAAGCTCCTCTGCCTATCGGAAGATATCCTTGTTGCGGGGAGAGGGCTTACAGGTTCCAGTTGCTAGAAAACTTTTCTGGATGCCAGTTTCGGCAGCATGTGGTTAGTAGAGTATATCATTTGTAGGTGCTTAAGTTCATAGTTTTCGTTAACGATAACTCAGTATTTTTACTACTCTCGTAGTAACAGTAATATTACGATTGTTTCGTTAAGGTTTGCACGCAGGACGTTAGGGATTCTGCAGTATTCACCATGCTAGAGGCTTACCGGCATATTATAGAAGAAGAGCCGCCTCAGTTATTGTTTCCAGAACGATTAACTAGACTGGTGGCTAGAGGTAAGTTTCGCAGTTTGAAATTTTCAAAAATATTACCAATATTCCCAAGAATTCTACAAAACTGTTTCAATTTCCTATTATTTTATTTCCGGCAGTATACGAGGTTCCACCCAAAAATTAACGGGAATTTTCAAATTGCGCATGTTGTATCCAACGTACCTTATCCAACAGTTCTTGGTAAAACACAAGACTGTCGTGATGTTCCAACCACCCTATTTTCCAGACATGACCCTTGTGACTTTTTCCTATTTCCCAAACACAAAATGATACTCAAAGGACATTTTTTAACAACAGATAAGATAAAGGCTAAATCGCAAACCGTGTTCAAGACAATACCTAAAGAGGCATTCCACCAGTGTTTCTCAAACTGGAGACTACGTTGGTATAAGTGTATAGTATCACACGGCGAGTACTTTGAAGGGGATGGGATAAAAATTTAAGATTAAATAAATATTTTCTGAGAAAATTAACAATTCTCGTTACTTTTTGATCAAACCTCGTATAAGAACTTCTATGTAGAATATTCCAGTTTCCAATAATATATTACTATTATTTATAATTTCAATGGTGTTTAAAATTTCTAGTCATGAAATTATATTGATTTTTCTGCATTTTGCCTACTTTAATAAACACATTTTTTGGGGAAGATTCCTATACAGTGTGTTCTATTCAAGAACTGGCCACCCCCACAACTTTTTCATTTATTGACTCCTTTTAATGAACTGTTTTCGTTAAATAAATATTGTGAAAGCGATCCAAGGGGCAAGTCCCAGAACCGTTTTTATGGTTCAAAAATTGGAGAACTATTATTAGAGATTTTAGGAAAAATTCCAATGAATTCTTATTCAGAGTGTAAAATATCTAACACAAGTGTTCCAAATAATTTAGAATAGGTTTTTAGAGATCAACATGTCAAAAAAAAAGTTAATTTAAACAAGTATCGAAGAACACTGATTTCATTTAGACTTTTTAGAAAAAATGTTTGAAGTTGTTTGAATTTATACCTTTGCAAAAAGTAAAAATACGAGAGCTAATGATAGGATACATGTTTTTTAAATAGGTTTTGAATGTTTTTGACTTAAATGCAGTTTTGCTAAAGGTCCTATTTTTGTGCTAAGTGAAATTTGCATTGTTTTTTAGTTGTGTTTAAAAGAAATCATGTAATATTGCTCAAATAATACCCGAGAGTTCTAGAAAACCTGAAATTATGCTAAAGACTGTGTTTGTTCTTTAAAAATATGTTATGAATATCTGAACTGGAATCTTTTCCCTTAAAGAAATCCCTATTGGTATTTCTCCAAAATTTATATAAAAAAAAAATTGTGTATGTGTAATTTATTGCACCTTTGAATTATAAAGTGAAAGAAAATTGCCTCCAACATATGCTTTCGTGAGATATAACAAAATAAGTTTGTTAAAATCAATCAACAAATTTCGAGAATCTCATCTTTATATTTTGAGGAATCTTGTATGCATAAAAATAAGAAAAAAGTATGTAAACTTAAAGTTTCTAAAATGGTTCCTAGATAAGTCTGTGGTATAGCAATATTATAACTCTGCGAAACATCCTGTATACAGGGTGTCCCAGAATAAAGTGTACAACGGAAGACCACAGATTCGTGGACTCAAAATAGGCAGATTTAAGCTAATTCACCTATATCCGAAATCGTTTTTTCTTTGGCCGCTAAATAGCCTGAAAGTTCGGGAAAATTTTTTGAATTTTGTAAATAATTCTAATACATATTATTTTAATATTATTATAATTTTGGTGTTATAGTGTTTTTTGAAACTCCTACAAAATTGATGTATGGTGAGAATATCCGTTCATAACTTTTTCCTCTTTCATACAATAATGACAACTATTGTTTGGGTACAAAAAATATTTTTTAAATGTATACATTATTTTGCCACCCATACTACAATACTTAACAAAGTGCCAGTAAGCTCTGATTTTGTAGGTTGACTGTAATTTCAGTTTGTACCTCTATAAGGGGTCTAAAAACTTCCAAATGGTATCACCTATCAAATAAAAAATAGTTGTCATTATTGTCCGAAAGAGGAAAAAGTTATGAACGGTTATTATCACTATACATCAATTTTATAGGAGTTGTAAGTAAAAAACACTTTGTATGACACTATAAAATGTGTAAAATCGATTAATACGTATTGGGAGTTATTTACAAGCAATTTCAGATATAGGTGAATTAACCTAAATCTGCCTACTTTGAGTCCACGAATCTGTGGTCTTCCGTTGTACACGTTATTCTGGTACACCCTGTATACTCTTAATTACGGACTCTAAATAAATGTCCGTTTAGGTGCTACTGGAATCTGAATGTTCATTTTTAAGTGGTAATCTTGTTCTGGGGGGTTTTGGCGACTGCTCTGGAAGCGTTCGAAATTTTAAAGTTGATATTACAGCGTCCCTTTTTTCTAATTTTGGTGCTGTTTATACATATTTAATTCTAAAACATATACGTCCTGTTTGACATCCTTTTTCGCAAATTTTGGGAACAGTAAATGATGTGGAAGGTTCCATCACATCTTGTACTTCAGTTGTCTAATTTTGGCTAACAAATTTCCATCAGGTTCGCAGGAAAATGTATGCGGCACGATATCCCGTTTCATACGAGCTTTGACATTGCTCCATTTATACTCCAAAAAAGTTATTATAGTACCCAGTCTTTGAAAGGAACATCCTGCAGAAATAATGTTCCCTTTGCCATACAATGTTAGTTTGGGGTATTAAGAGAAACAAGTTTGTCCAAAAAAGAATAAGTATTAAGTTAAATACATTACGATACATATTACAAAGCTTTAAATAATAAAAATACCATATATACATGTTTTTTGATATTGTTAGACTTAAGCAGTCTTAATATTTACCGTACGGTGCAGAGTTTAGGTACAAATAACAAATAACTATATGCCGATATACTATTTTATCACCTTATTTATATCCTACACATGGTAAATGTCAAGATATATCTTGCATGATGTAATAAATATCTGCATAAAACCACTGTAAAATTGTACATTGTACATTTCATTAACATTACATGTGTAAATAAATTTTAAGAATAATTTATTAGCATTACGTTTTTTCCTTAATATCTATAGTTACTATTTTTTCATATTTAAATATCTTGTATTTCAACATTAATTGCATCTTTGTTAAGCGACAAATAAAAAATAATTATCACAGGAGAGATAATTTGCTATAACAGCTTTGATACAACAGTCTAAAACTTTAACTGCAAAATAGAAATAAAAGTGCCGCCACATTTAATTCCTATTTTCCGTGGACCTCCTCTTTAAGCACAACAACTGTATTCTCATTTTGGCTTTCGACTGCCTTAAGATGTCCTGAATAACAGTCGTCTCCATTGTTTCTAACTCTGGTATGACATCTAGAGCTTCCTGAAAATATCCCTTGGCACTTCCTGACAAATATCCTTCGAAAAACTCCTGTAGGACGCATATATCGGCTCTTGCTTGTTGCGCACCTGCCCTACTAAATTTCTGAACGCACGACATGAGCCTGTATAATTCTTCGGCAATAGTTTCAACGATTTTGGGTAGAACGCTATCTAATAACTTTGCGGAAATATTGTTAACTTCCGAGTGGACGCTGATAAGGTTGTTTATGCATTCTTTTGCATAAGGACGGATGTCCGTTGCCGGTACGTTTGTATCCCAGTCGAAACGTCCTAAGTACATCGACGGTTCTATCGTGCCAACTAAAGGATCGCTCTTTTGTTCTAGGTATTTGTCGAGGATCGATTTTTCCAAGTTTTCCAACTTAATTTTGGCATTTCTTATAGGGACGTCCACGTGAGGAAAACCGCCTTCCTTGAATTTAGTGGAAACGGTGTCTAATATTGTATTCTTAGTAAACAGACAGTTGGATAAAGTTATCAACAAACGGTGCTCCCAAGTTGGTACGTTTGTTTTAATGCTGTTCACTTTATGACTACTGACAGGGGTTCCTATCAACTGAGAGACTACAGGCGAGCTATCGTCACCGTCTTCATAATCCTCACTCGAAGATAAGTTATTCAACACGTTATGAAAAGCTGTTAAAATACAATCCAGCTGTTTTTCAAGCTCTCTCTGAGCAGTCGGATTATCTAATAGGAAAGTCTCTCGTTGTTCAGCCGATAGCGCTGATTCTTTCACAATTTGGATCACGTCCTCGATCAGCTGCAAGAACTTCAACGGTAGTTCTGTGATTCCGCTGTGTTTGCCCCCAAAGTTTATCTTCCACGTTTCAGATAACTGTTTTATCTGTTCCATAGCTTGTTGAAACAGAATACTCATGCAATGGATTCTTAAATCTAACAATAACAAACTTACTATATCTAATGCCTCGTTGGGCAAATCTAACTTTATTAATGTAGCGTAAGTGGAACGTACTGACCTTAACAGTTCCGGTAAATACAGAGCGATTTGGTCTCTTTCGGGCGCGCTCAGTGAACCGAATTGCGGCCTTTCCGCTTTGTCTAATGTGCTGGGGATGATGCTAGCTCTTACGTATTTGCAGAACATTTCTATGACCGACATGACCATGTGTTTATATTCGACCTGAAATGTAACAGTGTCAATTAATAATTATTCTTTTAGATCAACAAAGGAAACATTTTGAAATTTATTAATTACTGGACGTGATTTTATTGTTGAAAAGTCTAGGGAATGATAATACAAGAGGCGTCTCATCTCGTGGGTTATGAAAAAAGTATAGCGTCATTGTTTTTTATCAGCAAATAGGTCAAAAATTCGTCAATTTTCGTTCTACGTGTTATTGTATTATCAACTCATCTTTAAAATGAGACTTTACAAGTTCAAATTGCTAAAAAGATCGATCAAATAGTTTTTGCAAAATTCCATTTATTTATTCCATTTTTGCGAAAAAGGCCCATTTTCAAATGACTATTCCGGGGGCAGGGTTATGACTAAAACATTCTTTTTGGGCTCATTTTCTTCGAAGGGACACCAAGTATCCTCTAGTTAAATAAAATTAAAATTTTTTTCAAATTTAGTTGTAAAAAAATTGCTAACTCTGAGCCTATTGGTCGAAGAAATTTTGAATGGTGTATATAACTTCTTTCAAAAGTTAAAAACCGCGGAGTTATTTTATTTGTTTATTTTTATTTGTTTTGCTTTATTTGTTTATTTTTTTTTGTTTAGAGAAAAAAGTGCCTTTTATTCGTTAACAATATAATTGTTAACAACCATTCGCAAGCTCATAACAAAACCTACAAATTGAAAAAAAAAGTTTCTACGACCAATAGATCCGGAGTTAGCAATTTTTTTACAACTAAATTTGAAAAAAAATTATTTTTTTTTTAACTAGAGGATACTTGGTGTCCCTTCGAGGAAAATGAGCCCAAAAAGAATGTTTTAGTCATAACCCTGCCCCCGGAATAGTCATTTGAGGAAAATGCTCTTTTTTTTGGTCTTATCTCTTAAGGATATAAAAACTCACATTTTGGGAAAGTTTGGTAAAATTTTATTAATTATTTAAAAAGTTATTAACAATTAAAGAAAAAGCACTTTTTCCGTTTAATTTTGCAATACATTTTGTGTGTTAAGCAATTTTAATTTATAAAATCTCATTTTAAAGATGAGGTTCTCTAGATGAAATCGTCTGTTGAACATTTTTTGCTAAGATTAATAGTTTTTTTACAATAACGCGTAGAACAAAAAATGACGAATTTTTTACCTATTTGTTGATAAAAAAAAGTGACGTTATACTTTTTTCATGACCCACGAAATGAGACGACTCTTGTATTATCATTTCCAAGACTTTACAACAATAAAATCATGCCCAGTAATTTTTATGATTTCTCGATGATTTTTCACCTTTATTTCTTGGTGTCTATTTAACTTTGTCCACTTTGTGCAAGTATTCTGTTTTTTAATTATATATTTTACACTAACTACTACAGGTTTATTTCACTTTAACAGTATTAACCTAACTCATATTAATTCCAAAACTTTCTTAAAAATCTTATTGAATGAAGTCATAAGTATGTTTTTGAATACCAAAGGTATCTATGAAGTTGAGGGGCATTCAATTGGGTGGGGAGTAAGTAATGTCCGTTTTTTTCAAATATAAGATATTTTATTTTTTACTCTACAATTATCGAAAGGCTAATCAGTGATGTATTCTCCCAACGTTCAACAAGTTTCGCAATGCCTCTTCTGACTGAATTTTGACTCGAAAAACTCGTTGAACTTAACTCATTGTTGTTGTTAAAAGAAATGTCGCCTAAGGAGTATTGGGGCAGAACTTCCCAATTCAACTCCCGAATGGCCGTTTAGGTCATATTGGCGCTATGTGGTCACTCTTTGTAATGTTGCAAAAGAACGTCATATCGCCGATCAGGTCTTTCTTGTTGAATAACAGCATGGAGTCGCCATAGTTGTTTGACATAGAGTTCTGTGTTGACGGTTTGATTGTTTTGTAAGAGTTCGTAATAAAAAATCCCTTTCCAATACCACCATACGCACAACAGTGTCTTTCGTAGATGAAGTTCTGGTTTGTTTATGGAGTTGCTTGTTTTTTGGGGTTTTCCGCTATTTCATATTCATGTACAGACACCATGTTTCATTACCAGCAACAATACGATGAAGAAAACGTTCTTTATGACCACGTGTTGATCAATGACGACACAGCAAATAAGCGGCAATTGCAAAGCGTTGATTCTTATTGTTTTCCTTCAAAACATGTGGGACCCAAGCGCTGAGTCTTTGAAATTTTCCCATCGAATGCAGGTGGTTTACTACTGTTTTGTGATGACATCCTATCTCCTGAGCCAATTCCCTTGATTGTCTTGTATTTTCGTTAAGGAGCTTAGGCCACTTAAGAGTTTTTCTCGTCACGATGAAAAACAAAAAAAAAGCAAGGGCAGAAAATGATTGATTTTATTAACTTGACATTCCATTCCAAATGAATGAAAATTCTCAAAAATTAAATATAAGGAAGTAAACAAAAACACCATCTGATGTCTTCTTTAGATTGACGTTTAATTTTCATATGAATTTTTAAATTTGAGAAAATGGACATTACTTATTCCCCACCCATTAAAAATTCAAAATTTGACGAGTGTTACAGATAAAATTTAAAAGGCAATTCAAATACAAGACATTTGAAATAACTAAACTGAAAAACCTAGAATACTTTTGTAATAATCTGCGATATTTGTCTAGTTATTTTATCAATGATTGCATACTGCCTATTGTATCTAGAAAAAAAACATGATTAAATTGAGGCAGGTATTAATGACATTTTAAAATATCTTAAATGATATTTTTCGAATCTAACATTTGCACAATGGCCTACATTTTCGGTTTTATTGTCAATTGATGACGTAAATATAAATATCATAAACACCATGTCAAAGATATGTTTATGACGCAATATTTATGTATAACAGACATACAATAATGTATTGCAATTGATTCAACCCTCCTTTCAAGTTTTCTTGTTATTTTTAAATCAATTTGCTTGCATTTATATCATTTTGAGAATTCCAATGACACAAGTCGTACTTAATATTCTTACTGTGCAAAGTTAATAGAATAGCGAATACTATTAAATACTACAATATACCTGTCTCCCTGCTTCTACTTTGACTTGTAGTTCGCCTGAAAAATATGCCTGACCAATCTTCCACAAATCGGGGAATATTTCGGAAATCGTGACGCAAATTTCATCAGTGAAATTAATGCAGGCTGGTACTGCTGGTACCTCTGTCTGCTGTGGAGTATTATACTTGGAATATTTTGTGGATGAATTACTCTTCTTATTACTTTCAGGTTTATCCTGAGACTTGTGAAAATTGTATATAAGTTTAAATTTCTTGTTGATATATTCCGAACGACTTTTTATAGCATCCCAAGCTGGGTCGTAAGGTGAATCTAGATTCACTAAGTAACGGATCAGTCGTTTCTGTTGCTCAACTGTAATCGGCATAGTTTGTAGATCTGCGTGCAACTTCTTTTGTAGGTCGATTATGCGTTTTTCAACTTCATTTAAGGCTTCTTTGAATATAGGAATATCAGTTTTGTGGAATAAATTTTTCACTCTTATATAATCGTTTATAACAATGTCATATTCTCCCTTCTTTATGTTCCTGTCAATTACGCATGGTAAGCAGAATAAGAATTTGAACCTTTGTAAAACATTTAAGGCATTTCTCGTCTTCTCTGCTCTATCCTTTCTTGCTAAAACATCGTCGAATAGCTTCCTAGCTTCTCGTTCTGATTCTTTTATAGCTTTCTCTAACCGCAGAGTGGGTTCGGAGCCGTATTTCGATAAATCACTTTCATACCTCTCTTTCAAGTTAACAAGTGTGTCGACTTGGTCCATGACGGAATTTATGTTAGCTTTCAAAAAAGACAATTGACCTTCTTTCTGTCCTTGTACTTTCCTCCTCAAATGATTTAATCCAGCTTGTAAGTCACTAAAACTAGTAGCCTGGTGATTCTCTAAAAGAAACCACCCCGATGAGAAATTTGTACTGGCAATATCGCTCGACTTTCCTGGGAAGTAAGTCATCAAATCCTCTTCATTTACTTTATTTTCAGTTTCATCTACGGACAGTCCAAGTGGGTCTTCTTGCTGATAACTACTAGGACTTAAAGAATGCCTTCCCCAAGAGTAGAAAGGTACTTCTTCGACCCACACTGCACTCTCCTTCATAGGCCCTATCGTAGCTAGTTGATATCCTCTAAAAGTAACGTTACATGTTCCTATACCTCCAAGTCTAGTTGTAACGATGACATCCCCTTTTCCCTTAACTGGACCCGAAATGGCAATAATTTTGTTCTCAGACTTCCATTCGGACGCCAACAAACAGTCTATCCCGCAGATGGTCAATCCTATGAGATCGGTCGGCTTAGTACCGAAATGCTCGCCCCTTATTTTTATTCGAGTACCAGGGGGCCCTTCATTTGGGGATAAGCCTGTTACCACGGGGGGCGGAGCCATTTTATCGATTGTAAATGCAGCACTTTTTATAATAACTCGATATTTTGCATGACTTCAGTAATTCTTTTGTAAAATCGTTGTTTTTAAGTTTTTTCGATTTGTTTTCAACTACCAGTTTTGACGTTTATAACTTCATTAATTTTCGACTTCTTCCATGGTACATATGAACTACCAAATTTAGAACTAACTTGATTATGAAGAAATTTCAATAGCGTCGATTACGGTAGGGTTAAGGGTTTGCAATTGATATCATGCGGCATATTTTTAAGTTCTAAACACGATTTTTGAATATTTTAATAATATGAATTTTATCTTGTTCAAGATTTGAACAACGACAAGAAATTTGTCTGTAAGGAAACTTTCTGGTGGGAAGGTTTTGAAATAATTCCTCCACGGCCAAAGATGGGTCTTCTTACTGTTTTTGCAAATAGGAAGGAAGAAAGTAGTGCATCGGACGAAAGTACAGAAGAGGAGGAAGAGGAAGAATCTACTTCTTCAACGTCTTCCGAAAGTGACGAAGGCAGTGCTGATGAAAGCAATCCCACCCCCAATAAGGTATATTTAAATAAGTATTAAATGAATACGCCATTATTCTATGGCTAGAAATTGGCCTCAATGATTTGGGATCGAGGGGGATTATCCCTCTTTATCCTGCCTCATCTCGTGTAGGCCTGGACAGCCTTCGTAGGTGGGCCCCATCCGTCGTCTACCCCGACCGCAAATGCGGCCGGTGTAGGCGCTTTGTGGGACCTCCTTTTGTCCTGGCTGGGCCCCGCCGGCTAGGGCCCTTTCTTCTGGCGCTCTTCTTGCTTCGCCGGCTCGTCTGTGTAAACCCCGGGGGTAGTGTCATGTTTATGTGTGGTATGGTTGGGTAGGGTAGTGCGGCTATGCAGCCTGGGATGCGCTTTGCTAAGGTGGCCCTTAGGCTAGCGCGGGAGGGGAGGGTTAAGGAGGGTATGGGGGGTGTGTGTGTGTGTGTGTGTGTGTCGTTGTCTTCGTTTCTTGATCCTGGCTGTCTCTGAAACAGAAAAGGTTAGCGGGCAGGGGGGGGGGTCATTGGGGTGGTCACCCAGGGTCAAAAAGTTGGTGTCTAGGTCTTTTGTGTTTGTCGGTCACGTCGGGTACGTAGTCAACGGCTTGCCTGAGGAGGGGATTGTCATGTCTAGCGGCTACGTCAAATCGTTTCTCCGCGTTTTGTCTTATTGTCTGTGTAGCGTTTGTGTATTGTAAGTCTCGTAATATGTCAGTGTTTCTTACGTACCAGGGCGCGTCGGTGGCCGTGCGGAGGGCTATGTTTTCCACAGCCTGTAATGACTTTAAGTGGCTTTTTGCCGCGTGACCCCACGCCGTGGAGGCGTAGGTTAGCTGCGGTTGAAGTACCACCTTGATAAGCGTTCGCTTATTCCTTAAACTGAGGGTGTTTCCACCTTTGAGTAAGGGATAGAGCCTAGCCCTGGTGGTCTTCGCTCGCGCCACCGTCTCCACGATGTGCGGTTTCCACGTGAGACGCTGGTCCATCGTCACGCCCAGGTATCGTGTTTGTCGATTCCAGGAGATGGGTTCCTGGGATAGTGTCAGTCTGTCGAGGTTTTGTGGGATTTTTCGTTTGGTAAAAAGGATAGCCGAACTTTTGTTGGGATTAATTTTGACTTTCCACCTGTTGCACCAGGTTTCAAGTTGGTCTAAGGAGTTTTGGAGGAGGGAGACGGAATATCTAGGATCTACGGATTGGGATGTGATTGTCAGGTCGTCGGCGTATAAGTATATGTTGGTGTTGGGGGGATGTGGGATGTCGGAGTTGTAAATGGTGTATAGGTGTGGGGACAGGACGGTGCCCTGGGGGACACCGGCCTCCATGGGACGGGTGGTGGAAAGGGAATCTTGGATTTGGATGCGGAATTTTCGGTGGTGTAGGTAGGATTTTATGAGTTTGGTAAAGGATATGGGATATTGGTTGGTGAGCATTTTCATCAGTAGGCCTTCATGCCAAACCGTATCGAAGGCCTTTGCGACGTCCAGGAAGACAGCACCAGTGTACTGTCCCCTGTTGAAGGCCGCCGTGATGTGCTCGGTAAGGCGAAGGATTTGGAGTTCAGTGGAGTGATTGGGTCGGAAGGCGAACTGCTCGTCTGGAATGACTTGCAGTTCTTGGGAGTGGGTTCTTAGACGGGTTAGGATAATTTTTTCTACCACTTTGCTCATAGCCGGGAGCAGGCTAATGGGCCGGTAGTTGGATGGGATGGTGTGATCTTTGTTGGGTTTTGGGATAAGGATTATGTTTGCTGTTTTCCAGCGGGTAGGGAAGTGTCTTAGTCTGAGTGTCGCGTTTGTTATGTTTAGTAGGGCCATGAGGCCCTTGTGTGGTAGTCGTTTAAGTGTCGTGTTATGTATATTGTCGGGTCCGGGGGCTTTTCTGTTTTTAAGTCTGCGTATTGTCAGTCTTAGTTCGTCAGGTGTTGCGGGGGGGATTATGTCATTGTCTGGCTCTCTGTCGACGCGTCGGGCCGCGCGCTCAGCCACTATCTCGAATTCCTCGTCTTCGTCGGGCAGCTGAGGCAGTCTACACTGCAGTTCCAGGCTATCGGCGAAAGCCTCGGCCTTTTCCTGGTTCGTGTAAACCACCCCCACACTACCGTGGATTGGAGGAATTTTACGGCGAGCGGTCTGTCGCAGGGCCCTCTGCGTTTTCCAGAGGCTGTTGTCTTGTGGATCCAGCGACTCCAGGTGCCTAGCCCAGTTATCCTGGGCCAGTTCATCCAGAGCCGCCTTCACCCGTCTGTTAAGTACGTTTAAGTCATGTCTGTGTCGGGGGAGGCGGGTGCGGGTGGCAAGCCGTTTCGCACGTCGTCTGTCACGTATTAAGTTTTTTATGTCATCGGGGAGGGTGCCCCGGGGGTTTGTCAGTCGGGGGACAATAGTCTCCGTCGTAGTCTGAGTCAGGGCGTTTTTAATGTCAGTCTCAAGGGAGAGGATTGCCGCCTCCAGATCATGGGTGGTTTCGATGACTGGGAGCGCCATGTTTCCTTGCATTACTGTTCGGAAACGCTCCCAGTCAGTGAACCTCCTCGTGAAGGTGCCTTCATATCTCTGTCTTCGCCCCAGATCCAGAAATATTGGATTGTGGGCGGAAGACCCTTCGTATTGGGTGGATATTTGGGCATTTAACGGTATAGATTTTAAGAGGGCAATGTCGATAACGTCGGGGCGTCCTACGGGTCCGTAATGTGTCGGTTCTGTCGGTCCGAGTATAGTCAAGTCGTCGTGTCTGTCTTGGTAATTCAGCAGGACGCGACCTCTTGTGGTCGTCGTCCCGCTGTGCCATATGGGGGACTTCGCGTTGAAGTCCCCGATGGCAATTGTCTGGGGCCAGGAAAGGATTTTGTCTAAGTCATTGTCAAGTAGTGGTAGTCTGGGTGGGTGGTAACAGGACACCACCGCAACGTCTCCATGCCGTAGCGATCTCACCGCTATCGCCACGGCCTCTGTGTTTTGAGTTTGGAGCCGCTGCAGCGGATAGTGGTCGATGCACTTCTTTACTATGAGTGCAACACCACCCCCGTTACGGTTTCTGTCATGTCTGTATATGTCATAGTCAGGGATGGAGGTACGGGATGCCTCGCTGAGGTAGGTCTCCTGGACAGCCATAACGTCTATGTTTAGACGGTTCAAGATGTCCACGAGTTCCGTTTTTTTGGCCCGGAACCCGTCAAGGTTCCAGGACGAAATTCTCAGCGAGGAGGGTTGGGAGGGCCGACGAGCCATTAGAAGTCGAATAATTTTTGCATATTCGACACCATGGTCGTCAGCTGGACGCAGAAGTCCTGAAGACGCTTTGTTGCGTCAATCAGGGCCGCCGCGCCCGGTTGGGAGGGTGTCGTGTCTGTGTGTGCGTGTGGTGAGGTGTTGTGTTTTTGTTTTTGTGTGTTTTGTGTTTTTCTGGTCATGTCAGCGTATGTGCGTCCTGGGGTTGTGTTTGGGGTGGGTAGGAGGGGCTGTCTGTGTGTTTGTGTAGTGTTTTGTGTCGTGTGTGTGTCTGTGTTTTGTGTTTTTGTGTTTTTAGCTTTGGGGTACTGAGGGCACCCCATATAGCTGGCGGGGTGTGGCCCGGCGCAATTTGCACACCTGGCGGGCGTGTCTTTGGCCTTTTTGCATACGTGCGTGCTGTGGTTTTCGCCACATTTTACGCACTTTGGCTCAGCTGTGCACCGGGTCTGGCCGTGGCCGAACCGCTGGCACCGGTGGCACTGTGTGGCAACCCGCTGCTTTCGCTGCAGCTCTACTCGAACCACGAGCGAGCAGCAGCGGGTTACCTTCAGGATGTCCTCCTGGTCCTGTGGGGCCTGAACTAGGACCAGGGGCATTTCCTGTTTATTTTGACGGCTCGCCATGCGGTGCACTATTGCGCCGGGGAACCCTTGTCTTGCGAGGTCGAGTTGGACCTCACTTGGCGAAACACCCGCAGGTATTCCGCGTATCACCACCCTCAGCGTTTTTTCTTCGCTGAGGGTGAAGGTGTGGTACTCCTCGCCTTTGTCTGTCAGTGTCTTTGTCAATAGTCTGTGGTCATTAGGTGTGTTTGGGTATATGGCTATACCGTCTTTAGTCAATTTGGCTTTTGTGTAGTTAATGTTAAGTGTCGTGAGTATTTTTTGTACTTGCGTCCACCGTTCTTGCTTTCGCAAGATTACCGGGGGGACTTGTTTGGTTTTGTCTGTCTGTTTTTGTGTGTTTTGTGGGGTATTTTGTAGGGCGCTTGTGGAGGGTGTAGGTGTCGGGGGGCGCGTGTTTGGTGTTTGTGGTCGTGTTTTGTTTGTTTTGTCTGATTTTTTAAGTCTGGGGGCTTCGTCCTCGCTAGAGGATTCCGCTGTGTGTTTTTTGCGTTTCTCTGTGCGTGTGTGTGTGGGGTGTGTGTGTGGGGGGTGTGTGTGTGTGCCTGTCTGGGGTATATTGTCTGTCATTTGTTTGTCGATAAGTTTGTCGAGTTTTTGGTGTAATTTAGTGGTGTTTTCGTCCGAAAGTTTAATTGTTTTTTGCAAATCGACGATTTGCTGTGTCATGGTTAGTATTTGTTGGTATTGTCGGGTGTTTTGTTCTGTCAGTTCATGTATTTGTTGTTTTAGCGTCTCGTTTTCATGTTTTTGGGTTTGTAACTGTTCGTATAAATCTGTTTTATTGGTCATATTCTTTGGTAAATGAATAGAATATAGATGAATTACGATATTTACATGCCGTAACATTATTTCTATATAGCTATTTATTTAAAATCTCTGCAGGTGCTTAGACGAAAGAAGTCAAAGAAAAAGAGAGAATCAAAATTATGGCAACATAATTTATCTGCTAGAAACAACCAAGATATACAAAGGGCTTATGAGGAAATTGCAGTTAAGCAAATGACGGCGATATTGAATAAAAACTCAGTAAACGAAAACGTTCGTAACTGTAGAAATGCTCCGAGAATCACAACACCATTAGGTTTGCATTCTTATTATGTATTTGTCAATTTATACCATTGATTTCATAAGCTCGCTACAAATCACAGGGTTTAGCTTTGAAAGGAGGTTATATTTATGCAGGCGCTACCTTTGACATTTAAAAACACATTTCATAAATTTGTTTTCTCAAAATTCGTCATAAAAACTCATTTCTTTTTTTGTAATTTTTATACATCGCCGCTGGACGGGCTAGTACAGCATAACCTCAAACAATTGTGACGTCAGACAGACAAGTCGTTTGTTTTTTGTCTGCCTAGCACCCTATTATTGCAGGGTATCAGATGGACTGATTATATCATTCACCTAAACCAGGTCAATGTGACAGGTCATTAAAACTGAGATTCTGAAACACCGCAGAATAAAAAATTTGGAAATGCTTTTTATCAAAAACTTGAATGATTTTAAAAAAATATTTCAAATAGGTACCTACATCAAATTAAAACTTATTTTTCAGATTAAAAAAAAAAGTAATTTCAGTGTACCCTGTTCACCCTGTGAAATCTACTCAAGAACTGCTTTAATCTGTTGAATAGTCTTCAAATATTAAATTATGGGTTAATTTCTATTTATTTGTAAATTTTTATAGGATATGGATTCAACGAGCAAACAAAAATCTAACTCTCCGATTTTTTTGAAACATTGGAATGTAAATCTACTTTAAATTTTATGGGACCTGGTTTTTGTTTTTCCAAAAAAAATTTTTGGGGCTCTGTGGCGTCATTATCAAAGTTTACATTGTGACAGCGTTATTCCGAAAATGGAACGTATATTTTCTTGAAATGGTCGTCATTTTGACCCAAATCATCCCGTCGAAACGTTTTGTTTTTTGTCTAAATGTGCAGAATTTTATCAGCTTTTACCTAGTTTTTTCAGAATTCAGATTGTTTTAAAACTTATTGAGATAAATGAGAATTTAATTTATAGTCCAATCAGTTAGAAGTTTTGCCTGTGAAGTTTTAGGGGTTTTGAAAATTGGTATATTTATAGATTTTGACGTGCTTTTTCCGAATTTTTACTTTGCCACTTCTTTTTTTTCGGAAGTAGCCACCATATTGGAAAAATGGCGCTCCAAAACAGTTTTTTAACGACATTTCCTTTCCGACTCACTACGATGAAAATAGTTATGGCCAACAAACTCACTTCCACACCACCATGAGGAAGAATTCCTGGCACGTTTTTCTTTAGTGGTATCCCCAGTAGGCCTAATCCACATGTGATGCACTGTTGCTAACCCTGATGGACCAAGTTTTGCTAGTTCTTCAGAACTGAGCAAAACCTGACAGATAGGAAGTTCTTCCAAGTTATCCGCGATAGGGTTCTCTTCTTCGACTTCACCACCTTCTTCCTCGATTTCGTCGAAAGTTTGCTGAAGAACAGTCTCCGTATCTTCCTCTTAGCCACCGTCTTGGAGATCAACACCCGAATTGTCGTAGGTACCATTGCAATTCGCGCAGATAACGGAGCACTTTAGTCCAGCATTTCCGAGTCCACAGGCTCTCCGACATCCTTTTTTACATTTGCAAGAAATTGGTTTTAACAAGTTTGCTGGAGCTGAGGGCTCAAGTGTGGCGACAGGAATTAGCCCGTTCTTGCTTTTTTTCCATCCCCACCGCTTTGCATTTTTTGCAACTCCATACCATTGCTGAACCTGGTGATAGGATCTGAACGAATGTTGTGGTGCTGCTGCTTCTGTCGGTGGCAGCGATGCAATATTAAATTTATTTAGAGTTTATTAAAGAACCACCGAGATTTACACGAACTCGTCCGGGTGGTTAAAAACCCAAACAGAAAAAAGGTTGATACATAAATTATAGGAAATGTTCTCTAGTTTAATTTATTACATAACTATTTTCACCGTAAAGTGAGCCGGAAAGGAAATATCGGCGAAAAACTCTTTTGGAGCGCAATTTTTCCAATTTGATGGCTACTTCCGGAAATAAAAGAGGTGGCAAAGTAAAAATTCGGATAAAACACGTCAAAATCTATAAATATACCAATTTTCAGAACCCCCCTAAAACTTCACAGGCAACCCCCTTCTTGAGCGCCAACTGATTGGACTATTACATGTGTCTCCCATACGGAACAAGTTGGCATTTTGCCGCTCCATTAAAAGACAGCTTATTTGCCCTTGAAAAATACATTCAAATCTGGTGAAAATAAAAAGCGAGGTTTTTGAGAAAATCAATTTTGAAAAAATGACCCGTTTTTTTCATTTATCTCACAAAGTTTTAAAGCAATTTGAATTCTGATAAAACCAGGTAAAAACTGACAAAATTATGCACATTTTGAAAAAAAAGAGTGAACGGGATGATTTGAGTCAAAATGATGGTCACTTGAAAAAAATATTCATTTTCATTTTCGGAATAACGCCGTGACGGTAAACTCCAAAAATTTTTTCGGAAAAACAAACACGGTTCGCACAAAATTTAAAGTAGATTAACATCCCAATCGTTCAAAAAAATTAGTTTGATTTTTTTTGCTCGTTGAATCTATATAGAAACTACCTATAGCGTTTCATTGTAGGTGGCGCTTGGGTGCGCTTAGAAGCGGAATGGAGGGAAAGCTTCAATAGCCAGGTCGCTGCTCAGCAGAAACCGAAAAATATCTTCACCACGGGCAAAATCCACAGGCCTCGTGGAAAATAAAGTTGTTAAATGTCCTCTCGAGCTCATTATTATAAATAAAACTCGTAAAACCAGATAACGATCTATTTTTTTTTAATAAAATGAATTGTACATATAACGATTACACCATACTGCAAAACGGATGACTGATGTTTCAGTATATAAAAAAAAAATTGGTGGTGACAAAATTTTTAAAAGCTGGCTCCTTAGGTCACTCCTATAACGTACGAAGTTTCACATTCAAAACGAAACAATTGACTTAAAAAATTTATGAAGACTGAGCTAGTGTTTCGGCCTTCTGCACTACTTCCTCGATGGGTCCAACCATGTAGAACGCTACTTCGGGCAAGTGATCAAGCTCCCCGTTGAGGATCTTCTGGAATCCCTACAAAAAACAACACAAAGTGATTTAAAATATTCCAATTACCAGGTCATTTTTTTCGTACCTTGATGGTTTCTTCAAGGGGTACGAGTTTTCCGGCATGGCCAGTAAAAACTTCGGCTACCTGGAAAGGTTGGGACAGGAAACGCTGGATCTTACGGGCACGGGCTACCGTCAGTTTGTCGTCTTCAGACAACTCGTCCATACCCAAGATGGCGATAATATCCTGAAAAACAATGTCAATTACAAGAATAATAGTACGCCGCCCCTCTCACACACAATTCATTAAAATCCAAGATAAATATCTAAAGTGGCGTTACTAGAGTCCAGTAATAAGTAATAATTCAACTTAATTATTAAATGTGGACTGAAAATATTTTTAATCAAATTGGTGCAGAAATCACAGAAACGAAGTTTGACTCAAAATATCTGGGCCCCAAAAATTCAACCCGTTGTCCAAAAAATAAAGTAAATTTGTTTAAAGAATAAAAAATCTTTATTTATGTTTCCAAATAAATTTCGTCGCCGTCAAAGGATACAATTCACCTATGCCAACATTTTTTACAACTCTTGAAATAGTCTGAAAAGTCATCTTCCGGTATGGCCTTCAATACTTTTGTCTATTCGGATTTTATTTCCTCGATCGAGTCGAAACGGTGTCCACGGGGTGGTCTTTTCAGTTTAGGTAATACCCAGAAGTCACTCGGTACAAAATCAGGCGAATACGGTGGTTGCGGAACGATACGAGTTCAATTTTTGGCGAAATGGTCTCGAATTATATTATCAATGCTGTGTGAGCCGGTGAGCATTGTCATGATGCAAAAACAAAGAGTTGTCTGTCCATAATTCCGGCCTTTAGCAGCGAATTGACACAGTATTGCATAATTAATTGTAGTATGTATTAGAAAAAGAAAAGAAAGGAAAAGCAAATGTGAAGTTGTCCATCTTATAATTAATTTTCTATGGTAGCAGTGGGCATGGGCGGTTGAAACGCGGCTGAATTTTGTCAAAAAATAACAAAAATAAGGGATCCAAGTGGGTGCGCCGAAAAAAAACGAGAGTTTTGTTCGAGACCGGAGTGGAACAATCTACTGGACAGAGAAGAATCATAGTCATACAAATTCTTAGTGCCCAAAATTCGAGTCTTCACGGCAAATTTCTTAGTGCGGTCAGGATTCGTGAAATTTTGTTGCCCGATTTCCGTCGGTTTACATCAATCGCATCGTTGTGTAATCTGGATGGTTTTTTTGTTTTTTTTTTTGTTCCTCCCACTTTCTAACCAGTGCTAAAACCCCCAGAATAATATAATTTTATTTCACATGTGGACTTATGTATGGAATATTAAGTTTGTGAAAACTTCAGACCTTTTTGATGTCGGTTGACTCAACTATTCTAAACCGAAGTCAGAAAAGGGTTCATAGTTCAAAAGTAATATAGAATTCGACTTTCCCAGGTTTTCCCTGACTTATAAAAAAAAAATCAAGTCATTTGTAGGTCATTTTTACACACTAGCTGGTGTTTATGTATTACACTTTTTTTAGACTGGACTGCATAATCTTTTTTATATCCAAAGAACCTCTTATAAAGGTTTCAAAACCAGCAATAGTTTTCTTTTTCAACAAACCAAAGCCGGTTTTCACAAAGTTTCCAGTTGCAAACATCAAATTCCCCGACTTTCATGAATACTTTTAAAATTCCCCGACTATTCCCTGATTTTTACGAAGAATAATGAATTCCGACTTTGCCTGGTATTCCCGGTTTTCCAGGCCATTACGAACCCTGCGAATAGCACTATGCAAACAACGCTTAACAATCAAATATTATTCCCTGTCAACAGTTTGGCCGGTTGGAAGAAATTCATAGTACACTATGTCGGGATCATCAAAGAAAACCATCAACACGACCTTGATTTTTGAGTGACTGGCGTGGTTTTTTCGGTCTTGGTTCACCTTTTGTAGATTCAACTCTCGTCTCCAGTAACGACGTGTTTCATGACGTTTTGGTACCTAGTCAGAAATCATTGTTTCACGATGTCAACGCGACGCTATTTTTGCATAAAGTTGAGCGTTTTTGGAACTAAATGATATTTGACGCGTCTAAGGCACAACAAATCCTTTAAAAATGGTATTTACCGAACATTTTGAAATGACAAAAGTATCAACAAGGTCTCTTATTGTTAATCGACGGTTTTCGAGCACAAGGTCTTTGATTTGATTAACGTGTTGTTCATCAGTTGACGCTGATGGTCATCCGAGACGCTGTTTGTCCTTAACGCTTTCCCTGCCTTCTTTAAAGACTTTGTACCACTTGTAAATATTTTTTTGCGACATAAACTTACCACTAAAGGCCTTCTGTGACATCCTCAACGCTTCCGCGGCAGAATATTCATTCCGCAAACAAAATTTAATGCAAATTCTTTGGTCAACAAAATCAGACATAGTGAAAATCAATAAACTCGCTTTCATATGTTTGCAGAAACACGAGTTGCTATGCAGCAGTTGAACATATAGACTTGAAACTCCGCATAGATATCAAGGACAGTACCACCAACCTACGAAAAAATAATGGCATGCTTTCATAATACCCACGAATTTTAAATAAGTAATTCATGTTATTTTTTGGACACAGTAACATATTCGAAATTTATAAAAATCACCGGCCTCGACAAATACCGACACGGACAATAAAAATAAGACCTGTGTTAAAAAAACAGAATAAACCACTTAAATTTTCACCCAGTACGTAACGCCCAACTTTGTTGTGTCTTCAAGCGCTCCGAAACTTAACAATTATTATAAATTGTACTTACTTGTAAGGATTTGTAATCCTGGAGGATCTTCTGCACGTCACGGGCCACCTTGTAGTGCTCGGCACCAATGATGTTGGGATCCATAATACGGGAGGTGGAATCGAGAGGATCCACGGCGGGGTAGATGCCCAACTCGGCGATGGCACGGGACAATACTGTGGTGGCGTCCAAGTGAGCGAACGTGGTGGCAGGGGCGGGATCTGTCAAGTCGTCGGCCGGCACGTAGATGGCCTGCACGGAAGTGATGGAACCCTTCTTTGTGGTGGTGATTCTCTCCTGCATGGTACCCATGTCAGTGGCCAACGTGGGTTGGTAACCCACGGCGGATGGGATACGACCCAACAGGGCCGATACCTCGGAACCGGCCTGGGTAAATCTGTAATTGAAGGTATTGTAAACGCCACAAATACGAGTTAAAACAAAATTGTCACAACATGTTTTCGTTGATCTGTAAATTTGTTTCCGATTTAGAGTTTCGTCTGAAGAAGAGAGTTACTAGGTCTATGAATTAATTTTGACAGATTTACAATAGATCGCGTTACTTATGCTATATCGCATCTGACACTTCTGTAACTATATTCATGTCGAAGCTGACATTAGGCTTTAATTTTTATCATGTCATTGTGCTGAAGTGTAAACAAATTTTTTCTCAGCTTTGAAAATGTAGAATTACGAATCAACAGAAAACCATTTACGGGAAGTTTTACTTTTTCTGTTTAATTCAAAGAAAAGTGCTGATAAGTGCCGTTGGAAATTTACGGTGAACATACTTCATCGATAAAAATGTGTGAGTATTGGTTTCGATGTTTTAAAAGTAGCGATTTTGATAGAGTTGACAAAAAACGCTCAGGTCAACGGAAAAAGTTCGGAGATGAGCATTACTCGACCAAGATTTACGTCAAATGAAACATGAACTTGTTCAATCGTTGAATGTTGATCGCACAACAATTTCCAAACATTTAAATGCATTCGGTATGCTTCAAAAGCAAGGAAATTGGGAGCCTTACAAACTGAAGCCGAGAGATGTTGAACAGCGATTTTTCACGTGTGAGCAATTGCTTCAATGGCAAAAAGAAAGAGTTTTTTGCTTTGTATCATCACTGGCGATTAAAAATGGATACGCTATGATAATCCTAAGCATAGAAAATTGTGGGATTTGCCTAGTCATACATCAACATCGATGACAAGATCGGATATTCATGGTTCGAAACTCATGTTCTGTATTTGGTGTGACCATCTTGGTGTTGTGTACTATGCGCTGCATCAACCTAATGAAACCATCACTGATGAACTCTACCGAACACAGCTGATGAATATGAGCCGTACATTGAAGAAGAAAAGGCCGCAATCCGAACAAAGGCACGATAAAGTAAAATTTTCAACATAACAACGCTAGACCACTTGCTTATGGAGTCAAAAAATACTTAGAAACTCTGAAACAGGATGTTTTACGTCACCCGCCACATTCACCAGATATTGCTCTATTGGATTACTACTTGTTCCGAGCCATGGAACAAGGCCTGGCTTAGCAGCCCCTCCAATCTTATGAAGATATGAAAAATTGGATTGATTTGTGGATGAAATCAAGACGAGTTGTTCTTTCTACACGGAATCTGTATGCTGCTAGAAAGGTGAGAAAACGTAGTGGCTAGAGATGGACAATACTTTTCCCATTTTTTCCCAATAAAGCCTTGAATTTACAAAAACCCTCAAAATTAATTCACAGTTCAAGTACATAATTAAAGCAACACATTGGTTATGTAAATTTTTCAGAAATTCGGATGACCACGTTTTTTTATTAATCTAGATTGACATGGTGCAGTGCCATAAATGATTGCAAGCCACATGAGAGGCGGGCTTAGGCAGCCAACATTGTACAGCTAGTACTATTAACTAAAAGTCCTTAAATCTTAGCACTGTTGATATTAATCATTCGTTTACAATGAACAATGACAAACCATTGCGTCTACACTGTAAACAATGCGATGGGTGATTGGTCGAATAAAATGTCGAGCAAACAAGTCGGTGAAACGTTATATTGTGTCCTGATTTTACTGATTTAATAAATTTTAATTTTACCGCAATTTTATTTAAGGGGTTACACCACTGTAGAATTTTCAAAAAATCTTTTTTTGTTTAATTTTGCACTTTTCCTGAAGCGTGTCGTGAGTCTCTCATACGGCTACTTGCTTGGAAGGTACCGCATACCTTCTTACCTATTGATTTAAAACTTCTCTAATACACCTATAGATGTCGTTAGGGCAGCCATGACAAACATGCGGCCCATTGAGCATTTTCCTGCGGCCCGAATCAATTTTGAAAATAGCCAGATAATGCGGCCCGTGAGCATGTTAAAAACTGTTTTTGAAAACGCGCTCGCTGCAACAAGTCGCGCGCACATACATATATCGCGACCCGATCGATGGGAAGCCTTCTGGCAGAATTTGGCAAGCGTTTTCAGGATTTTAAGTCCAAGAAAACAATTTTTCTTTATTTACTGGTTTTTTCACTACCGATATTGATAAAGTTCCCCCTTACTTGCATTTGGAAGTGATTGAGATTCAGTTTCAGACCCATTTAAAACAAAAATTTGATAGTGTTGGTATATTCGAATTTTACAAGTACTTGCCTGTTCAATACCAAGAAATGAGCAAATTTGCCTGTAAAATCCTGTCAATGTACCTGCAAGTGTGAACAATTATTTTCTTTGATGAAAGGAAACAAATTTCCCGCAAAGTCGCGATTGACAGACGCACACTTGGACGCAGTTTTAAAAGTTATTTCCGCCGATAAATTTACACCACAAATAGACAAATTTTATGACAAAAAATGTCAAATATCTGACAAAAGAAGTTAATGTTTGTACTTTTTTGGAATGTCCGTTTTATTGAAAATTTTATAAATATACTTGTCCTATAATAATACTTTTTTTCGTTAAGAATTTCGGTAGTTTATCTTCTTTAAGATTAGGTTTTGCGGCCCACCTAGTCTACGGTCTTCATGCTTTTGGCCCACCAGTGACCGAGTTTGACATGTCTGCGTTACGGAGTATTCGTGTACAATTCAAACAAAATTTAAAAGTCGAATTTTTTATTTTTTCATGTCTAAAACTGACTTTAAAACTTTAAACGCGTTTTTCTCGTAACACACTTTTTCAAAATGGCACGCACCATAACTCCAGCAATTTTCAATATTTTCTTTTGAACTTTTAACCACATATTTAAAACAACATTTTGAAGAGAAACACGTACGGATTTTTCGATAAGTTAATTTAAACAATTGTTATAAACAAATAACTAACCTTTTTTTTGTCAAAAATATAATTTAAACACTTGCCAATTTTACAAAAAAACAGTGTTTTTACAATCCCGTACGTGTTTCTCTAACTATACTCATGTAGATTAAGAGCAAATTTTTTTTTTGTTCCCTCTTGAAATTTGCACTAGTTCTAGTGCATGCCGCGGAACACCTCGACGGCAACATGCTTCAGGAGAATGGCTTCAGTGCCATTTTTTTTATGAAAAAAATTTTCTGTACACTTAAAACATGCCTAATAATATACTTAAACAGTTTTTTTCTATTACCTTTCCTTCTATTAAAAAAAAAATAATGTCAAAAACACGCTTTTTTAAGCCATTACAGTGGTATAACCCCTTAAATCTTAACACTGTTCATATTAATCATTCGTTTACAATGAACAATGACAAAACCATTACATTTACGTTCGAAATAATGCAATCGGTGATAAAATGTTGTGCAAACCAGTAGCAAGTCTGTGAAACAGAATATTGTCTTGATTTTACCGATTTAATAATTTTTACAAATATTAAAAAAAGTAAAACGTCCGTTCGAAATAATTTGCCGCCTCATTTGTAGTAAAAATATCGAACAAACTCAAACATCAAGACTTTTACCGCGAATAATGCTAGTAAGGTGCCAATTCCTAACCTGAAAATGTTGTCGATGAAAAGCAGCACGTCCTGTCCCTCCTGATCACGGAAATACTCAGCTACAGTCAATCCAGTCAAGGCGACACGGGCACGAGCACCTGGGGGCTCGTTCATCTGTCCGTACACCAGAGCTACCTTGGAGGTCTTGTCCTTCAAGGAGATGACACCGGACTCAATCATTTCATGGTACAAATCGTTACCCTCACGGGTACGCTCACCCACACCGGCAAACACAGAGTAACCACCATGGGCCTTGGCGACATTGTTGATAAGTTCCATAATCAGTACAGTTTTTCCTACGCCGGCACCACCGAAAAGGCCGATCTTACCTCCCTTAGCGTAGGGGGCCAAAAGGTCTACAACCTTAATGCCAGTTACGAGAATTTCTTGCTCGACGCTCATGTCGACGAATTCGGGTGCTTCAGCGTGAATGGAGGCGGTTTTGTCGGATGGAATGGGGCCTCTTTCATCGATTGGTTCGCCGATGACGTTCATGATCCTTCCCAAGGTCTCAACACCGACAGGGATACGGATCGGGTTGCCAGTGTCATTGACTTGCTGTCCACGTACCAATCCTTCCGTACCGTCCATGGCAATGGTACGTACAGTGTTCTCCCCCAAGTGTTGGGCAACCTGTTAGATACATCAAGTGTTTCATTAAGCATAAATGCCTGTCAAGATTGTATTCATATTAATATTTCAAGGTGACATTATTATGTAAGGACCAATTTATTAGTTTAGGATGCAAATTTTTAAATATATACAACAAAAAATTAAAAGGTAATTTTCATTTGCAATTTTCTGAAGTTAATCTGTGTCACTTACCTCAAGGACCAACCTGGGGGAACGGTTTTGAACCTCCAAAGCATTAAGAATTGGGGGCAGGTCCTCATCGAACTGTACATCTACTACGGCACCAATGACAGCAACAATTTGACCCTTTCCTTTTCCAGCAGCACCAGCAGCAGGTTTAGCGGCGTATCCTCTGTCTAAAATTACAAAAAACTATTAAAACAAAGCAAACATTTATTTAATTTTTTACATAATTTTCAAAATGGCGTTCGCCGTTTCCCGATTATGTAACCCAACTTAAAAAGTTTAGTTTTTTCGTGATTATAATAAACAACCATATATGTACATGGTGCTTTATGCTTTTAAAAATCAAGGCAAATTAAGATTAAGAATAGCAGATTTTAGACCCAGACCCCGAACCCGAACCGGTGATCATGTCAAAATATTTTACACTTCATTTCGTACTGTTTAGACAGGAAAATAGGAAATTTGATACTTACTCGAAGCATTGTAGACGGCAGCAACTTTTAACGTTTCAGAACCAACTTTTTCAATAGTTTTTCCAGCCAAAAGGCTGGAACTTGCTCTTGCCACAGCACCCAACATGGTCGAACTCGAACAGGATGAGTTCTGTGTTTCAACTGTTCGCCGCTAGGATAGGAAACACTTCCCTTGTGCGCGAAATCTAACTTTAGAGTGCGCGAGAATGTTCAATTTCAAATATTATATAATACAATTAATTATTATACTTACATTTGAAATATAATATATACTTTTAAAAAGGTAATAATGAAAAATATTTATTTGACATTTGGTAGGTACAATGGAAGCAACGTGACCGAAGTCTTTCAATTCAAATTTATTTGATTCAGGATTGAGGTAGATATATAATTAAAAAATAATTCTGCCTCCATTCTTTAATAAAAAAAAGAAATAAGTAATTATTCATTTATGATTTCTTTATTCATAACTAATTATCTATTAAAATCTTAAGGTGAATTTAAAGATTACTCTATTTTAACTTTGTTCCATAGTTCTTGCTTTGCTCTAATGTTTGTTCCATTTTTCATCCTAATGTCAATAGGAATTTTGTGCCAAATTGACATTTGATTGCGGTACTTTATCAAATTCTAAGAACTTTATTTATTTCATAAATAATCAAATAATTAAACTCTGCCCTAATTAAATTAAATCCGTATTTTTGGCTCCCTCTAGCGGTAAAATTATAGTGGAAGAACTTTTAGGAGGGAAATTCAAATTGGGAAGGTGCTTTTATCGTGGCCAATTCAAAATATCTCAGTAAATATTGATCATATAAAAATATTTTTGTTTCCTGTACTGTACTGTATTAAAAATCTCTGAAGATAACTTAATCCATAGTTAGTTTCTCGTATAATACAGTTCTGCAGGGTTAAAGTCAAAACAAGAAAAAGGTTATTGAAAAATTGATTGACAAATCAAATTCAATTTACAAATTTAAAATAAATTTTATAACAACCATTCTTTTTTATAGAATTACGAACATTAAATCTGTTTGAAACACAAATTCAATATGTACACGTCACAACCTAATAAAACTCAATAATTTATTTATTATTTATTTCACCAAATTGCTACAACTTGGAGGTCGACATAGGTCAATATGCTAATTTCTGTAATTTATATAAACAAAAAAAAATTGTAGACAGAAATATTCAGATATTAAGCAAGGAATTGTTCAAATTGTCGAAATTAATTACTAAAATAAATTAAAAATCAATCTTAATTTTGCCACAAAATAGCAGTTAATTGCAGTATTGCATATATGATGTCACATGGTGACGAATACTAAAGCACCCTAGATTAGAGAAGGATATCGAGTCAAAACGAGCAGCGTTTTAGTTTTTTTGTTCATATATTTATAGTTTCTTATATTTTTTGGGTAAACTGGTTAATAAAATATTGATTTATGTCTTTATTTTACCACATTCCTGCAAGTAGGTTGAAGATAATTTTATATCTCGACGCAATGTACGGAATAAAAAAATTAAAAATTTTCACGATTTATTACATTTTAAACAATATTGTATGTGCATACGTTGCCAATTGCAAATAAAACTAATTTGTTTTAAAATAATTATTTTTGTCATAAATAAGTAAAAATACTAATCCGCGATTGTTATGAATTATTTTTTTAATTGTTTTGAGTTTTTACAAACAATTGAGTTACTATGTCTTTACTTCCGGCGGGTGGTGTGGTTTGCTTTTTAATAAACTTTTCTTTAAATTATGAAATTTAACAACAATGCATAGTCCAGTTCGCAATTGTGCATGTGCTGCAACTAAAGCATGCCGTTGTTTGATGTTAAACTAGTCCAGCGGCACAATATGAAACTTACTAAAAAAAGGGTTAAAAAGAAAATGAAGTTTTCACAACGGAATTTCAAAAATTAACTATTGATGTGTTTCTCCCCACTCAAAATTACAACCTATACAGGGTGTCCCACTAGAAGCTGCGTTGATCGATATCTGGGAAAGTACTGCTCAGAAAAATTTGAAAATTTGGCAACATGGCAATGTTCCTGGGGCGAACACAACTAAAATATCTAGAACTCTTCAGCACTTTTGGTTATAGCGGAAGTCGACACCAACTTCGTTATTTTAAATGGGAAACCCTATATATTATTGCAATTTTGGATTCTAAGTGAAATTTGAGGGTCACTTTATTAAATATCCCCTGTACTTGGGAATTATAGAATTTGAGATATTAATATTTAAATAAAAAATTTGACATATGCAAGGATCCGCGAAGATGCTAGTAACTTTTTTCAGGAGCGTGACATCAAGTGGATTTTTGGTAACTGTTAAGGTCATAGATAACACTAAGTTAAAACATTTAATACTAGGTGTTTCATTTTCGCTGTTACCTTTTGATAATTTCAAAGAGCTATAATTTTGTTAACTTAAATGGAATACCCTGTATTTTTTTACTCTATCATATGCAGATTTAAATTTTCTTTCAAGCCATATAATCATTGTTAGGGTTGCCTTTACTACTTTTGGAGATATTTACAATTTTCTATTTTTAGGACAGTTTTTCTCGTATCAGGCCTGTTGTCAAATGTGACATAACCAGAAACACTCAAAAACAATTAAAATAACTTGACAAATGTCAGTTGTCAAATTATTGTTATGTCTGTAATAGTTTTTGCTGAAAATTTAAATAAAAATGCCTGGCGATCGTTTAAATTATGCTTATGAGGATTATTTTAATTTGTTTGTTATTTATGGAAGAAAGCAGTAGATTCGCTACATGTTCTTGAAATTACTATGTCTTTGTCACATTTTCCATAAATAACAAGCAAATTAAAATAATCCTCATTAGTATAATTTAAACGATCCTCAGGCATTTTTATTTAAATTTTCGGCAAATGCTATTCAGACACAACAATAATTTGACAACTAACTTCACAAATGTGATATTATTTCAATTGTTTTTGGTCATGGCACATTTGACAACAGGTCTGATACGAGAAAAACTGTACAAAAAATAGAAAATTACAAATATCTCTAAAAGTAGTAACGGTAGTCCTAACAATGATTATATGGCTTGGAAGGAAATTTCAATCTGCATACGACAGAGTAACAAAATATAGGGTGTTCCATTTAAGTTAACAAAGTTATAGCTGTTTCAAGTTATCAAAATGTAACGGCAAAAATGAAACACCTAGTATTAAATGTTTTAATGTGCAGGTATATACCATAATGTATTGTTACCTATGCCCTTTACAGGTACCAAAAATCCACTTGATATCACGCTCCTGAAAAGAGTTACTAGCATCTCCACGAATCCATGTACCTGTCAAATTTTTTCTTTAAAAATTAATATATCAAAATTTATAACTCCTAGGTATAGGGAATATTTAATAAAGTGACCCTCAAATTTCACGTAGAATACGAAAATGTAATATTAGTCAAGGAAATAAAGCACAAAAGGAGCCGAAATCTCCGAAATCGTATCAAGATGGGGTTTTTTGCATTCGCTTTCTAAAATGATGTGGAAAAAATGTAGCAACTTTGTATTTGGCCAAATTACATTTGTGCAGTGCAAAATGCATTTTTTAAAGTCACTTGGAAAAAATTCATAACTCGGTTAATAATGCCTGGAATTGAATTTTTCTGACGATTACGCCGATTTCAAGGTCCAGGTTCCAGTGCACCAGGTGTCCGGAGAGTGGTCGCCGACGATAGATTCGAGAAGAGCACCCCAAAAAACCCCCTGATGCGATTTTCGGCTCGTTTACGCGAATTTTACAGGAAAACTCTTGGTGATGACGTCCATGTCCAGGTTCCGGTGCACCAGGTGTCCAGGATGTGCTCGCCGACGCCAGATTAGGAAAATGCGACCCAAAAAAACCCCTGGGGGTCAAGTTTCGTTGCATTTAAGAGTGAAATTCAGAAGCCTCGGATATGACGTTTATCATCAATCCTAAGCTCCAGGTGGGCGGTGGACCAATTTGAAGGTCATATTCAGGGACCTCGAGAACCCCCAGGACCCTGATTTGAGTCCATTCCAGGTATTATTAACCGAGTTATGAATTTTTTCTAAATGACTTTAAAAAATGCATTTTCCGGATGCATTTTGCACTGCATAAATGCGATTTGGCCGAAAAACATAATGCAAAGGTGCTGCATTTTCTTCACATAATTTTAGAAACCGAATGCAAAAAACCCCATCTTGATACGACTTGATCGAAAAATTTTGGAGGTTCAGTGCTTTATTTCCTCGACTATGTATAGGGTGTCCCATTTAAAATAACGAAGTTGGTGTCGACTTCCAGTATAACTGGAAGTGCTGGAGAATTCTAGATATTTTAGTTGTGTTCGCCCTAAGGACAAAATTTTAAAATTTTTGGGAGTAATACTTTCCTAGATATCGATCGATGCAGTTCCCGGTGGGACACCCTATATAATCAGGAACTGAAGCTGCTAACGAAAATCTGATAAAAATCTGTATATTGAGAACAAAGCACTTTTAAAGTTTGGTCAAGAATTTTACTTACACCTTGTATGTTCCTAATTTGGTACATGTTAATAAAACAAAAAAATTAGTTGCGACTCGTTTTTATTCTTCTTTATTTAAATACAGAAATTGAAGTTAATACGACGAAAATACGTTCATCTATAAAAAACAATTTCCAAAGACGAAAACAAACTTATAACATTCAATATTGCATTAAAAAATGTTAGTAAAATGACGATATACCTGTTAATCTGCTTCCATGCGAATCTACGCAGTTGGACATAAATATTATAATTGTATAATAAAATCGAAAGTAGCTATATATAAAAACAACCTAAAAATAATATGTACAATATAAAAGTCTCACATAAACACTGGTATGATAATAAAAACATTTTGCACTTTTTTACATTTTCGTACTTGACGTAGAAGCAAAATATGTTTTGTTCCGCTTAGCGTTCGTTTTGACCTCCTTAACTTTGGTAGCGAACCTTAACGAAAAGATACTCTCTGTGAAGCACTCCTCGAACGGAGCAATATTGACGATCATCAAGGTTTTCGAACTGCCCCCTAAGCATGACTGGAGCAAATAGGTCAGTTTCGAATTCCTGTACGGCACATGTTTTTCTTTGTTATACAATGACAGCATAACGCACTCTAAGGCGGATAAACTTCTATTTATATTCTTAGTTTCCACCAGCCTCTCATTTGAACTTGTTTTGGCACTCTCGGATCCGGCGAGATCCACCAAGTTAATAGAGCCCGTATATGTTGCGTTCATTTCACTATTGCTACCTTTTAGATATATTTTTGTAACCGCATGTGACCGCGAACTGTGCTCGTTGAAGTCCGTCGTTGCAACGGCCCTATTTCGCTGGGCAATCGTCAATAAATTTTTTAATTCCTCTGCGCTTTCTAATTTTTGTATCGACAAATTCGTAACCGTCGTTCCTTTTCCTTCATTAAAACGGATTTCTAGATTCAGAGCTGGATTCAGATTTAATAAATCTCGGACGTTTTCGTTGTAGATTTCCAGAAAACTCGCGCTAATTTCGTAACACCAACCTGATGTTCTCAAATTCCTTATACTATCAAATATGAGATCGATAGTTCTAGGTATTATTCCTATAAATAAAAAAATTTGTTACACAAATATGTACTATGTGACCAATTTCAGACGGAAATGTCCCCGTAAAAATTTATTCAGTTATCAAAGCCTGCTTATAATTTTTTTTTTTTCATTGACAAATCCAGGGAGACCAGACAAGGAGCACGAACCCATACGGGAAAATTGACAATATTTGTCAATGTAATAGTAGAAATTACTTATAGTTTTTACCGATAGGGTCACTAGTGTTCCTTGTACACCGACATATTTTCATTATTTATTGATTTGTTCATATAATTCATAGTCCAGACGGTATGTTTCAAAAAGTCCATATTTGGGTGAATCGTATATCCACAATTTTTGGTTTTTTGGCTTTCAAATATCACTAGAAATGAAAATTTTTCTATGCGCATAAAAAAAATGTGGGCTAAACTATTGGCGGCACAATATGTTAGAAAAATTCGAAAAATGTCATATTTTTCTTCCTATTTAATTATGTATCTTTTCAAGAGTTGATTTTAGGCAAAAATGGAAGAGGAAAAAAATTTTTGTAATTAAATTTTTTACAAAGTACGACTAGTAATAATCGAATGATTATTATTGTAAAAATCGAAAAAATCGCCAAAATTGGGATTAAAAAACTACTTTTTAGGGAATTTTTTGGGGTTTTTAAATTGGGTATAGGACCTTCATACTTGCCTCAAAAAAACTTCATATTATGTATAATCATCACACCAAATTTCATCAAAGTCGGTTCGATAGATTTTGCATAATTTTGCAATCCAGATTTTGAAAAAAATTTGCAAATTTTCAAAATCTTACACAGCAAAAACCAAGGCCCTTGGATACTTGAAAATTTAATCACATATAGAAGGGCCCTCAAGCTTTCAAACGCAACTTTTCTGTTTACTTCTGCATATTAAACACACACAACACAATAAATTTTCAATACAGAATATGTACCTAAATTATAAAATTTATATAAAATTTAAAATAATTTTAAATTACACAATCAAACGGAAATTTCAGGTGAAGCGGTGCGTCACTTATGTCACCTGACGAGCTGCCACTGTAGCGCCCTCTAATTCGGTAAGATATTTGTTTACAGAGTTCGTGCTCCTTATGCAGTCTCCATGGTCAAACCGTTGGAATTTAATTGGCTATTTTTTAATTTAAAGCCAGACTTGAATACTGTGTTTTATCACTTCTGTTCTTTTTAAATGGAAATACCTTCACGAACTGGCTCTATTTAAATAATGCACTTCTACCTGTGAGGTACGCTTAATTCAAAAGTGTACAATGTACAACCAAAAGAGAAGAACTAAGGGGGAGAATAACTCTTCAAATATTTGTTATACACAGCGTTCATAAATGATTAGCTTAGCGTCACTGATATTAATGATCTGTTTACGGCAAATAGTGACAAACCGTTACGTCTACGCTTGAGATAATGCGATCAATGATTGGTTGAATAAAATCTCATCAAAAATTACTCCGATCATTAGCTGATGAAACAGAATATTGTATTTTCCAAACAAAATTACTGCTTGTAATCATTTAAGAAGGCTTATTCCTAATTGTAATCAAATGGTTCATCCATTAGAATTAAAAAATATTACTTACTCATTCAGAAAAAGTAGAAATGGTAAAAACCATTAGTATCGACTGTACAATTAGCGATTCATATTTTTTCACAAAATTAGGTAGAAACTCAATCGAGGGAATTGCAGTGCATTAATTTTAAATGAAAAAAATTATTAACCAATTTTTATCAAATTTGGCAATGAAATAAATTAGTAGGCTTTAATAACTATAAATAAATTTAAACTTCAACTTAAAAAAAAATTAAAAGGGAATAAAATCGAACAACAAATACCTCTTTTACAAAAGGCGTTTAAAGGGTGATCGCAAAAATCGCCTGTTTCACAATTCGCAAAGAACTAAAGAAAATAGATAAAAATATGTTTTTGGTCAAATTACTCGTGGTAAAAAATTAAGATGAGCATAGCTTTTAGTTTTTTGAAAATTATTTGCGACTTAAAACATATTTTTATGTATTTTTTTAAATTGTCTGCGAATTGTGAAAAGACGGGCGAAAATCACAGGTTTTTTGCGGTCACTCTAAAATGGTTCACATGTTATATTTTGTTTCAAAGTACGCACATAGAAATTTATTTTCAGTGTGTCCCCGAATGAAGTTAAACCAAAAAATCCACCGTTCAATTTATTCCCAACCTTTACGTTACATCCAGTATACTATTTTTATTTTATCGGGAAAGCCAAAGAACGTGTGCCACAAAAAAAATGTATATACTTTCTAACAGAGTATGATAACACCCTGTATTTTGACCTGGCGAAGACGATGGAGCCATGAGAAGTGCTCTATCACGTCACGATTTTTCCGTCATCTCAAAAACTAGCTCAAAATTAGCGGAAATCTCGATTTTTTGTTAAAATAGTTAGAATTTTGAAGTCAAAGTACATAGACGTGCTAACAGGGCCAAAATAAAAACTTTTTATTCCTGCACTTTTTTCTTCTCTATAATGTGTGGAGTTGCAGCCATTTTTAACCAATTTTGGGCATTAAAATGCCTCATGACTGCATTTTAAAGAAAAAAGTTTTTATTTTCACCCTATTAACACGCCAACAGAAATCAAACAAACAAAAAAAAAAAACAAAGAAAACGCAAAATTAAAAAGAAACATATAAAGGTATGAAGTTCTTACCTTTCTTCTCTAACGTTTCCTCGCCTTGCATTGTATAAGTCTTCCCGGAGCCAGTTTGCCCGTATGCGAATACGCATACATCGTACCCATCCAACGCAGACTGCACCAACTGCGCGAATTCTTCAAATATTTCCCTTTGGGAAGTATTAGGTTCGAAGATTTTGTCAACCGTAAACTCGGCTTTGATATCGGTTGGTTTTCCACTGATAGCACTGATACTCTCCCTACTTTTCCGAATCTCTATCGTTTTATCGTCAATAAAGTTAACCACGCACTGAGGGAAATCCTCCTCCGACCTTATTGGAGGGCGAACGCGGCAATACACCCTAATGTTCCCTTTTAAGTCCTGTATGACGTTGTGGAGTTTCCGTCGTATATCCTCGCCGTTGTATAGATCCTTCTTCAAAATAGCATTTTGTTCCGACAGTTCAGTTATTCTCTTACTCCCCAACGTTACGTTTAATTTAAGTTCCTCGTTTTCGGCTACAATCTTATCATAGTCTGCTTTGAGTACATTGAGGGTTTCAACGACCTGCTCGTGTTCTTTTGTTAGTTGTGCGTGACTTGCTTTAAGGTTTGAGTAATCCGTGCTCAGACTTCCATGCTCTCTACTTAAACCCTCATTTTCATGAGACAATTTCTCACATTCAACAATTTTTGTATTTAGTAACTGTTTTAAGTCTTCACATTGTCTCGCGAAGACACTCAGTCTCTCATCCAGCTCAGATGCCCTCTCTTTTAAAATTTTATTCTCGGCAACTGTATTACAGTTTAGGTTTGTTAAGGTTCTGTATTTACTACTAACTGTATCGTACTCATTTCTAACTGTAGTGTACTTTTCCTCTAAAACGTTAAATTCTGGAAAAACAAAATATTAAAAGGTTAAAATACCGTACTTGAACGAGGATCGGGTGATACGAAAAGTGCAGCTAATTTTGTATTATCAAGATATAATTTTTTACAAAGCGAAGTCAAATTCTGTGAATTATTCTCGAATTATTTATGGATTTGTTCTGTTTTTAATTAATGCCAGTTTGAATATTTAACATAGGTTCTTATGGGACATGCTACGATGCATACCCTTACAAGCGAATTATCAACATAAAAAGTTCTGATTTGTCCGCCAAATAATAAATGTGGAGTAACGGCAACAGCGCAATAGAGTATGAATGAGGATAGGTGGCGGGACATTTAAATAAACGTTTCAATACACAAATTAGTCATTAGAAATGGATTACATTCAACTTGTGTTCATTTGCGAATTTTCATGCGAAATTTTTGCAAAATTTGTATAAAAAAATAGTTTTTCTTTAACTACTATTCATTGAAGCCTGCCGATCGTTCAAAAAACCGAGCGGTGACCGCATGCTTGCCGTACGAATTTTAATTTTGTCGGCAGCCAACCGTCAACATTGCTGACAACGACTTTGTGTGCAAAGATGTATTTAACTATATGTAAATTAAAATTTAGTGGATTATTTTGCCGATCGGTATTTATACCGATTCACAAAATACTGTACGTGTGCAAGAACCGTAAGGGTTAACTGCCACTGTTTCACATCCAATTTTTTATTCAATTATTTTTTTTTAGGCTAGCGTTTTGTAGACATGAAATCACACTTTTAGTAAGACAACGACAGAATAATCCGTCAAACAATAAAAATGTTGGAATACAAGCATTATTTTAATTTTTCAGTGGAAAATCACAAAAAAGTTTTGTCGAGAATTTTGCAAAAAATACACAGTAATTATGATTAATTCATGTGGTAGTAGTTTCATAAAAGTATTCTGCAGGGTGTGATTATGTTAATAGTACCGCAAGCGATTTTCTGTATATTCAACAAGCATATGTAACTTTCAGGAAACGTAATGATAAACATGAGAGGTAAAAATAAGCTTTTTTCTTATTCTAAATGGATTGTCAGCCTGTAAACTGTCTTATACCCTAGAGAAAACTTGTATAACTGGTACAGTGAAGATATATTATTTCAACCTCATCTAGATTTCCTAAAACTCTCGTCAAAAGAATGAAAGTTACGTATAAAAATTAAAGTTCAAGGACTTTGATTGGATAAACACTTCAAAAAAACATTAATTCGTACAAAATAACGTATTCTAATTTTCCAGATATTTAGCACCACCCTGTATATGCTTGCTCCACAACTTGTGAAACAAAACTATTTACTCAAAGAACTTTCAACTAAAGATGTTTTATTATTTTAGCTCTAGTAAATGCAACTGAGAAAATTCCACACGCACTTGTACTAACCTTCTATTTTATCCTTTTGTTTCTTGTGTTCCTCGTTTAAAACGGTATATTTTTCTCGTAACTGATTGTACCGAGCTTTATAATCCCAGTCTGGTATCTTCGCTTGTTTGACAACTTTAGGTTTGCCTTCATCACTCGACTTCTCGCCTTTTCTTTTCTGTGCAGTTTTGTTTGCGGCTGATTCAACTCTTTGGACTTTACACGTTGTTTTCGACATTATCTTTGGTTTCTTCACATCTAATTGTAAGTCTGCAATGGATTTTGATTTCGTAGACAACGCCCCGGGTAACAATGCAACTGTACTCGTTGAGGGGAGATTGGTCGCATTCTCAGATAGGGGTTGCAATTTAGATCTTTTAATCAAGGGCGCTTTGAACACAGGTTTATATAGTGTTGATGTCGGCATTTCTTCCACATTCTAAAAAAAAATTTATGGTAATTTATTCCACACTCATTGTTTTGTTCTTTACTACAAAAGTTTGTGTTCAATTAGAAACAAACGAAAGTATGTTAGTACTACTTTTTGATATAAAAAACATATTAGGCATTTTTTTTAAGAAAGAAATGGATAGCATTTTCGATTCGATCACACCTCCAAACCCTAAATACAAAGTTTCGTTATTTTCATTATAGCTTTTACAGAGTGTTCACAAAATACAGTTCTAGGTGGTTCAAATCCCACTGAGGGAAAACAATAAATAAATTTAAAAATTTTATAAATCAGATTACATGAACATATTTGGAGTTAATAAAAAATAGGGTAAAGGAATATGGAATTTTTAGAGTGAAAATGAAAAATGCTTTTTAAGCATTTAAAATTTTTGAATGGAGAAAAAAGGACGTTTAAAAAAAATCTGTCTTCATAAATAAAGTCTGCTTCAACATTTAATGGAAAATTATCTATTTCAAAATAATTACAGTGAAAATTTAGCTTGGACCATCAGAATCAGAATAATTTTATATTACCTTATATTTCCTCCCAATATCACGTAAATCAGCAAAAGATTTTGATCGGCGCTTTAAAATCTTAGATGGCGGGGCTGTAACTGTCAGTGGATTTTTATCGTCAGACAAACGTCGTGTTTTCATCCCTCTGACTTGAGGTGGTCTCAATTTTGATGGTTTGTGGGATTTTACGTTATTTTCCTCCATACTCTGAAACAAAAAAAAAAAATGTATAATTTTTAAAAAAATACTTTCCCTTTTCGAGATTTCAGCATCAGATGCGTCTTTTAAAATTTTTTATTGTGTTCATTATGAAAGTTCCTCATGGAAAAATAATGGGAGTAGTTCATAACGTTTTTTTCTTAGAAGCTCTGTTTTCAAGATACAGGGTGTTGAAGTTGTTACTTCCCAAATGGTTTTCCTTAATTATCTTTAAATCGGCTAAAGATAAAAATGTCAAAATTTGTACACGAGTAAACATCAAGTGGACATTAGGAATGTGCAAATGGTTTCTTTCTGATAAGCAGTGTCACCGATACAGGTAATTGGAATGGTACAATCGAAAAAAAAATGTTAAATTTCAATTTCTCGAAAATGGTAAATGCGAATTTCGACGAGTATACTTTTTTCTTGTAGTATGCTTTAGAGTTCACAAAACCCTTTAGAAATGTAGCAAATTTTGACCTTAAACGTTATATGAACTAACCAATTATTTTCCCATGAGGAACTTGCACACAATTTTTTTTAAACATGAACGGGACACCCTGTATGTAAGTGGAATTATGATTATCTGTAATCAGAAAAGTTGACGGAAGAAATTATCTTTTGACAACACATATTGAGTGCATCAACTTATGAAATCATGAAAAATCACACAATTCCAAGAGTTGTCTTCATTAGATTACATCAAGAACATTTTTTATATTTTTTGACAGCAGATTAGCAATGGCAATAATTCAATGACGTGATATATCTAAAGAAATTAAATGTTTAAACAATAAATGGACTAAGGGGGGAAGGGGTATGATTTTTGTAGGTGGGTCACTAACTGCTGTATATTATGATATTTTTACAATCATTGAGAAGTTCTTGCCCTATTTGAGTTGCTTACTCCTGGTTACACACCTGCAAAAGTATATGTACTGCTTGTGCATACAACACTATCTAAATGTACCATAGATGATGCCCACATCTTAGTCAAATAGATGTTACTGTTATGCATTATCAGCACTCATCCAATAAAAACGTTATTACACTACGACTCATATAATCAAAATATGATACTAGTTTACCAGGCCTCGCCAAAGAGGATATACAAAATTCCTCTGCCCTCACTATAGGCATCTAAAAGCGGATAACAGTATGGTATTTTCAGGCTGTTTTTTTTTTTTTTTTTTTTCAAGAAAATAAAAACTACAAATTGTATTCATATGTGGATAAAAAAGTATTTCACATTTCCATAAATCGTTAATTATAGATTTTGAGAAGCTAGAAATAATCACTTTTATTTGAGGTGAAAAATGACTAAGGCGTCAATCAAATTAATTAATTTTTTATTTAAGCATTCCTCTTCAGCTATACATGACAATTACCTTAATTTCAAATTTTATTTTAAATACTCACTAATTTCCCAATTATGTACACTTATAGAAATGATACTTCGCAATAAATATACACCAAACACAAACTCGCTTTTCAAGTTAATGAAAGTAATTGATAATTTTACTTCTACAATCTTAACAGAAAACCAGTAACTGTAACGGTCGTAAGTACGTCAAATTTCAAATGAAATTAAATTTGTTCTGTATCTTATTCTTATTGGTCAGAAATATGGATAGATTAGGGAGAAAGAGCGTCGACCTACGCGCGCATATATTATAATAATGGGCGCCCTCTAGTGGTCTATCAAATCCTTGGAGCGACCCCATTTATTCTACAGGGGGAAATCAATACTTTCTTGGATTACGAGGGCTGATTGTTTTTAATTTTTTTCCGTATGAAAAATCATAAATAAAAATAAATCCCCATACTACTTGTGCAGTTAGTAATAGCGATAACAGAAACTGTTAAAAAGTACATTATATTATAACTTTATTTCTGCAGTAAATTTCTGATTTATAAATTGTAAACCATTTCTTTTACTCATACGGCTGTGAACTGTAACTTTGCTAACGCTTGTGGATTTTGCGCCGTAAGAAAGGCGTTTAGCTTCTCGTTTAGGTTTTTTATCTGTTGAGCTCATATGCAGAAGTAATACTACAAATAGCAACTATGGTATCTTTAATTTAGTAACTTATTCAGGTATATGTTCAAAATTTTTTATTTTACAGAAGAACTAAAAAACCACTATTTTTTAAACTGTAGCATGACGTGACAATGACACGCAAATGGCAGCTTAATTTTGATATTTGAATGAACAATGAGATAAAAATATTGAAAAGAGGCAATTTGTACAACGCTTATGTATTGACATGAAATTTCACTTATGCCGCTTGCGAATTATTTACTGCGAAAAGTACGCTGCGCCAATTTCACGCCCGTATGGGTGATCCTTAATGCACTGACACCCATGCATCAATAAATATACACTGCGCACACGCAATCTCTCCGCTAGGTTCATGGTTCGTGCCACAGAGGCACTGCTGTCCGTGCTTCTCCATTACTCCATTATTTCATTTCTCTACCCGTTTGGCTTCGTGCTTCGTGGATTACGGTGCTCAAGTTCAACTTTTTCTTTTAAACGATATTTGTGTTCTGTGGTTGTTAAACTACTTTAAAATTTTAGGAAGGTTTGTTTTGCTTATTTATTTTTGAAGGAAATATATTAATTAGATATTGGTGCCATTAGCAAAATTTATCGACAGGAAAGAACTGGAATTTTCCACGCCTCTTTGTAAGTGAAACGGTTGCTAAACGTTATCACAACTTTACGAAATCTACAACGGTATGAACGAATAGGTTAGTAACTGTTTAAACAGAGGACTAATAATATTGTTACTATTAATAATAATAAACAAGTTTTCTGAATAGTCGAGAATAATTTCTGCTGAGCACGTTCAGAAGGACCAGGTTACTAACCTGATTAAATTCATTTTGACAATTATATTTGATTATTTCCATTTTGAATAAGGGCACATTGCGAACCTAGTATATTTTTACATTCCAGTGATAAGCTTTCCAAATCCCTTACTAGTCTGCAGTTTTTTACTTATTATTATTATTTAATTAAATATTATTTCTTTTAGGCCCAGTGTATGAAAGAGATAATCCTTTGGAATTAGTTAAGATGAATTCACTATTCAATTCGGATGAAAATGAAAGTGGTAGGATTTCCTTGAACAGCAACAACATTATAATAGTTTCCGAAGATGGAACCAGGTGGAGGTAATTCACTTTATTTCTTTGGCAAAATTAAAAATATTTTCTTTTTCCAGTCCAGAGTATGGGTCAGATAAAAACACAATGCCATTACGCGTGGTCAATAATGTTTTGAGCACGATAATGGGAACAAATTCCAGTGAAGTGGCAGATGAAGAAATGCCTTTAAATACAAGAAATGTTATGATTGTGTCTGAGGATTCATCAGAATGGAGGTAAATATAATGTTTTTCAGTAATTTCAAATTAACACAATTTTTTTTATTGTAGCCAAAAATTTATTGCAGTCAATGAAAACCAAGCACCTTTGGCTGCAATTAATGATACAAATGATACTTGGATAGAAGATGAAAAAGAATCACTGAAAGTCAAGAAAGGGGACGGAAATATAAATTATACTGGGTCTGAAAATGGATTGAGGTACTAATAATGTAATAACTAGTTTGACTTATGAGTGTTTATCAATTACTTTTATTTTAGTAGCTCTGTCCCAGATCCTGAACATTTCCAAGATAAAAACACCAAAGAACCTCCAGAAGAATTTTTAAACTCAGATTTATTGAGATGTAGAACTTGCCTTTCCATCGTAGATACCGAAGAAGGTATTCCGTTATATACTCTCGAACCGTCTGGTGAAACGTTGAGAGAGTTACTGATTTACCTCCTTCCGCAAATGGTAAGTACTTTGTTTTTCTCTATATGAAATATACTTTTATGACTTTGTAACTTCGACAGGTTTCTACGGTGTGCGATGAAGATGTAGTTTGCAAACAGTGCAATACGAGCATTAAGTTTTGTGTGGATTTCATCGATAACTGCATAAGAGTAGAAACCGAGTTGCTGAATGAATTCGAGGAAGATCAGGAAGAGGTTGACGGTAAGATATTTGATAATTTCATTGCGCAGTGGCGGTTTATGGAACTAGAGGTAGGTAGCAGTATTATTAAAGAAAAAAATGGTACGCCAATGGTTTTTCTCCCAAATAAAATTATTTTGGTCCTACGATGCATTTCATTAAGGAACACCCTGTTTATACTTTAAAATATAAATTTTTGCCAATTTCTAGTAATCACTTGTGTGGGAGGTCATGGACCAAATGACCGTACATAGAAGCCTCCACGGCCATTAAGAATATACCTTCTGCTAGTATTTAAGTCATAAATCTTTATTTAGAGACCGAAGTGAAGTTCAGACCCCAAGAACCGACCCACGTTACATTAGATCACGACTACATGGTGTCCGAGTTGGTGTTGCCACAATTAAAGACCGAGAACCCCACATTCATGGAAACAGAAGAGTCCGGGACAGCCGGGAATCTGTTAAGCAACGACGACCCAACATTGGCGTCCGCAGACGAGTACCTCTTTGAGTGCTTCACATGCGCACAGACGTTCGAATCGGAAAACGCCTTAGACATCCACGCGAAGGCAGAGCACGGTATAATAAAACAAGCCAACAGGGAGCTGAAGCAGGAGGAGAAGATCTATTACAAATGTAATTCTTGCGAGGTGTTGTTCGCCTCGAAGTCGGCTTACAATCTACACGTACAGGGCAGCCACCCGGAAAAGGGGGTCCAGTCCGCACCGCAGGGCACGTATACATGTAAACAGTGCTGCAATAAGTTTTTCTACCTGGGGGACCTGTTCGAGCACAAAAGGAGGGTGCATGGGTTCAACTGCACTATTTGCCCTGAAAGGTAAGGCCGCCAATGCCCAGGAGAAACTTAAGTGTTAGTTTTCTTCTTACAAGACCTTTTTCTCGATTTCTATGAAACGTCTTCCATAAAATTCCACCACTTAATTTTTTTTCAGTCATTTCTAGACATTGCATAGAAATTTAAAACACCCTCGGCATTTCTATAGGTTCAACGCGAAGGAAGACTTGGACGCTCATTTGGAGACACATCCCGACTTGTACTCCTGCGAAATATGCAACAAGGCGTTTAAAACGAAGAAATCGATGACTAGTCACACGAAGACGCATATCAGCTCTGAAATGAACGATTGTGGGGAGTGCGGTCGCAGCTTTGACACGTTCGAAGAGCTTAATTTGCATTTGGAGCAAGACGACCACTCGATGCTGACGATCATCAAGAAATTTATATGCGAGATATGTGACGCTTGCTTCACGGACAAAAAGAGGCTCAACAAGCACAAGCAGGTCTATCATGACTACATCCGGGAGTACCTGTGCACGGTTTGCGACAAGAATTTCTCGTCCAAGACGAGTTTGGATAGCCACTACAGGTAAGAGAATTTCGGTGTTTTTTTTGTTTTGTTACAGACTCGGAGGCAGATCCTAATATAAAATAATATTTCGTGAATTTTTATTTACGTATCGGAACACCTATTTATACCCCCCAAAATGACTCACGTGAAATAAAAATAAGTTTCTCGAGCCATACTTGTACAATTACCAACGGCGAGCCAAAAAAATAAAAAAACAAAAAATCCGATCATCCAAACAAGAACATGGCGCCCAACGTGGGGCCATGACGGAACGTGAACATTATTTCGTTAAAACAGTCAGTGGCAAAATATTTTTTTAAATAACTTGCGTTTGCATAGGTATGTTGATGTTTCATCATTCATTGACAAAACAGGCGGTTGCTGACTCTCTGTTGTCTTTGCCATCGTTTATTATTTAAGGTCATCCGTTATTAATTATGTGTTGTGTTACGATTGTTGATTACTGTTAATTGGGTATTTGGTGTATTGGAACATACTTTGTCCGTGATTAACGTCAAAATTAATTATCCAGAATTATCAGAGGCAGACAGTTTGTTAACCGAATATTTTGTCGGTGAAAATTAATACAATAAAATTGAATATACGTAGATGGTCAGTAATGTAGTTACAACAAAACAGATTCCACTTTTTGACCCATCCATTCCATTTTTTGACTAATTTGACTCCATTTTATTCGATTTCATTGATTGAATGCGCTAATCCAATTCAATTTGACTCCATCGATATCATTCTATTCCATTTTTTGACCAATTTGACAAATTTTGTCCAATTTGATGGATTTTTTGATCAATTTGAAGATTATTTCAGAGGACAGAACATGTATGATATTGTTTATGTTAGTATGGACATTGACATAAAAAAATTGATCAGCAAAGAGCAAAGATTTTATACGAAACCTTATAGAAAATCCAATGATAGAAATATTAAGAAAAATGCATGATATGAAGCACATGTTGTACTAGTGTGTGTATTCACACATTTCTAATAAAATACCAGTCATAAAAAGGGAAAAAATTGTCCAAAAATTTAATTGTTATGCACCCAATTTTTTTGGTCGAGATTGAACAATTTCTTTGCACAATCTACGATATAAAAGTGTCTATTCGAATATTTTATTGTCCACTGCCATGGTTAGTTCCTATGGGGCATTCCACCCCTATTTACCCTGACCCTTTTCGATTTGGCTGAAACTTTTTTGTTTTCTACCCCATTGAAAACCTCTGAGAATTTTTTCAAATTTTTTTCACCCAACTCAAAAAAAAGTTATGAATTTTTGAAAAAATAGCTTTTTTTAAAAATAACCATAACTTTTTCAAAAATTGAGTTATTGGGACGTTTTTTTTCAAAATTTTTGTTTTTAAATGTACTTTAAAAAAAATAGATCAAAATTATCCAGACCTATCTTCACTGTTTTTTTTTTAATTTCCGAAAAAAAAACGAAAATTTCTCGATTCATTTAAAAAAATTTTTTTCTTATAAAAAACTGACATTCTTTATAAATCCGCAAATTTTTTCAATGGTGTTTTTTCGTTTTCTATTTTTTTTTTATTGAAAAACTTTTTTTTTTCAAATTTAGCTTATTTCACATACCATTTTGAAAATTTTTGAAAATACATATAGAATCCCAAAATTGGAAAAAATATATATGAAAGAAATAATTGAGTAGTAAACATGAAAAAAATTTCGATTTTTTTTAAAAGTTGAGAAAAAAATAGATCGTTTTGAATAATTTTTTTTCGAAAACTACATCCAAAAACAAAGAAAATGAAACAATAAAAGTTGTTATTTGGTCCATTTTCGGATGAACAATGGGCTTTAAAAAAAGACGAGCAACGCATATGAACTCAAATAAATCATTTGAAACCATCCTCTTTTGACTTTTTGAAATTCTATATACATTTTCAAAATAGTGTGAAATAAGCTAAATTTGAAAAAAAAAATTTTTTTTTCAATGAATAAAAAAAATAGAACAAAAAACCACTGAAAAAATGTCAGTTTTTTTATAAGAAAAAATAATCGAGATATTTTCGTTTTTTTCCGAAAATTGAAAAAAAAGCAGTGAAGATAGGTCCAGATAATTTCGATCAATTTTTTTTCAAAAAATATATTTAAAAACAAAAATTTTGAAAAAAAAACGTCCCAATAACACAGTTTTTGAGTTATTTTTTTTTAAATTTATAACTTTTTTTGAGTCAGGTGAAAAAATTTTCACAGGTTTTCAATGAGGTAGAAAACAATAAAAAAGTTTCAGCCAAATCGAAAGGGGTCGGGGTTAAAAGTGGTCGATTTGGCGTGGGATGCCTCCTATATAAAATATGTCTTAGTTTCTAAAAAAATGTAAATGGAAATGTTAAATAACACAGTTATTATTATTAAAGAAATATAAATGGAAATGTTAAATAACACAGTTATTTGTGTGTTATAGATCATCTAAAAGTGCTTCAGTCGAACAAAACAAAAAATCCTCATCAATATATAATTATCATATAATCAATGATTAATTCACAGTCAGAGGTCATTCAACTCTCAAGCATTTTAGTTGAACTATAAACATGGATTCTAGAATCTAAGTATCTATCAGATACTATTTTAATACTGCCGCTACTTTTTATCTTGAATTTCAGGTTGAAACACGCAAATATAAAACCGTACCAGTGCGAGCGTTGCGGTGAAAGATTTGCGAGATTGGATTACCTAAGGAGGCATAACAGTTGCAGCGACTCGACCCAGTGTAAAAAATGTATGAAAGGGCCGAGGAGAAAGTTCCGTTACACAAAGGCAGATGGCGGTAAGTCAGCAACAAAAATGATTTTGTAAAAATGTGATCTTTCAAAGAAATTGCTTCCTTGTAATCACGTCACACTCGACAAAGACCGGCACGTAAAATAAGCTATATTTTATTTAGCACTGATTTTTCAACACACGAAATTTTTGGAAAAAATGGGGTTTTGAAGTGACAGCACCACGACGAGTATAACAAAATTTGTTTTTTTTTCAGAACCGATCAAGTGTAAACTGTGCGGAAAGGTGTTTAAGGACGTGTATCTGCTGAAACTCCACTTAACCACCCACACGAACCTTAGGAGGTTTAGATGTTCCGTGTGCAACCTGACGTTTACGACAAACAAGAACAGGGAGAGACATGAGAAAATACACGACGATCCGTTGAGTAAATACAGGTAAAACGATAATTAATGATGAGACTAAACTAAAATTTCTTCAAACATGTTTATATTTTGCAATAATTTAACTGTTTTAAATACACAGTGTTCCTCAAATTAAAAAAAAATTGTTCGATATCCATATCTAAAACTAGACGATTTTGTATTTAAAGAGAATTTTAATTGCACGTTTTCAACAAATTTAGAAAAGTATTTATAAAGCTCCGAAGATGGTATAAAACAACACCAAAACATTACCTATGAATTAAATGAATTAAACATTGTTGCGTTTTATAAACTATTATCCCACTAAAACAGTTGATATTGATGGTTTCAATCAGGATCACTATTTTTGAAAAACTTCATAAAATAGTTCATAGAAAATATGTCGTAGTGTTCTTGTTCGGTCGCCTGTGGCCCCACGTTGGGCGCCACGCCACATTCTCGTTCGTATAGCGGTTTTTATTTTGTGTTCATGGTTGGCAATTTTGTGGGTATGGGCAGAAATTAACTAATCTACTCCACAAATATGTCAAGGATCAACTTTTCAATTTCTTTATATATACAGGGTGTTAATGAACTTATCTCAGATATTTTTGCTGCATGTCCGTTATGTCATACAATGATTTGTGTTGAGTAAAATGTAATTTTAAAATCTGACTTACCTTAACATTGCAACCTTTTGAGAACTACTGATTTTCATAGAAAATTTCACCATTTGCTTGCACACAAGCTTCAGTGCGACGTATCCAATTCGCTTGCACGTCCTTTCGAATCGTATTACAAGCTTTGGCAATACGATGTTGCAGTTGGTCGATGTGACGAACTTCCATGGAATACACAACAATTTTCACATATCCCCACAAAAGGTCCTAGGACCGGGGGAGGGTCTATCGAGCGATCGGAAAAAGTAATGTTTAGAAAGTTGCGCACTTTCCCAAAAAAGTGAGCGGGCGCTCCATCATGCAGTAACCACATATTTTGCTGAATATTTAATAGCACGTCTTCCAATAACTCCGGCAAACGATTTTGCAAAAAATCTAGATATGAAGCACCGTCTAAACGTCTAGCCAATTCAAAAGGTCCTATTAAAGTGTCATTAACGATACCGGCCCACATGTTCACTGAAAACTGTTTCTGAAAGGCACCGCGACGTATTTCGTGTGGATTTTCGATAGTCCAGTGGTGAGTGTTGTGGACATTACGTACACCATTTCGATTGAAACATGCTTCATCTGTAACAAGTATCTGCGCTGTAAATTGAGGATTTCTTGCATGATCGTGAAGCAATCATTCGCGGAAACCTCGACGTAGTGGAAAATCCTCTGCAGTAAGCACTTGAATATGTTGAATATGAAATGGGTACAACTCGTAATGTGCGCCACACAACAGGATGGGAAATATTTACTTGCTGTGCAATATTTCTGGTGCAGGGGCACGTCGTTCAGGATATCTTGCATGGTACACTTGACAAGCTCCGTGGGCATTTTCGTTTGCTTCGCCATAAATTATGAACATGTAACATTCGCGATTGCTAAATACTTCCGCCATTTTCAAAAGAAAACTTGGAAATACGGCTATTAAATGTACTCTCGAAAAACAGTACAGCAATCACTACAACAATGTATTACAAACTGACTTTCGAATACAGTCTGGCTTCATAAAAAACCTACAAACTCGTAAAAAGTGTTACAGAATTTTTTGTCAGTACTCGCCGCGATAAAATACATGCATTTCAGCAGTTTCAAAACAGTTTTAACCACATTTTTAATTAGCTTTTTTCTCTATGACCTTAAACTTCAGATACAAGTTTGTGAATCGGTTAACTCAGTTTTTGCTCCTTTTTCACCCCTTTAAACTTCTGACATAAGTTCATTAACAGCCTGTATACGAACAAAAAGAACCGTTGCGATTAATTTCAGGTGCACGGTCTGTTGGAAGCGGACGCAGAGCCAAGAGGAGTTGGACAGTCACATGTTGACCCACGAGAAGAAATACCAGTGCCACGTCTGTCACGAGTCCTTCGCTCGAGTGTATCTGTTGAATTATCACGTGTCGGAGGTGCACGCAGACGACGAGGATGTCGAGAAGGAGAAGCAGATCGTTTTCACTGAAGGTTTAAAGGAATATTTAGTCGAGTATTAGTAATCCTAGTTTATACTAACTGGTTATCTTTATTTTTTGTTCTTTAATAGTTCGTTTATGTGTCATCACGGTTGTACCGTCTGATGCATTGAGTAGAAACGGTAAATTGTAAAAATAAGAACGCTGTGTATAAATAGTTTTATACAGTAGGTTTTTTGTTTTACTTTGTATTTGTACCTTAACGGTTCACAAGTTTTTGAAAATAAAGTATGTAATTAGATATTGAGGAGGTTTTTATTTCAATTTGATGTTTATTAATAAAAATAAATTATTTAAAAACTTTTGTTTTTACATTTTTTATCGTAATTTTTTATACCCCGCCAACTCATTTTTAGGAAGCCATTGTCTCACATTAAAAAAATATTTTTTTTTTAATAAAATAAACTATAAACAGTAGCAAGTCATCCAATAGAACTCTAAATAAATGAAAATTAGTCAATATAATATTCACTCATCTGATTTTCACCGCATATGACATACTTGAAATCTTGTTTCTCACTCCGAAGTGGTTTTTGATTAAGATTCAATATTTATCGGTTGACTTTATCCATTTAATGTCGTCTCTTTGCAGCCTTACCGTTTTCTTACAAAAACTAAGCTGTAACCAAATGAACTTTCTTGATTCGTACACTTTTTCTCAAACTGTCGCACAGAAATTTAATAATGAAGACACAAACATACCATACCATCATGAAAATGTCAAATAAACAACATTGAAAAATGCGAGAATTCCCAACATTAGCCCAGAAGTCGGAGATTTGTGCGGGAGAGAGGACGACATATTATTCAGTAGGTCGCATGGAACGACGTACATTGGTGACACTTAACCACCATTCAGTGCAGGAATGAGGAAAACCTCATTAATTAGAGGGATGATCAAACACTGACTAGTATCAATCTCGCACATTGATTCAAGCCAAAGTTTCCACCCTACCATACGCACAGAGAGGTTGCCTAATTCCTCTCTACGAATATAGCTGATCTACTGTATTACGGCAGTGGGGATCGAACTTGCGACAGTGGCATTGATCCATTCAAGTATTGACGCTTTGAACTGCTCGGCCACCTACCGACTAGTTGGCTTAAAGCGATAGGTAACGAGTAGCAACACACCCTTTTCTTGAATAGCAATGTTAATTTTTTATTTCTCAAACAATGTTTCTCTATAAAAGTTCTCTTTGTGAGCATAGAAAACATCCCCTGAAAAACTGTATAGGCCATATTTTTTCACCATCCACAACTCGTTAGTTAAAACCTTATAGTTCACCCATAATGAGAGATATTGTAAAATTTTATCAAGAAAAATTGTTTAGAATTGAACTTTATGGTCGCATACTAATTTTAGGGGCGGCTGGAGAAAATAAATTATTTTTTTTAATCAAAATATGTAAATAATCTCAGTAAATTACAAAAAAACATTACCAGGATTTGTTTAATTTTTAGAAAAATATTAAAACTATTTAAATTCGAGTAGTTCATTCAAATTTTGCATGAAATTTAAAATTTTAGAATATTTTAAATGTTTAAATTAACAAAATTTTATAAATAAATTTCAGAAATAACTCCATTTTTTCAATATATTAAAAATTACTTGAAATTTTCATAAGTAGGTATAAATAATTGAAATATTTCATATATATATACAGGGTGTCGCGCTTAAATATGATACAAGCCTGTAACTTCTTTATTTTTTGGCCAGTTTCAAAAATTTTTATTTGGGAATGTAGAATAAACAAAACCATCTAACTGCTGTTTTTATTTTATTAATGCAATTCACGGCTAATTAGTATGCGTTTTCTTGACATCAAAAAAGCTGATTGGTATTAGCGATTTTTTTTCCAAAAAACTACGTATTCTCATTCAGCATCTCTTAAAATGTCTTACCACCAAGTTTCATCAAATTCGATACATCTTCAGGCGAGCACTCCATGATGTGAAAGTAATACAAGCCTGTAACTTTTTTATTTTTTGGCTGATTTCAAAAATTTTTTTATGGAATGTAGGGTAAAAAAATTTTATCTAACTGTAATACTGCTGTTTTTTATTAATGCAATACACGGACAACTAGTGCTCATCTGAAAATGTATCGAATTTGGTGAAACTTGGTGATAAGACATTTTAAGGGATGCTGAATAAGAATACGTTACGTAGTCTGTTTTTTGGAAAAAAAAGCTGTTACCAATTAGCTGTTTTGACGACAAAAAACACGTCCTAGTTGGCCGTGAATTGCATTAATAAAAACAGCAGCACTACAGTTAGATAGTTTTTCTATCCTACATTCTAAAAAAAAATTTTGAAATCGGTCAAAAAACAAAGAAGCTACAGGCTTGTATCACATTTAAGCGTGACATCCTGTATATTCAAAACTCATTAGTTAAAATCTTGTATCTCACCGATAAGAAAAGGTATTGTAAAATTTTATCAAAAAAAATTGTTTAGAATCAAATTACAGACTAATTTTAGGGGCAGTTGGAGAAAATAAATTATTTTTTTTAACATTTACAGTTTTTAAATCAAAATAAATAATCTACGTAAATAGCAAAAAAAAATTACTAGGATTTGTTCAATTTTTTGAAAAATATTAAAACCCTTTGCATCACAAATTTATTTAAATTTAAGTACTTAATTAAATCAAATTTTGTATGAAATTTTAGAAATATTTTAATAGTTTAAATCAATGAAATATCAGAAATAACTAAATTTTCTCAATAGATTCAAAAATTCTTTGAAATTCACATAATTGAAATTTCAGTATATTTAAAGAAATATTTTTTTAATGTAATTTAACTATGCAATTACTTCAAATCCATTTAAAACAGGGGAAGCGATTTTATTTAAGTTCATAATATTTTAAATTTCGTAATTTTAGAGAAATTTCACTGCTGTCTCACACAACATTAACTGTTACGATATTAAGCATAAAATAACCTACTGATGAGGTAAGTATATATATTGTGTCTTGGGTCCCTTTCTATAGAAATTGGGGACTGATTTGAAACTATCAGCGATATCTGACCAATTGATTTGCGATCTTATACTCGCTGAATAGAAGGCAGAAAGTAGCTACCTATGTGACAATAATTTAAGTAGCAGAGTAGGTAGTTATATTTAACATAGTTTGAAACTGCTGCAGAAACAATGACATTTTATTTTTATTTAATATCATTAAACTATAGTGAGTAAATGGTATAATCTGTTAATTTTCCTCAATGTATAGTGTAGATACTGCTTTAACTCTAATTATTTGTTCAGCAGAGTTATAGAAGTTTTGATAAAAGGTGTTGGTTGCTATTCATTAGTCTTTCAGATTTTATATCAAGTTTCATATGTTAGACATAAAGGGTAAAAAGTTAACTAAATTTTCGGTAAAATTGGTAGTAAGTGGCGCCCTCATAATTTTTCAAGTTCCTAGCCTACATATTTTCAGAATAATCGCAAAAAAGCGATTTAAAATTTTAACTTTCAACACCCTATATTTCCGAAACTATCATAACTTTCGGATAAGGCATGTTTGCGCCAATGGTCACTATTTCACGTGTAGTATCTTCAGCTTTCGATTTTCCCATTGTTAATGAATCATCCTGTATGTAAATCCGACACTGCAATACGCGAAAGATGAGTGCATTTAAAAAGATTTTCTTTTATTAAAAATAATATTGATACGTTTATTTCTCTCAACTGCTTCGAAAATTTGAATAAAACTCTATAAATAATTAATCTTAATAACGTTCGGAAATGTTTCGAGTTTATCAAAATGAAATTATAATTTTTTTTTCTATATCTTGGAAAATTTGAGAAGCTCATTTAGAATCAGCCCACCCTGTGAACATATGAATACATATTTGATATAATAATTAATAATTCTTTTATTCCCTAGACTAGTATTTACTACTGATTACAGGTCATTTCCTGCTGCAAACCATTTCGCGCCAATAGAAATGGTTCAGTGATTCCCACAATGAAACACAATAACTGTGTCACACGGACACAGTTATTAAGGGGGCGATTTAGTATGTATATTTTTACCGTGTAACAGAGCTTCAGATGAGGACACAAATCATCGAAGAAACTAACATAATTGAATATTATTATATATCAATGTATTCGCAATGATTCCCGCTAGTGAGTGAGATAAATTTCAATGTTCATGAGAACAGAAGAATAATTTAAATAAATGCCAAAGTACCTCAATTTTAACCATACTGTTAGTCTGACAATATATTGCATTTACGACGGAACTAAGTCAGGCACAATAACCAAACTACTTCACTCACTAGAACGGACACTTAGGATCATTTGTATTTAATTTTCAGATTAATATTTATTAACAATTCTATAATTTGTGTCCTCAAGTAAGATGACAACATTTTACACACGACTCCATGTTTATTCTATATTTAAACCAGAATTTTAGCGGTTTCTATCTTCTACAAGAATTTGTAAATATAATTAGTTTGTATAATCTGTCACAGGTGTCGCTACCCTTGAAAATGAAAGCGAAAACACAGAGTTGGTTTATTGTAAATTGTATTGGCCGAGAAATAGTGAAATTTCTGGCGTTTTTAGGTACTGAAATCTTTAAAAGTAAAACGTGTAGAACAAAAGTAGGGGTAAGCACAAAAATAAAATCCTTGATGTTTTGTTTATTCATGGTTACCGTTTAAATTTACCCAAATAAAATAATAACTAAAAAAAAGCGTTTGCAAAACATGCGTTTGCTATTATCCTAACCCCACATTTTAACAATTATTTTCACGTACTTATAAAAAGTAAACAATTTTATATGTAGGACTAAGCAAGTAAATGTTATAAGAATATTTACATGTGGAATTATATATAAAAAAGATAGTATTTTCGTAGATTTCAGTACCTAAAACCTTAATGGTTTGATCGTTTTTTGCACCTGTTTATTCGTTTTACTGCGGCCGGCGTCTTTGAAAATACTCAGGTGGCATGACATAACATTCCTATTATTTGATAAGCTTTAGATTATTCAGTTATTAAATGTTTGAAATTATTTGTCTTTGCGGAAAACACTATTTACAGAATATGGGACCCATAATGGTCTGATATTATCTTTGATATATAAATATGGGTAATATTTTAAAAGTAGGTAGGTACCTAAGTAATAAGATTTTGTAAAGCTTAAGTAGTACGAAAATATAACGCATAAAAAACCAATAATATGTACTAATTTTTCTTTATTAAGAATAAAGATTAAATTTTACGTACAGGGTGTCCCACATAAAATCGTTATTTATATTGTAGCCTTGGTAGTTTCAAAATAAATTTACAGCTTAAAAATTGGTCTGGCTCAGGTAGATTTCTGTTTCAATCTACAAATCAGTAGCTACTTACCGATAAGAAGGAAACCACTAGTCTAGTCGAGAAGTGAGTTTTTTTTGCGAAAAATAGTTATTGTAATCCTAAAAATATGGTTGTTAGTACATTGGATTCGGAATTATATTCAGAGAAAGAAGTATTTTTAAATTTATCCGCAATTAAAAATAGCAATTGTTATAAACAAAAAACGAAGAGAAAAAAGGGAGTCTCCGTTTTTTAACTATAACTAAAAAAATATTGAAGATAGCTGAAATTTCAAAAAAGATCCTGAAAGAGGAGAAAATTTCAGCAAAATAAGTCAGGAATTGTAGCTCCATTATTTATAATTTTAATTTGACGTTGAAAATATAGCTCCGCGCGGCGGCGGCGGTTTCCGCGTCGTCGCGTCGCCGCCAAGCAAAGTGTGCAACACAAAATAATTTTTTTATAGTATTCAATATTAATTTAAAAATCTAAATAAATTATAGTGTCATCTAGACACTTGAAGGAACACAGCCCAGTTGGAAAATAATTTTTAACTTGACTTATGTTAAAGTTATTCAATTGTTAATGAACTAATTTTTCGTGGTCCTAATCTTTCATAAAACTTGTTGTAAAACTTTAAATAATGTATCTAAAATTTTTTTTCTTTCTGGGAGGTCTTTTTATATACATAATAAACAAGATTCCGTTGTAAAAGTTTATAAAAGTTTTTTCATTTGTTTATAATGATTTTTTAAAGTTAACAAAAAATGAAAAATCCGGGAAATGTTATAAATTTTTTTTTTACCAAATGTTTGATTTTAGTTGTTTTTCTATTAATATATTGCGTTTATTAGCTTAGCTAAAAACTTTTTAACGTTATTTGTTTATAAATTTGTTATAAACAAATGGACAAGTTTAATATTTTTGAAACATTTTTTTTGCCATTTTATTGTCTTGGTAATCTGTTTTTTAAAAACAAAAATTTTTCTTAAATAAATTTTTTAATTGTTTATAATCGTAATTTCCCTGGGAACACGATGGTGCAATTATTTTTTTGCTACTTGCCGTAGTTTACGAGATATTTGCGAAAAACCTTATTTTTTACGGGTTTTTTGACCTTTTGACCCCTTGCCTGATCACCTAGGTCAAAAATGTTTGCGGATTCGGATTCCTGAGGGTCGAAAACATATTTGCGCCCAGGTTTGATCGACAGAGGAAAAAATGGAGGTTCAGCCTTCATTTCAATGGACTAAATACATACAGTAATATTATATATATATTTTATGCCTATACATATTATTCTCCAAACGCAATTAGTAGCAAGATTCTATATATTTTAGTAATTAAGCAGTGTTTTTAAGTTAAAACGACTCGTCAAAGTAAAAAAATATTTCAGGTTAGGTATATATTTTTTTTACTGAAAATAGCAGTTAATTTACATTATCGGATTGTTAATGTGAAAATATAAACATTAGACTGTTGACTATTCCATGTTATACGTGTTTTAAGGTCACTTTTGAAGAAGAAACTACATGTAATTTTAAAAACCGTATTTCTGTTTTTATAATGAAGGAATAGTAATTATAAGATTGTTTAAGCTTATTAACTAAAAATTATTGCCTACTCAATAAAAAAATATTATTGTCCTCGATAATCTATTACTGATTTACTCTCTTTCCTTATAAGATTGTATGTACAAAAATTGGAGCCGTTCCTGAAAAATCGGACGAATATCCGGTGCAGCAGAATTATTAGACTTGAAGCGTTGGCCGCTAGAACAGCACCTGCCGGGGTCCCGTTTCGTGACTCACGCTGGGCAATATTTTTTGTACAAAATCCCGTCCTTAAAGTATAACGAGATCCGTTTGTTTTATATACAAACACAAACAATAGGTGTTTTCAACAGAAGAATCAGGTCATTTAAAAGTTATTAGTGCAATAAGTGTGTTTATTGCTACCGCATTTCTGATCAATAAATACTAGTGAATCATTATTATAATAATAAATGTTATTACGACATTGTACAAAAATTTGCCTCTTAGAAAAGTAATTACTTGTTCCTGTAAAAAAAATTATAATTGCAAGTATAACCATTCAACCAAAACGAGTACAATATTTCAGTATTTATTTTAAAGCTTAGTAATAAAATAATTAATGCATTTTCTAATATTGAAGGAAAAGTACATGCAAATAATTGGGTAATTAATTGGAAATTAATAATTTTTAAATAAACGTTTTCCTGGCGGTGTACCTCAAGCGTATGCAACCTCTTATACGCAGTGTCGTAAAAATGACTAAATTTGTTCTATTTTGACAGTTTCTAATTGGTTCCAAATATAAATGGCTTCCAACAGGGAGTCTCCTGACGATGATGGATATAAACGAATTGCTGAAGACATCCACAATGTTTCCTACGGCTCTAATGTCACAAGTAAGGGTAATTTAACTTTCACGTTTCTTATTAGTTCAAGTTTTTTTTATCTAAATTGAGGTTAGAATATGAATCTTATGAACATGACATATAAAATTCAGTTTCGCTCACTGTGTATTTTATTTTATATTTTTTACTGATAAGAACTTCATATTTACTTATTACTTATTTACCGGCAACACAGTATGTACTTGGATCTTTATGGTATGAAACGTGTGGGAAAGAGCTATGTTTCTTTGTACGTTTGTAAATATAATTAAAATAACACTTACTTAGCTTTTTTAAATATAACCAATACAGTTTAGTTAAACACTAGAGTGCAAACAATAATTCAAATTTGCAGATCCCATCGATGAAATGGGCAGCAGGTCGAGCCTTAGTCGAGATGACAATTCCGAGACTGACCACTGGGAGATGAACTACCATGAGGCGGCTATTTTTTTGGAGGTATGTACCCAAAATTGTATTAATTAGTGTTTTAGTTCTTTTCAAAATTTGATTACAACGTTTTTCTTATTTGATTTTTGCTAATATGCTTGTATACATATACAGGGTGTACCAAGTTATAGCTGTAAAAGTAAATAGAAAAATAAATAAAGTTCAAATATTTTTTGTCAAACAAATCATAAGAACATGTTATTTGGAATTTTTGAATATTTGTTTAGCAGTTTTTTTAACTGAAATCTAATACAATATAAAATTGTGCTTTTTGTAACATTAATTTTAATGATTTAAAAAAAATTTCTTAGTACTAAGGCATTTTGGGAAGTAAAGATTAATGTCGTGTTAGCTTGTATGGTTTTCATTTATCATATTAACGGTTTGTACATCAGAAAAACTAAAGCGAGTCTGTCATATCTAAATAAAATGCATAGAAAATATTTCAAAATGTGGTAGATACTCCACAATATCAGATAATTTACAAAAATACTTTAACAATCTTACTAAATTCAAGAGGTTTTTTTTCTACTTGTTATAATTTAAAAATATTCTCTGACAAACTTATTGTTATCTTAATTATTTTAATTGTTATTTAAACAGTAATGTGTCATATTTGCATAAGTAGATTGTATGCATTCTAGGACTGATACAGAAATACATTTTCCACATGAAAATGTGCCCAATCTGAAAGTGAACCTCGCTATCTCTCTTAAATAAATAATTTTGAAATATCTAAACAAGAGTTATTTATTTTATTCTGTTTTATATAAGTGAAATTTCTTATATTTGAAACTTTTTTCCACATGAAAACCTGCCTAATTAGACTTTTTATTATATCTAACCCGTCAAATTTTATTCTTTATGATTAATTGCTTTACTTGCAGATTAAATATTAATCTTGAAGCTCACCGATGATAAATCTTTGGCGTATGTGGATTTATAAGTCAGAGATAGTGATGTAAAAGTAATACGGATTGTAGACTTACTGAAAATGACGTAATAGTCTATCAAGTTTGACGTCATTTATTTTGATACAAAATTTTATAACGTAATTAAAAGCATGCCTTTATAGACATAGAACAACTGCAGCAAATATTTTTAACAAATTTAATAAAAGTACCATTTTACATAATCATAAAAATTATTAAGGGTACCACGAATCTTTAAATTTTTTTTAAGGAAGGCGAAAACAATGAAAAGTTCGACTCCCACCCCCGACACCCGTCAGCGTTACCTGCCTACCTCTTAGTTCACAACTCCTGGTACTACGGCCTTGACCTTTTATTCTCGATCATCCTGTTGCTTTTGGCCATCGTAGAGAACCCTTCGTTACAAAAATTCGAATTTCCTGTCGGAATCCATGGGACTTTGGAGCTGGTAGCTCTGGGTGTTATCGGGGTAGAGCTGGCGCTTAAACTGAGATGGATAGGGTGGACTACTATTTTGAGGCACAAGCGCACCATGGTTAAGGCAAGTATAAAATATTACAATGGAGTTCAGACTAATGAGTGTTGTATTTTTGTGTTAACTTTTCTAGAAGTAGAAATAGAATAGTGTTTTCTCCTGTTTTCATACATAATGTAAAAATTTTACCTGCCCTCTGTTCAATTTAAGTTTTAATCACTATTATAAGTGTTTTTTGTTCATTGACCGATTTTAACGTCAAAATTGTCGAAACGTTGCATAAATTCTGCTGTTTATTAGTTATTTCAAAATTGCAGTGCATAACGCTAACCATAATGGTCCTGGAAGCGATCGCGGTCCTAATCCGACAGTCGTCCCATTTCCGCGTAACCAGAGCCCTACGACCCATCTTCCTGGTAGATACCAGGGCCTGCGGTGCCGTTAGGAGATACATAAGACAAATTTTACAGTCACTACCGCCTATATTTGACATGCTAGCCCTCCTTCTATTCTTTGTCTGTATCTATGCTTTACTGGGATATTTCTTGTTTGGGGACTACGAGACGAACCTGTACTTTAAAACCTTAAGCGACAGCTTCGTTAGTATGTTTGTCTTGCTAACCACTGCGAAGTAAGTATTATTTTCGTTCTTCCTCATTTTGTTAGATGGATATGTCGTAAATTGTTTTAAAATAATCTGTGTGGCGTTTCTAGTAAATTTGTTTTAATTTCTCGTACTTTAATTGATAATTTATACTAATAAGTGTCTCAGTTTTCCCGACGTAATGATGCCGGCTTACGCCTACTCCAAATGGAATGCCGTTTTCTTCATAAGTTACATTTCAACGGTACTCTACGTACTTATGAATTTGGTAGGTTCAATATACTATATCCGGCCGATCGCTTAACTTACAGCGGGTTTAATTTGTAGATGCTTGCCGTAGTGTACGAAACGTTCACGGGAATCGAAAAGGATAAGTTCCGCAAATTGTTACTTCACAAAAGACAAGCCTGCAAACTCGCCTTTAGGCTACTAGTCAGCAAGCAGTCGCCGGATAGCGTGCGATTCAAGCAGTTCCAAGGGTTGATGAGATATTACTCGCCGCAAATAAGTGAGTGTGGGAAAAATATATTTTGTATTTTTTGCAAAAAACTTGTTTCTTTAAGGTCAAAGGGACGTCGTTTTAATATTCCGACAACTGAACGCGTCAAACACCGGTCTCCTAACTCAGGATGAATTTTTAAACATCTACGATGCCATCACTTTGAAGTGGAGAATTAAGGATCCTCCCGATCTATGGTTTACAGCCGCGTGGCCACCGTTGAGGATGTTTTGTCGTGCGGCAAGAACTACGGTTACCTGGAAGTATTTCGAGCACATTGTATGTAAGTACCTTGCAAATTTACGTAATCCAGATAATATCTGATAATTGGTAGTGATACTTCTTAATTCCACTGGTTTTATCTACTTGTCAATGTTATTTTTACACTAAACTTCATATACGATTATCTACAGAATTTAGGGAATTTTTTTAGGTAAACACATGTAGCGACAAAGAGGACAAAAATGTTATAAATATAAAGGGCGTAACTTTAAGGAGGCCAGTTTTTTAGAGGGTATAAGCACTGTTTTTTTACAAACAGACAAATGAATTATGATTTATTTTTTAAACTGCGCTTAAACTCTTGTCTACGCCTTCACTGGGCAGCACCCAAACTCGAATGTATGTGCGCTTTTATCCGTGTTTCCTAATGTTAACCTTTGAAGCCAAATGTATGAAACTAAAGGGTTGGCAGAGGGTGAAACTGCAATGGAAAATAATTTTGTAAAAACCGATAGGTTTCGAGTGATTTTGCGACGTGTTATTTTAAAGTCACCATATTTTTTTGAGGTATATATTGCGTCTAGTTTCTTTTTTTTTAATGTAATAAGTAGTCGAGTTATAAGTAGTTTCTTAACCCTTTCGCTGCGCAATACGTCTGAACGTAGCTACCGCGCCGTGCGCGAAAGTTTATCGCGTGCGAATATATACGTCTGGAGCAGTTAGACCACTTATAGTTTTACATTATGTTGTGGTAAATTACGATTTACGATAAATTTTACGATTTTATTTTGAATAAAATACAGTATATGTACTAAATAGAAACTGAAAGAAACATAAACAATCTTGGTATTATTACCAGTACCTCTTTCCATAAAAATATTTGTCACAATCGGTATAAGCTCGCCCGCAAAATTTCGCCTTACCAATTGCAATAACCGAGTCACCAATGCGCATGGTTGCGAATATATACGGTTTGAGCAGCCTGATCCAATTCTATTCATGCGAATTAATCCGTCTGGAGCAGTTTGAGCCCTATAAATTTTTAGCGAATATATACGTCTGGAGCAATAAAAGGGTTAAAATGCATTTTAATTCTCGCACACGCTGTAATATTCATGTATTACAAATACATGAATTGTAGACAACCTAGAGCGCATGTGCAGGGAGATAGTGCGAATCAACGGTGACAAAGCTAAGGAATGATTTTCATTGGTGCAAGCCACCAACAGGTTCCGGTGGTGTAGGTCTGTTGTCTAATTAGCGATCATTAAGAGGGAAGCGACGATGAAGGCGGTATATTAAGTGACTAAGGAAGCCTCTGTATAAATATGACCCCCACTTAAGTTACGCTCTGTATATATTTACTGGTATAAAAAAATTCTGTTCATTTTTGTTTCTTTCTAGATGTCTTGATAATAGCGAACGGTTTGGCGATGTTGATTCGGGTAATGGAACCAGCGGATTCATTGCAAAGCGGTGCTAGAAACTTTTGCGCTTCGTGGGACACGTTTTTGTTTTTATCTCGTAGGTTTTCTCGGTCATATACTTTTCAAATCATTAAAATAAATGCTTTTTTAGTATTCTCAGCAGAAGCAACTTTGAGGATAGTAGGATTGGGTTGGTCGGAGTATATTTCGTCGGGTTGGAACATATTCGATCTCTCCGTTACGCTAATGGCAACGGCCGGTTCTCTGCTGATTCTGACAAAACCCACCGCAACTATAGTTGTCGTCCTACGACCACTGAGGTATTAAAACACCGTGTATAAGCTTTATTAGCTATGTAATGAACGTTTTTCCCAGGTTACTAAGGTTATTTAAGTTGAAGAAGCGATATCGAGACATCTTCGGCACGTTAGTGCTTCTATCGCCACTGATGTGGTCCACAGCCGTGGTAATGATGGTCATGTACTATTTTTTTGCCATTATCGGAATGGAGTTGTTCTCGCAGTACGACCTGAGGAATTGTTGTGTGTAAGTTAATGTCTTTATATTCCGCCGCTTACCAGACTTACTTAAATCGTTCTAGTAACTCCACGGTAGAAGACTTCTACAAGTACAGCTCCAACAGCAGCACCAGCGGCATCGGGTATTACTACTTAAACAATTTCTCCAACCTATTCGTATCGGGGGTTACACTGTTCGAGTTGACGGTTGTGAATAACTGGTTCATAATAATGGACGCTTACGCTGCTGTCTCGCATCCGTACTCGAGGGTCTATTTCATGATGTTCTACCTCTTCACCATGGTCGTTCTGACTATAGTTGTCGCTTCGGTTTTGGAGGCGTTCCGGTTTAGGATCCAGTACAAGAAACAGACCTCCAAAAGGGACGGTAAGTTCATGTGACCCCAAACAGACGTTCGATGCTATTCGGTGATTTTTTTAGAGGAACAAATGTTACACGAGGAAGTTGTCGTCGATTGGAATTCACTTCAGAGGCAGGTGCAGGATGCGAAGCTGCTGGAAACGCTTCAAGTAGACTTCATAATAGGGGTAAGTAGCGGTTTTATATTTGTCAATTTAATGAAAATAAGCAGGCGACACATCGGTCAGAAGTTCCGTGCTGCCACAATTAGTGAACCGCTGAAACAGCACAGATGCTCCGATTTAAGCTTTGGATTGATTTTTTAACTCATTTGAAGGGCGTGGTGTCGTATATCGGAAGGAGGAGGAGAACGAGGGACGTTTTGCAGCGTCACATGTACATTACCGAGATATCTCAGTGGCTGCAAGACGCCGAGTTGGAAGAGAGAAATGACATTAACAGCATAATCGACGAGGCGCAGATCAACGCACGTTTAATCGCAGCTTAGACTTTCGCTAAACAGTAACAACTGCTTCCGCAGGCTTCGAGTGAAACTTTTTCCAGTATTATTTTAGCCTGTCTTTCTGTGTTAATTTATTTTAAAAGTTACCGTTAGGGTGAAACTTAGAGTGATACGTTGAGATTATAGATTAGTGTAGTTAAATGTAAATAGATCCGATGTATAGGTAATTTATATAAAAATAGACCCGTTGGAATATGACCTATGATGGAAAGAAAGTGGGAGACCCGGCCCCTTTTTTTAAGGGGATATTCAGAACGAGGAGAAAAAATTTAAAGCGTCTTACATTGAAAGATAGACACAAACACATTCCAGTAAGGTTGTATTTCCAAAGGTCATATACTATAGCAATAGCCATCCGTTCCCCTCTTCCCCCTCCCGATCCTACTAAAGAATACGATATTCTCGTACGAAAGGGTAATCTGTCTCAAAACTCAAGCAAAATTAAAGAACGCCCTATTTTTGAAATAATCAAGTATCACGTAGTAACATAGTTATTTTAATGTATAAATGTAGGATATTAATTACACTAAAGCAGTATTTATTTTTTTTGTTAATTTATTAAATTCTAGGTCTTGTAAGGAACGATTTGTATTATTCCAAGTCTTAACATATTTTTAAACGGAAACAAACTGGAAAATTTGTTTGCCATTAATTTTGTGTACAACGACATTGTTAGGTGTCGAGGATGCTAAAAGTAATGGTATACCGTTTCTTCTCCCACATAACTACAAATCACGGCTCATGACAATGCGAGTGGTCATAGTTTGTAAATGAGGCATTTTCACGGGATAGTTTGCAAGAATTTTCATGATGCAAAAGATTTTTGAATGAATTTGTAGAAAAAAAGATTACAATCGGGGCAGCCAACCTTGAGATCTTGAAAAGGGTTGCACGTGTAAATGCAAAATATATTCTATTTGAAAAACTAATTTTTCTTTGTATTTAAATTTTAATTCGGAAGTAATGTACGATTTTTCAAACTTCAAACGATTATGAAAAAAAATATTGCAAATATATGTGAACCCTTTTAGAGATTGGTCGCCCCCATTTTTATTTTTTATTTCGCTAATTTCATATGAAATTTTTTCATTGTGGTAGTTCTCTACTGTGTCTAGAAATCACCCCCTAAAATCAAACCACTTTCATTTTCGTAAGTCATCACTGGTACTGATATATTTCTTGTGATTTTTTTTTTCGTCCGCTATTTATAATTTGAAATTAGAGCAGCTAATTAGTTTTGAAAATACTGTCACTATATCTAATATGAATATGATATGAAAATCGTGAATGAAAAAAATTGTGGTTAGAGCGTTATATTGTTCCAATTTGAAGGTGTTATATTTTTACTTTATAAGAATAATGTCATTTAAATCAGTGGCGGCTCGTGATATTGAGAATAGGTGAAGTATATTCATTGACAAAAAAGAAAAAGAAAATTTTCAAGGTCAAACGGCTTTAAATGAATCTGGAAATTTTTAATTGCATTTACAATATTACCGAAAAACTGACGTTCGTGAAAAGGATTTTCATTTAGATCTTATAAAAAATAGGAATATTAGTTTGGCTTGTGGACTTCTGCGAACATTAACCCACGCTATACATGTATATTCCAAAGAAGCTTTCTGGTTACGACAACCTTGCGTGACGGTCCCAAAATTGTTAAATCTCTTTTTATTCCACACGCCTGACTTTACACCCACAATTAACACAGCATACAGAAAAGTCTTTTTGAATAAACACTCAAACAACCACTTATACTCCGAATACCATTCATTCCGAAACTCCCGAGCGTACACATTGTCTTTTGACTTTTTTTTTTTCCATATCGAAAGAATAAGGCACGGGTCTCGCAATTTAAAAAATCATTTTTGTCCACAATTTTCCAATAAAATACGTACTGGATCATACATAGGAAACATTTCTAGTTTCTACAATTATTATACAAAAGAAATATTAACAAAGAACCGTTATAATCGTGCACTGAGCGACGCATATCGTATAAACTATTAAAGGCAGGCAATGGGCGATTACAATGCTGCTTCAATATCCACGTCACTCGTTCCCTCATACCGTAGTTTGCTCCCGTGTTGGCTGCCTCGTTGCCATCACAATACAGTCTGATTTCGATCTGCGTCACTTGCCTATACTATATGTTGTATGGTACGAGGTTGATTTTTGCGCTCAACGAAGACAATGTTTTTTTAGAAGGCGTTCACCGCGCAACTATTCTATTTATTTCTGCTTATTAAACAAACAAACACAATACATTTTCAATATAGAATTATACCTAAATTATAAAATTTATATAAAATTAAAAATAATTTTAAATTGCGCAAATTTTACGTGAAGCGGAGCATCACCTGACGAGCCGCCACTGATTTAAATTTTTAGTTTTTTTCATATTGCGTTCCAGTTCTTAATGATCTTTGAAACAAACTAGTCATGCATTGTCATCCCTTCCAACTGGATTTTTTGTTGGGGTGTAGGTATGTCATAAATATGTACAGCCGTGGACAATAAAAAGTTTCCATTGTAAACGCCTTATGGTTCTGCATAAAATAGGTGCCCATTCACATGGCACGGATTCGGTTATTTTATAGAATCGATAAAAACAATGAATGTATGGTGGCGGACAGTTTTAATCTGCATGTTCAAACGATAGAACCTCGATACAATGAATTTAACTACAGTTTTGGATAAATTATCGTGTCGAAAAACATACCATGTGAATGGGCGGTTAGTTACTTTTTCATTGGAAACTTTTTTGCCAGTTGCACTATCTAGTTTTACATTTTTTTGTTTCTAAGGGATTTGTGCAATAATGTAAGAATTAAACTATTCCAATTTTGAATCTGTTTGTTGTCTGGAAGTATTTATTTGTGGATTTTCTTAAAGCTCTTCTTTTTTTTAGGTATTTTGCCACATTGCACATTAAAAAACCCTAAACAAGGTAAATTAGGGATTGTTTTTAAAAAACTTATTTTTGTATTTTTTTTTAAATCTTGCAATGAGAAGTAAATACGAGGCATATCCACAAAGAGTACATACTTATGCGAAAATTGAACTCACAGCCACATATTTCAGCAAGGTAGATTACAGAGTACTCAAACAATCGAAACGACGGTATATTTATGAAAAATTTTCATATTCAAACACTATTTTTCAACGTAGTCGCCGGCTTTTCATCATGAACATTCGTTTTGCCAGCTTTATACTCACAACACCTCTTGTACACATTAATTAGTATGATTCATCACACCATCCCCATAAACTTTGATTTCATTAAAAATCTGGAACGGCGCCTTTTTTATTTCAAGATGAAACCGGATCTTACAGCTGATGGGATTCGGAGTAACTGCACTCATTGCAACATGCCACTACAACAACAGTTCTCAACTGACTGATACAAATGAGCGTGTGTTTTGCTTCCAACACTTGAATGCAGTGTTGCCAACTTTGTCGAAAACAAAAACCAGAGAGCATCAGGCTCAGTACTCTTTGTCGATATGCCTTGTAAATACATCGTAAAACGTGTTCAGTATATGTTAATGTTTTGAGAGCTTTCCTAGTTTTGTTTTTTAACACAATGTACAGGCAGTCCTCAGAATAAATGACGGAAATCAAAATGACGCAAGTCGATACATTTTTTTTGTCCATTTCTATATAAAACGAATGAGTTAGGTTCTATCAGAACATATAATGTAAAAAATTACATATTAATATTAAATAATTATACTTTATAAAACAAATCATGTATTTGGTACATACTTATTGCATAATTGAAAAAATAGAAACAACTGTAATAAAAATTAAACCATTAGTTTAAAAAATGTATAAATTCGAGTTTGTTTCGTAATAATTTTGTTAACAATTTCTTTCAAAATTTGGATCATGTTCTTAAAAATAATTATGGTATTCTGTAAATAACCAAAGGCTTGTAATGCCGATGACCGCAAAAGTGAAGTAGCCCATGACGTATCTCGAAACCATTGACGATAGATTGAGGACTGGTGTTAAAATAATGTTCGACGCAACTCGAGGACTGTGTGTACTTATTTGATTAAAATAGTTACGTTTGATAATTTTAGTGAAAAGCATCATTTTTAAAACAAAAGTGGAAAAGCAAAAAGTACACACATAGTGAAAAAGTTAAATGTATTAATTCATTGATACCCACAGATATTTCTTTTTTTTTTATTAATTTGCAGTGTAGTAAAATATAAAAATAAAAAAACAAAAAATGAGAAACTTAAATAAATTTGAATAGAAATATGAGGTAAGATATTTTGCATTTTTTTTATCTTTAAATATTTTCAGGCGTCAAAAGTTAAAAGTATGCTTAAGAGTTGGAAACGTGTTTATCGATAAAGTTTGCTTCCGACTTTCTGTCAATATTTTCAGTATTTCTGCAATGCTAATTTCATGATGTATAATTTTTATTTATAATTGAAGTAATATTTATATATTTTATAATAACGTTTAATAAACTGATTTTATAATTGTTTTTAGGAATTTATTATACCTTCCAAAATAAAAAAAGATACCCTCTTGGTGGCGGCTCGTGGCTTTCCAAGATGGGTGGGCAAAAAATTTTTTCTCTAATGTAACTTAATATAATATAGGAATAATTGCACTCTAAGTCAGCCTATTTACTTTTGAAAGTGTAACAAACTTAATAACTATGAAGATAGTTAATATAAATATACAGGGTGTCACATTTAAATAAGAATTAAGCTTGTAACTTCTTTATTTTTTGGCCAATTTCAAAAATATTTATTTTGGAATGTGGGCTAAAAAAAATCTAACTGTGATATTGCTGTTTTTATTAATGCTATTCACGGTCAACTAGGACGTGTTTTCTTGACATTGCAACAGCTGATTGGTATTAGCGATTTTTTTCCCAAAAAAACAATTATGTATTCTCATTCAGCATTCCTTAAAACGTCTACTACTAAGTTTCATCAAATTCGATACATCTTCAGGCAAGCACTCCTTGATGTCGCGAAATGTAATACAAGCCTGTAACTTCTTTATTTTTTGGTCGATTTCAAAAATTTTTTTTACAGGATGTAGGGTAAAAAACTATCTGACTGTGATACCACTGTTTTTTATTAATGCAAATTGGTGATGAGATATTTTAAGGGACACTGAATGAGAATACGAAATGTTTTTTTGAAAAAAAAATTGCTAATACCAATTAGCTGTTTTGATGTCAAAAAAACGCATCCTGGTTGGCCGTGAATTGCATTAATAAAAACAGCAGGATTACAGTTAGATAGTTTTTATCCTACATTCTAAAAATTTTTTTGAAATAGGTCAAAAAAATAAAGAAGCTACAGGCTTGTATCACATCGAGGGCTGCATAACAGAGGGCGTATGAACTTAAATCACGAAAATTGTATTTTCAGGCGTACGAGCTACAAAAAGGGTGGAGTATAATTCCTTAGTCAGGCGTATCGGTATTTACAATAATTAAAATTTTAATGGTGTTATTATGTTAGGTGTATGAAACATCTTACATCTCCCGAACATCACATACAGGCGTATGAACGTACGCCTGTTATAAATTGTAAATTGGTTCATACGCCCCTTTGTTATGAAGTCCTCGAGTCGTTTAAGCACGACATCCTGTACCTGCAAATTATATTAGTTATTCCAAAAGTATAATAGTTTAGCAAGAACAAACCAGAATGTCATCAACGTGATTTCTTGCCAGGATATGTATAAAATAATATAATTCTCTAAACAAATAGTAAAATTTTCTATCAGTTTTATAGCAGTAGCACTTACTGAAAGTACTAATAATAAATTATAATAAAATTCTAATAAATAAATAAAAAAGTAAATAATCAGATTAATAAAGCGCTTTACAATGTCTCTATTTTCGTCCACAACTTTATTATGTTTTAAAATATTCTCACGAAGTGCGAATCAAGAAAAGTTTGATTGTTTTACTTTCCTAATAATTTAAATTTTAATGAATATGTTTGCTTCTCCGATTGCTCGTGTTTTTTTAAGGATTCATTAATATGTTTCAGATTTGAATTTCCTAGATAATTCTACGAAGTGTTACTTTTCTCATTAAATAGTAAGCAATTTCAACAACATAATTTGTTTTTAGTTTCACTACCTGTTAACCACTCATATTTATTGTACCAATTATTATGGTCTTTCCGATATCAATTGAAGAACTAAGTCGTTGACGGTATGTACCACGTTCGATCGCTGATGCAGCAACTCGGCATTGAAATATTTGAAAAAATTGTTCCCATATTTATTTAACCATACCCATATACAGGTCTGGTCGAACTTACACGTGGAAGTGGTAGAAATGTATACACCCAGTTGAAGAATGCGAGCGTGGGCAGACGAAATACAAATACAATTGCATTGGGCTACTGGGCAATAAATCTCAGCTTTTGACAAGTGGTTGACAAATTGCCCAGCAGTGCAGTGCAGCAATGCGGAATTTGGTGTGATTTAAGGAATTTTAATTTTTTATAGGCAATCTATATTACAATTGCGAAAGGGAGAAATAATATTACATGGCATTTTGGAGACCTTTTGAAACGGAACAAAACGAAATTTACCATCAATATAATAAAATTGTTTGAGGACATAAATAATTAAAATATGTCATTGGACAAATGAACATATAATAGAAATTTTCTACACATTATATACAAATTATAATTTTTTACCTCTATCAGAAAACTTTTTTAAGGAGACGCCTATGAAACTCATTAAATTTGATTGCTCGTTTTTTTATGCATGTTCAACTGATTTCGGAAAGACTAAATGATCTGTTACTTCCGCAATTGTTTTTATTTATTAAATTTTTCAGGTAGGGCGTAGGTTCTAATTGTGAAACAAATAATAATAAAAAGTTAACGTACTAAATTTTTTATCTAATAAAAAATTAACAATATCACCAATTCACGAATTTCACTTATCATTTTGTTTTATTCCAACTTATGTTTCCGATTACTCTCTAGTCCTAGGTACGTATAAGCAGGAAAGGGACAGCATTGTTTAGTTCAGCGATCATGGGTTAGCACGAATGTTGGTTGCTGCCGAGATAATGATTAAAATTTCGGTAGCGAGTTTCAAAGAAGGTAACGTATTTTAGATTTAATTTTATAAGATTAAGGTCAAATCATTTTTGTAAATGTATACACACATTTTGTTTTATTCTTCTGACATTTTCAAGGTGGGCACTGCCTCTAGTAGACATAATGGTGCATGACTCGTATATTTTTTTTAATTGTAAAAATACACGAGGTAGTCATGGATTATAGATTATTTCTGTTACTCGAGATTCAGAGCTCAATATTTTTTGGATTTTGACTTAGCGTCAGTTTTGGTAAATAAAAAGATGTTGGGAACAGTTTCTTTGGTAAAAACATTTATTTACGATTTTTTAAGATTTAGGTTAAAATTATAAACAAAAATATACAAAAAAATTTAAATACATAATATAAATAAATATGTTATGTGATCCGTAATGGGGATTTGAAAACAAGAAACAAATGGAATAGGCATATATCCGCTCCAATCTTTTGTTTTAATATACTAGATCAAATAGAAAGCCCTTTGCTCGTTAAATCGTATATTTCAAACTGTTATAAAACTTCTTACAAAGTATGCTTTTTTCCATCTAGTATACCTGGAATCCTTGAAAATATCTTACGTGTACACCAACGTAGAAAAATGAAAGACGTATTTTGTACATTTTTTTAAATCTTTCAATGTAACAATATTGCTACAAATATTGCAACTTCTTCAGGCTAGAAAGAAGATAGAAACTCATAAATCATAAATACGATTTCAGATTTGAAATAGTTTTACCCCCCTTCTCTCTACACTCTAACTTTATAATTACAAATTTTATATTTCTAAAGTTATACTAAATTGTGCTTGAATATGTAAATATTGGACAAAATTATGTATAAGGCGGGGACGTAAAACCACGTAAAATCCGAAATATTTTTACACGTATATTTACATGCCGGTAAAGCACTTACCCAAATCTTGGATAAACTCCAGCCAGGTTCCAATAATGTACAAGAAGATATTTTCAAAGAGCATTTTTTACATAATAGGAAGACACTGTACAATTTCCAAAATTATTAAAAAATATGTTACTGTCACAATAATATAAATACAAATGGTATAACCCATTTTCATCTTATATCAACTATTTACAGATATTTTTTATAAATAAACAGAAAATAAACTCCAACGAAAAAGAAAAAAAAACGCCTAAAACATACTAAGTATATCTAAAGAGACGACTCCACGTTTTGTATTTTCTGTTTACTTATTCTCTTGTATTTAATACTAACATCAATATGTATACAAAAATTACTTTCTATGATTGCAAAAAATATTTTAAAAAATTAAAATTGTATATATTTTCTTTTTTTTTATATATATAAATTAGCAATATATTTACTATTTATGAACTATTTTAAGTAGGTAGTGAAACTATGAGAAAGATTTCAAAATACACTTTTTTTTTGTAAAACATGTACATGATAATACAATTTGATTTGCTTTAGTTTAGAAACTAACCTTTTTCAAATCAGAATTTTGGGCCATGGAGAGAAAACTGCAAGAAAAAACACAAAATGTGAATAAAACGAATCGTTATCGATTAATATTCTTGAATCAGTTCATTTTCAGCAAAAAAATTCAAGAGGTTCTCCTGTAATAAACGTAAATAAATTGTAAACTTGTACTACAAGTTTTGCTGTGTAGCTTCCCATTTTCATAAACCTTATTCCACCGCCACTCACACCATAGGAAAAAACCACATTAAAAAGATTGATTATTTAAAAAAAATAGTGAAGTACAAAAATTTTTTTGAAAACAGCTATTTTGATTCTACAGGTTGTCGCAGGAAAGTTTTGAGCACCAACCACAGATTCTTGTCATCAAAATATGATGATTGGGCCAAACAATATTTTTCTCATGTAACTTAAAACTTTCGTCTGAAGTTACTTATTTTCGTGGCAGAGTTCTAGTTTCGTCTTTGGTATTTTCCCACCTTTGAAAAATAATAACGAAATAAACTCGACAGATCCTTCAGGCAAAACGGTTTATTTAATTTTTTTTTCAAAGGTAGCAAAATACCCTTATTGAGAACAAACTCATCGTGCATCTTCATTTATTGAATATATAAAGAAATATAATACAGGGTGTCCCGAAATTAACGCAACAAAGTTTGGTCATAGATTCTTAAGATAGAGTGACCGCAAAAATTGCCCGTTCTTTGACAATTCACAGAGAACTAAAGAAAATAGATAAAAATATGTTTTTGGTCTCAAATTACTCTTCATAAAAAATTAAGATGAGCACAGCTTCTAGTTTTTTGAAAATTTTCAAAAATCGCCCCTATTTAGAGGTTGAAAAGACGTTCAAATTGAAGAATTGAATATTACCAATAAATATAAAAACTATTAGCATGTGAATTTTTCTATCGAATGATTCTTGATACAAAGAAAGATCTCATGACTGAAATAAGCATGTTGAATTAGAAAATGCACCCTTAAGCGCACTCAGGGGGTGGAATCATCCCCAAAAATAGAGAATATCAGAAATAATTGTAAAAATTCCAAAAAAAATATATTAAGATAATTCACATGCTAATAGTTTTTATATCAATTGGTAATATTCAAATTCTTAATTTTTGACATTTTTTCAACCCCTAAGTAGGAGTGATTTTTAAAATTTTCAAAATACTAAAAGCTATGCTCATTTCAGTTTTTTACAAGTAATTTGCGACCAAAAACATATTTTCATGTACTTTTCTTAGTTCTCTGCAAATTGTGAAAAAACGGGTGAGAATCACAGGTTTTTTTGCGATCACTCTTTAGGGGACCGATATATTTTTTTTTGTCAAGTGGCCCCCTCTTTCGGAGTTACAGCCCCCTAAAATCTGCCCCTAAGAAGTCTCTTTTATATCTTAAAACCATGTTGTACGAGAATCACTTTTGGTACACAGGATTTTTATATGTGGAATCTGATAGTGCTACGCTTTTTGACGGAGAACCCTTTTATGACACATTTTCATGGGCCTCCTGGTCTTTGGAACCAAAAAATTTGGTCCATTTCTTAAAAATTATTAGGTAGTTAGCTAAAAAGCCATTGAATTTAGAAACTTTTTTGTCCCTTGGTATTTTTTTTGTAAACACAACATTTTTTACGAAAAAGGCAAATCACGATGTGCATTCGATCACATTTTGACATTTTTCTAGAAAACATTGCGTTTTACGAAATAAGTACCAAGAGACAAAAAAGTTTTTAAATTTAATGACTTTCTAGCGGACTAATAATTTTTAAGAAATTTAACTATGCAACCAAATTTTTTTGGCTCTAAAGACAAGGGGGCCCACGAAAAATTGTCTTAAGGGGCTTCCCCGCCAAAAAGCGTAGCGCTATCAGATTCCACATGTCATAAAACCCCTGAGTACCAAATTTAGTGATTCTCGTACAACAGGGTTCTGAGATATAAAAAAAGATTATTCTTAGGGGTCGATTTGTGACCAAATTTTGTTGCATTAATTTCGGGACATCCTGTATAGGCTATTATTTCTCTGGGATCCCCAATTTCTTGATGATCCCGTAATTTTTTTAAACATATACCTATGACTGGCCCAAAAACCTCGATATACCCAATTGAAAGAAAAAAAAAAAATAAAATTCTAAGGAAGCTACCCTTGAAATAAGGCTCATTAATTTCCAAACACCCGTATTATGTTACAAGGGTTGCCTTTTATATTACGGGAATCCTGGTGGATCCTGGTAGTGCTATCGTAAAGTTTGACTTTTTGTCGGTATACCTACTTAGAACGTTTTGACGTACAGGTGCTACTTGTGTTGTTTAAAGTGACTTGAAAAATTCGTCTAGGGCAAAAAATCTATTTTTTACAACTTTCGACGTGCATTATCTCAACAACAGTGCATCGATGAACTTAATTCGACTTTTGGCGATTAAGCACCATCGAAAACCACTGTATATCGATGGTATACCGAATTCAATCGTCACGGTAGTTCGTTCACTGTCGAATTAAGTGAAGGTCGTCCAAAATCGGTTGTTGTTCCAGAAAACATTGATGCTGTGTGTGAACTGATATTGCAATAACATTTGGTCGCCAAAAAAATTTGTGTGCGTTGAATCGCACATAATTTGACCAACGCTCAAAAAAAGGCTTATGTCGATTGGTCGAAAGAAATGATCAAGAAATACGATCGCAGTACTTCAAAATATGTCTATGACATTGTAACAGATGACTAATCATAAATCTATGCGTATAAGCACAGAAATAAACAGCAGTCGACTGTATGGATCTTTCAAGATGAGCCAAATAACACAAAAGCTGGTCTAGCATGAAGCACTTCTAAGCAAATGTTCGTCTTGTTTTTTTTTTCGAACGTTGCAACGTTGGACGGTCAATTCTGAATAGTACAGAACCATTTGGTTGCCAAAAGTCTTTGAGAAAATAAAGTAAACCAGCCGCTCCAACAAGACTTTTTGAGAACTGAAAAAGTCAAATTGATGAGTCATCCGCCTTACAGCCCTGATTTGGCACCCAAAGACTTTTTTATTCCCGCACATCAAAAATAAATTACGAAGTCGTTTTTTGACGCCTAATGCGTTCAAAATGCATATTTTGCAGGTACCTCAATTGGAATGGAAAAAGTGCTTCGAAAATTCGTTCAATAAAGCCATATACAATGATTAATTTCTTTTTTTGTTCTATATTCCCGCAATATAAAAGGCAACCCTTGTAATAACATTAACAATGATGTAAGGTTTCTAAAAACATTAAAAATCAATAAACAAATTCATAAATGATTATTATTCCAGTAAAAAAATGAATATTGCAAATTTTTTAAATTCTCATAAGGAAATGTGAAAACATTTTTTAAAAATTATAATGGTTACATTGCCATAAAATTATTTTTTTTAATTTGGTCTGTTTTGACTAATAGTAACATCATTATTTTCATTATTTTGACTAAGTTCACAATTTGATCAAAATTGCAAACAATATTTTAAAAAATTTAACACATTGAACACTATTTTATAAAAAGAACACTCAAAATCTGTACAGCATTTTTGTAATCTACACAGCAAACAAACACTTCTATAATAGCAAAGGAAAATAAAAATTCCTGTCGAACAAAGTACGTCCAACATGGTCTTACCCAAACTGATAATTTAATCATAAAAAAACTTAGAAATCTTACCATATTACTGTCTAGAACCTCTTGCTGCCTCCTCTAAAGCTCTTACTTTAAGTTCGCGCTCTCTTTGCTGCCTAAAATGTGAAAACTACGATTATAAAGACTACCGTTCTTCCACTAAATGGATGTTGTATATTGTATTTTATAGACTACACCCCTTTTTCGCGTTTCCATACTTTTTTTTAGGGGTATATTTTTCCTCGCTTATCAAATTGAATCAAACTGCATATCTCACAGGAAAAGAGGCAGTTGGTAGAATTTAAGCATCTTTTTTTTAGATACAGAATCGAAAGAAAAAAGGAACTGATTCAAGGATAATTTACCAAAAGAAAACGATACAGCAACAAAAAAAATACAGCCAATTAGTTTAATGTAATAGTTGTACTTAAAAAAATGAAAACGTTAATTATTATTATTATTAGTTTATGCTGATTTTTTTTTTACAAAATTTCAAAGCAAATACACTAAATTTGCAAACCCATTATGAATTACGTAAACAAATAGCAAACTATGAGTTTAAATAAAAACAAATAGCAATCAACATAAACCCAAATATAATTTTGGAACAGCGTATTAATTTTCAAAAAAATTGGCGTGGTCTATAAAACCATTATGAATAGATATTAAAAAATGTAGGCGAACGAAGCACAGATCTATGAACAAAAAAACCAAACCTTAATCAAACTAAAAAGCAACAAACACCAATGTATTAATATGCAAAAAAAAAACAACTGTTAAGATGTCTAATTTCTAATAAAATGTAACTGATGATGCCAATCTATCTCGTTGTTTGGGGATGTAACAAATAAAATGCAAACAGGAAAAAGCTAAAGCTATTAGTCTCAAATTCGACGAACTGGAATGAATTCTGTACAAGCTGTGTAACTTTTACAAAAATGTTTACAAAAAACATGTATTTCCTTGAGAAATATGTCATATATTAACAGGTAAAATACAAACGTTCATTGTTACAAAATATTTATTTGACAGCGATAAACAACAGTCATCTGTCACTTTCAGGGCCTACTTGATCAGCATTGCATGGCCAACTGTTTAAAATACTTTAAAAAATGTTTTTTGTATTAACATCCAATTTTAACCAAATTTCAATTTTAGTGAAGCATATTTTCACTTCATTTTGTTGTGAGGCTAATCGATATGCGAAAAAATTGATTGCGAAGACTGAAATTAAAGTTAAGTTCCTCAGCTTGCACATTCTTAAATAATGCCTTCTGTGTGGGTTATGATACTCATACTTGAATGCACTGTGAAGTTTTTAAAAAACATGAACAGACCTTAGGTACTCTTCATGTTGAGCAACAATCGAGGGGTGGGGAGGAAATCTATCTCTTTCTAGCAGCATCTGCCTCTGTAATTGTTCATGTGCAGCGGCCTGAACAGCAAACACCAAATAATATAGTTTACCGCTACATGTCGCAGTTAAGCGATCGTTCGAATCGTTAAATATTTCCCCGACTTTATTTATCGTGCACAATTAGCATCCGTGCAGAAAAAATGCCAAGTAAAAGGGTATATATAACCTTGAATTCCGGCAAAAGCGTAAAGTGCGTCACAAATTGCTACAAAAATATATAGGGTAGTTCAAATTAGAAAAAAGTCATGTCATTGAAGATTTTTTTTAAAAATTCAAAAATTCGTTTTTTTTCTTTTGATACTGTAGAGGGAGCAGTATGTATACAGGGCATAACTTTAATCAAATAAATAGTCTAGCTACAATTTGTTTGTTAAAATGCGCTTAAACTCTTGTTTGCGAGCAAGTGTTTGCAATTTTGTGACTTAGTATGGTGTGTTTGTGCGTCTTCATCGTTAAATTTCTGTGTAATACTTGACAACAATGTATGCCATAACTCTCAAGTGGGTATGAGCTCAGGGCTATCGACGATGATTATTTAAGGTTAGAATCGCCTGTCCAGTGGTGAGGTATGAAAATTACGATAAAAATAAAGAAAATTACGAAAAAAAAAAAAAATTAAAGTTAGAGACAATTTCGGAAAACAATTGTTTTTTAAAGGGCAAAGATAGTTTATGAATAAATATCACCCCATTTAATGTCACACACTGTTTATTACTGACTCGGCACCTTTTACGGCAAATTGTAACGCACACTACACTTACCGTCTCATTTTTAAAAAGGTATTTACTATTTCAATTTAAAATTTTTCATTTATGTCACGAAATTTCAAATTTACGGACCATCCTCCGTCGGTTATAACTTAATTTTGAAAAAAAAGTAAATAGGGTGGGTTATATCCTTACCTGATGCGCCAGTTGATCCGCGTATGGTCGACCTAGAAGATCGGGGTGGTGCAGTCCTAGCGGACCGTCTCTACCAGGGATTAGCCCAGGGCGGGGGTAACCCGGCGCCGCAGAAGCTGCAATTAACATTTGGTGTTAAAACAAGCGTAATTGTAAAATAATCGGAAGTTTTGTATAATTAAAGTGAAATCGTTTCTTACCTGGTAGGGGGAATCCTGCCGCAGCAGCCGCCGCCTCCTGCTGCGCCTGCTGCTGTTGCGGATGCAGGTGTAAGTGGGTGTGGGCATGGGTATGTGCATGGGTATGGGCATGGTACTCTGGAGAAATGCCAGCCATTTGCAACCTTACCTTCAACAATAGCAGAAAATATTTTGATAATAACATTATCGGCTGAAGTGTAAAAGGTCTCACTATGGCGAAGTTAGCCATTTTTAGATTCTATACAGGGTGTCCGAAAGTTACGATACCTTTTCCAAAACTCAATATAACGAAGTTACACAATCGTAATTGTTATTTAAATGTTTACCATGAAGTATTTCCAGTTGAACGATTGTTATAAAATTTGGTAGGTACATTTGTGAATGGTAATAAGCTACGTCTATAAAATAAAAATTGGAGAATTTTGCTCAAAGATATTAATTGGTCTTTTTTGACTATTAAACCGATCATAATTTTAGTTGCAGTTTTTCACAGAACAATTCGATATTAAAGATTACTAAAAAAATCTTAAAATACCTCATTTTGTTCCAAATCGATAACATTTATTATTTTGCAAAAGTATTTTGTGACCATGTTCTGTTTCAATTCCGGTAAATTATCAATTTCCTTATACAGGATGTAGCAGAAACAATAAAAAAATAGCATGTGATGTCATTAAAAAGTAAACGATTTTTTTTGCTGTGAACCTATTATGTTCTGTTTTTTAGATGTAGATTGTTAAAAAAATGATTTTTGAAAATCAAATTTTGACCTGTTTCAAAAAAAGAATGTTTTGCATTGAAATTATGCCAGTGCTGTTTGTTTTCGGGTTTTGCAACATAACTTTTTTTTTACAATGTATATTAAACAGGGTGATTCAAAATTCAGTACAAAAAATTTAGGGGCATATTTTTGAGGTCAAAATAAGACTTATTTTTTCTATAAACATGGCTCCACAAATGTTTAGTTTTCGATATGCAGCTTGTTAAAATTTTTTTTATATTTTTTTATTTTTTAGAAATACTTTCCGAACAAAGCATGTTGGTATAAAACGGGGGTTTTTTATGATGCCAAATTTAAATGTGATTGGTTTTGATGCTGCTTGTAGAGGGCGCCACCTATAAGGGTACGCTTGAATTAAAATAATATAAATACATTTTAACCATCTAATCACTAATGCAGTGATCTTGAAATTTAGCTCTTTACATTTTTTTGATACAACTAACTGTTTTCGAGAAAATCTTTGGTGACTAGTGACAATACTACATTTAGTCAGCAATGATTTTCTCGAAAACAGTTAGTTGTATCAAAAAATTGTAAAGCGCTAAAATTCAAGATCATTGCGTTATCGATTAGATGGTGAAAATAAATTTTAAAATTTTTCACGGTAAATAGTTAATAAAATTTAAAAATATGGTCTGCATTTAACTCTTCATCAGCCTATATCTCGGGAAACGGTTGGCCCGAGAGATTTCGACCAAGTATACCCATTTTGCCTAGAATTGATAGGACAATAAATGCACTAATACGAAACGTCAATGTACAAAATAGCAAAAAAGTTATGGCCAATTTAATTCAAGAGTACCCTTATAGGGGGCGCTCTTTACAAGCAGCGTCAAAAGCAATGGCATATTCAAATTTAGCATCCTAAAAAAACCCCTGTACCTAAAGTTTATGTCAATATTCAAATCAAATTCCTAAGAAATTGAAAAAAATAAAACACTTTAACATATCGAAAACTAAGCATTTGTGGACCCACAGTTTATGCCAATATTCAAATCAAATTCCTAAAAAAATTAAAAAAATATAAAACACTTTAACACCCTGTATATTGAAAACTAAGCATTTGTGGACCCACATCTATAGGCTCCTAAATTCTTTGTACTGAATTTTGAATCACCCTGTATATTAACTCGTAAAATTTTATTCTACACAAAAAAGGTAAAAATTCTTAAATTTCACCGTTCCAAAGTTCTGGATCTATGAAAATCTTTGATATTCCAGATTTTCCCGGTTTTTTAAATTAGTATATACTTTGCTATCGGAGCTTTAGAATTCTGTATTTTTTTTTCTCGGTGTTGTTTATCATAATATTAATCAAGTAAATAACTTGGAAAAAGAGAACCATTCTGTAATATTTGTGAATGACCTTCAACATAGAAATAGTAAATTTTCTAGTAAATAAGGACAAATCAAATCTTTTAAGGCTTAAATTTTAATTATTTCTGTACCAAAAATAATTCTAAATTTGTAAAAACTGGGTCGACAGAGAAAAAAGTTATCCTTATTCACATTCTTTTACAACCATTAGTGTGTTGTATTGATGTTTTGCAATATTGTATTGTTTTTTTTTTGTTTTAATTTCAAAAGTAATTTGTATATGAATTTTGATGTACATACTTGCTTTATAACTGGGTATCCCGTAGGGCAGCGGTCTTCAAACTTTTATAGCTCGTGTAACCCGGCCAACATTTCAATTTCTTCATACACATTTTTTACAAATTATATATTTATAAATTAACAAAATAAATATTCCATTAAGTAAAAATTAAACTAAGACTAAAGTTAAGTTTAAAGTTAATATTTATTGGATAATTAAAAAAAATAATAACATAGCCACACCAAAAAAAAGTTGTCTGTACTTTTCTTGCGACATATGTTATCGACAGTATTTTTGCCTCCTGATCACGAATCCGGTGTCAGAATTGAGCTATCACATCACAAGAATTTCCTAACCTCAAAAAACAGGTCAAAATAGCAAAAATTCACGAAAAATACAAAAAATTTTTTTTTTCTATATTCAATTGTTCATTTATATGGTTATTAAGACACCGCCGAACATGAATCCTCGATCGGAATTGATTCTTCATTTTCTAACCTCAAAAACGTGAAAATCCGTGATATGACCTTAATTGACCTTTTTTGAGGTTAGAAAAAGAACCATCAATTCTGACTGCGGATTCACGTTCGGCGGGGTCTTAACCATATAAATGAACATTTGAATATAGAAAACATTTTTTTTGTATTTTTCCTAGCACTTTTCGTGAATTTTTGCTATTTTTTACCCGTTTGTTGAGGTTAGGAAATTCCTGTGATGTGATAGCTCAATTCTGACACCGGATTCGTCATCAGGAGGCAAAAATCCTACGGATAACATATGTCGCATGAAAAGTAGACAACTTTTTTTTTGTGTGGCTGCGAATGTGCTTTTTGAATGAGTCGCGGAACTCCCAGAGAGGTTGTGGGGAACCCTAGGGTTCCATGGAACACAGTTTGAATACCGCTGCTGTAGGGCAATGTATGTCATAAATAAATAAATAAATAAAAATTTTGACATTATGTAACTCCAATAGTATCGTTTTAGAAAAAAATATCATAGAAACTTATACCATAACTTTTACGAGTCGAATTGACTTCTAAATTTTTTGCTAATAATTTCCGGACACCCTGTATTTCCAAAAATAGTACATTACTAAAATTTTTGACTTCTCCACGTGAAATATGTAGCTTGTGACACTTACCATAGGATCTGTAGCAAGGGCCAGCCTCTCCGCCGCTTCCAATTGCGCTTGATGGGCGGGGTGGTGTGGGTGGCCCGGCGGCGGGCCACCGGGACCCCCCGGGGCTCCGGGAGGTGGAATGCCCAGCCTCTCCAACCTCTCCCTTTCCATTTGGGACAATTGCGCGCTACCGCCTCCTGGGTACAAGGCGTAGTGGTGCAGCGGAAGTCCCGCCGGTCCTTAAAAAAAAACAAAGTTAATCCGATTTAAAATTCAACCGTGCCAACACTGAAAAACCTTGAAATACGTTTTTATAGGTATTAAGTAATAAAAAGAATCACCTATAAAACACGTACCTCCTGGGCCCGCCAATCCCGCAGCGTATCTCCGCTGCAGCTCCAGCCAATGGGGGTCCATTGGGTTTGGCGGCCCTCGCATACCGCTCTTCATGATCTCTTCTTTGATTCTGTCGTTGAGTTCTCTTTCGCGCAGCTCCCTGATCTCACGTTCCCTCTTTTCTCTCTCCAAATGCTCCAGTTCCAATCTGCAGAGACAAAACATGTTTTATCGGAAACGCGTACACTAAAATCATTTATAAGTCGGCAAAGACTAAGTGGGCCTAGACTTTTTCCTTGCGGGATACCAAATATTACACAAAATATTTACCTTTCCCTTGCACCTGGACCGTACATGCTGTTTAACTGGAACTGTAGCATGGGGTCCATGACATGAGACGGGGGCAGTAGAGACCTCGGCATGTGACCTAGGAAATGTTCAATTTAAGTCAACGGTTTACGATTATGCGCCATTAACAACGGCATTGTAAATTATAAAAAAAAACAATAAAACAAAAAAACACCTGGACTGAATCCAGCGTGCGGCCTGGCATACTCCGACAACTGCCTCAACGCGGGCGTATCATTAAAACCGGGTCTCGGGAACCTCTCGTAAGGCGAGGAAACCGTTTCCAAAGGACCCCTAGACGGCGGCTTCACATCTGGTTTTTCGGGAGTCGTGATTTTCCTCTGTTGGGCTTGTTGGGCTCGCTCTCTTTCCTCCCTCTCCCTCTCCGCCTGTTTCCTCAGCCTCTCCTCCCTCTTCCTCGCTAATTTCGAATCGGGAACTGGTTTAAATGTGAGATCGGTCCTTGTGCACGAATTGTAATCGCCTCGATTCCAATGCCGCAAAAATCTAAACAGAAGATTTCGGTAACGGTACTGCGAAAATCGTTTGTTTAAATATATACTTACATTGCACTTTGACTTCTGTGACACTCGGTATCTTCGATCCTAGGTTCAGGCGAAGGCCCCCTTGATGGGGCTACGGGACTACTCTGGCTCTCTTCTTCGGGAGTCGACGGACCCGGATCTGGTTCGACCTTGATTATCTCGTCCGACACCGGCTTAGGGGGAGGATTCATCGGCGAGGTGCTCGGCGGGTGCATATTACTGGACTGCTGCATATTCGCGGCAGCTTGGGCCGCGTGGGCCCTTAGGGCGTCCAGGGAACTGCTGCCCATCGACGGAGGGCCTGAAAAATCGTTGATAATACGTTCTAACATAAGATAACTTGAAGTATCTGTTTCTATACGACACAATTATCAAGAAATTGAATTGGACCTACCCAGCGGCGACGGATGGTGTCCCATGTTGGGCGGTTGGATCATAAGGTGATGCGGGTTGGTCTGGGGCGTTGGGGGCTTGTTATGCATACTGTGCCGCAGCAGTTGGTTGCCGGGTGACATCCTGTCGTGGTGCGTGTGAGTGTGGTGATGTGTATGCTGGTGGTTGCTCGTTGAAGATGAAGACGAGTGGTTTAAGCTAGTGGTTGAGGAACTCTGAAAACCAAAACGGAATAGAAAATTTATTTTATCCGTCATCATAAAGAATTATTACTTGAATCTCTTACAATCCATAGTCGTATCAGTTTAGGAGGTAACGAGATATAGAAAATATGGAAAAATGATAATAAAACATAACATCTATTATTTTTAGAGGTTTTTATCAAGAAAAAATATTTTCAAAACATTTTATTTTTAAATTTTAAGTGTTTTCTATAAAGTGATACCATCAGATAGGTTAGGGTGTTTATGACCAATAGACTGTTTGCTAAAACCGGCACTTTGACCCATTTTAATTATTGCTACTAGGTACAACTTTTTACAAAGAATTTCACTTTGGTTTGAGATTTTTTGTTTCTACGTTTGTCCATGAGAACTGCATGAAAATAGCATTTTTTTTAGTTTTTGAAAGATAAGTGCAAATAATCTGTAGGGCTATCAGAGAGAGCCACAATTCAATGGCGTGCCAAGCGGGTCAACCATGCCATGCGTGAGCCGCTGCCTCAGAATGCTTTTCACGTTCACGTCAGGTTAGTATACTGTTGCCTTTGTTATCGTGCGGATGTTGCGTAATTAATTCCTAATTTGTTCCTTTTTGATAAATAATGCGTCTGACAGCCTTAGTAATTTGTATCACAGAAATTATTTATTATACATATGTATATGGCTATTACAGAAATAACAGTAAGCAAATGATCGAGAAATTATTTAAGATTCAGATTTATTTACATTTATTTCTGTAAAAGTAGTAATCTTCTGAAAACTCGATTAGTAAATGATTAACAGTTTGTTTATTAGATAAAAAACTTCGTCATTGAAAACTAATAGAGTTCAAGACTCGATCGGATGATCATAGCCGTCGCGTCGGAATTTCGCTAAAGCGCACCATACGAAACCAGTAATAACGGCAGTTATTGGCTTCGTTTATGCCTCGTGTATACGTGATTTAATATTCTAAATAAGTATGAAAACGCGAAAAAAACATTACAAGGGCGAAGGTTCTATAGAAAAAGTATGAAAAAGGCATCGGGTCGATAAATATGAGTATTTTTTGCATAGTTTTAAATAAATAACATGGAAAATAGATAAAATAAAAAAGGTGTACCCGTGCGCAATTCGAACCGCGGTACTGCAGATTGCAAACCTGGGGACTGTTGACTATTGACCTGGGGAAGTTGAAGAAAACGTTGAAAAGCCAAATTCCGTTCTCGTGCTACGATATCAATCGCAGACAACACAAAACGACCTCGGACGTCCGAATAAAGCCCCGCTGTGACTCCCAAGTCCCGGGAACGTCTCCGTGAGCGATAATCTACGAGGCCATCGTCAGATTTCATCGGATAGGCGTGTCGGACTTGTTCTGTCTGCGTTCCTGATGAAAAATAGGCCACACCCCCCCGAGGAGCTCTGGGGAAAACGGGAATTTAGGTAGGAAGGCGCAGAAGAGTCACAACCGAAATACCCTTAAGCAAGAAAGTGGGGACGGCGGGGCCCGAGGGAAGAGTCTTTTGTCCAGCAAATCGGCGCTTTTTTGGGCCGAGTGTGCGATATAAGAATGTTTTAAAACGTCCCGTACTACATATGTCCGTTTACACTTACTAAAAAGCATTTCCCTATACGTACTATAAGTGCAATAGGCAGAGATAGAAAATAGATCGACGTTGATTGTGCATAGAGAGCGGCACTTCATTTATTTAATACAAGACACATAATATTGAACCGTTATCATTCTATATTTTATACGCTTTATAGTTATAGTGCTTTTATATTACATCTAACAATTACCTGGGAAACGGGAGTATGGGGCGAACTGGTCCTCACGGTTTTCTGATTCACTTTGTGCTGAACGCTCTGACTGGAACTCGTCGACGTGCTGTGCGATATCGTGATGCTATGACTGCCCCCGTAATTGTGTTTTTCCACCGTGGCATGGACAGAACTATTGTGAGACGTGCTCTGGTGGTTGGTCAGCGTCATTTCGTGCGTCTGGTGCCTCTCGGCGCCGGTCTCGTCGGACTCCCTCGTCTCCCGTTTGGACGTCAACGTGCTACTCGTGCTGTGTTGGGAAGACATCAACGTGGCACTGACGGTATCGATGGACTTGGGCGGGACTACCATATCCGGACGACTAGTTGGAGGAGGTATTGGGTGCGGTTGGGGCGGAACGGGATAGGGGTAAGGGTAAGAGAACGGATAACCGGAATACGGATGGCCGGGAAATTGCATGTGGAGAAACGAGGGATGGACTAGATGATGAGGGGGGTGCATGGACCCGTACGACGGACCGTGCGGTTGGTGAGGGTGCGGCTGCGAGAGGGATGTCGGAGGACCAGAACTGGGGCTTATCAGGTTTACTGCGGTGTGCGGCGAGTTTGTTCCTGGGAAAATAACAGAATATTGAAGAAATTAAACGTTTTTTATAATTTTTCATAAAACAGATAAGTGGGTCCTTTTATTGAAATGTGAAAAAAAAAAAAAAAACAAGAGAGTTGTCCACTATAATTGCCATCGTCTATTTTCTTTGGTATTTTTCAAAACAGGAGGTTTTAGTTCTCTAAAGGAGAGAATGCATTAGGCAGTCACGGTCCCGTCGCATTGCGTACCATGCTAGTCTCGATCGTGTTCTCTACCGATCTTTTCCAAATAATCTTGGAAGACCACGATGCGATCGAGACGAGCTTCTTCTTCCATATAACTAATTTTTTTAACTACTAAAACAATATCTCGACTATTTATAGAAGAGCGCGAGCAGAATTGTGTACGATTGCCAAATGCGACTGATTTTGGAAAACATCGCGATCAGCTCAACCTAGAACGGACCGCAAAATGACTGGACCGTAACCGCCTAATGCGTTTCCTTTATAGTTTAGGTGAAGTACATAATATCAATCCATCTGATGTGATATGCCAACATGCTGCTAAGTAATCGCTAAACATTTTAAAGAGCTTAATATTTTTTGCATGATTTTATTAAATATTCTTTACTAACTGTAAGTAAAACTAATTTATATTTTAAAATAATAACTGGCTGTTTTATAAAAAGCACGTAATAAAAAATTAAAAATACTCACTGATCTGATAGATTTGAAATAATTTTTAAAATCATGTTTTTACTAAAAAGTATTTGTTATAGTTATTACGAAATCAATTGGAACATGTGAATCTTAAAACACAGGTCCGTCTGCACTCTTGAAATATCTTCCTATGCTTTGGCCATGATCTGTCTCTCAATTTATACTCGTCTGATGTAGAATTGACGACGGCACGCTGATCGACAAAGCAAACATGTATTGGTCCACTAGGTCGTTAAAATTTTTTGTATGTTATTCCGTCAGTTTGGAGTAGAGTGTGGTATGCCAGTGCAGTGCAGAGCATTGCTTGACGGGGTATGTTGTTGGTATAATATGTATTATTTACTAGCGGCCCGTCCCGGCTTCGCACGGGTGGACATTTATTTTAAACATTTTGGGATATAAAAAATATAGCCTATGTTACTAAGGGATAATATAGCATTCTAATGGTGAAAGAATTATCGAAATCCGTCCAGTAGTTTTTGAGTTTATTCGTAACAAACATACATACATACAAAAATACAAATCTTTCCTCTTTATAATATTAGTATAGATTAGTTGATATTATTATTTGTTCATATCGTAACCAGTAAAGGGTAATAGTTATTAAAATAAATATTATATGTAATTATCTACTAATTTAGCATGGCTTTCTGGAGTTTAAAAACAAAGGTTTACATGTACAAAGTCAATGTATTATTTTAAATATATATGAATATTTGAAAATGGAAAATAGTAAACAATGTGATAAAGAAATTAGGAAATGAATTAGCGAATTAACTAAGATATCAAAAACGACAATTTGTCGTGTAATTAAGAAACAAAAAAATTTGAGTATATCACTTACTATAGTATAAGCTATAGAGAATATAGTATAAATTAATGCAAACAATTAAAGAGTCAAAAGAATTCCCGAAATTTTTCTGTGATTTTTGACAGACTGTATTTAGGTGAAAAATGGTCGTATCCGTAATTTAAAAAAAAAGTATTTTGAAGTCTAAGATTCTAGTTTTTAGACCTTTCGGTTGAAATTTTTTAGGAGCTACGGATATCATACAATTTTAAGAAATAGCGTGACAAAAAAATTTTGCAATTTTTATTTTTTTTTCAGAGTTCACGGACTTGGAAAATTTTTTTTGAGCTAAGACCAGATAGCTTGTTTCTTCAACTTCAATTTCCTTTTTTTTAAATTTCGATATGACCATTTTTATCGAAATATCAGACCTTTAATGGAAAAGGATCCATTTGTCTTCAACCATCGATATGTCGGCAACAAATGGTCGTACAGAGAATTGAACGACACTTTTGAAAACTGGAATAAATTTCCTATAGCATGCTGCCGCAACTTTTCGGAATTTTTTTTTTCGTCTTACACGAATTTTAAAAAACGGGGAAAAAAGGGTAATTTTTGGTTTTTTAGAAAGTTGACGGCTAAATTAGAAATATTCACGAAATGACTAATGTTAAGCATGACTTACAGCTCGGTATACCCAGATGAAATCTGTGAAGTTTCATCTCGATCTAGAGAACCGTTTCTTTGGTTCAAACAAAAATTAAAGGGTTACATTTTTTTGAACTTAAGCACATAACCATGATTAAAATGGGAAACAAATTTTTTGAGGTTTTCTCACATTTTTACTGCAAATAACGTTAAAATTGATGAAACAAAAAATTTTTCTTTTTATTTTTTTCAGAGAAGAGGGTAGCTTTGAAAAAAACTGTTTTTTAAGTGATTACAGACTGCACAAAAATTAATTAGAAATTTGTTTCAAAAAACGGTATGAATCGAGGTCAAAATCTGGGAAAAAAAGGAAATTGAAGCTGAATAAACAAGCTTAGCTGGCTTAGCTGAAAAAAATTTTTCCAAGACAAAAAAAAATTTTTGGTCGCGCTATTTGTTAGAATTGGATGATAACCGTAGCTCCTAAAAACTAGAATCTTAGTTTCTAAATGTTTTTTTTAATTTCTGATATGACCATTTTTCACATAAATACAGTCTGTAAAAAATCATAGAAAAATTTAGGAAATTCTTTCGACCCTTTAATTTTTTGCATTAGTACATCTAGACGAGGGCAAAATTTTTCAGGACTCCTACGGATTCCGTAGAATTTATGAGTTGTATTTTAATTTGGTTCCAATTGACATCGTAACAACTATACCATTTTTTTTAAAGCACTGCATTTAGTTTGTGAATCTCAATGTCAAGCATTCCTTTCACACACCACTTCAGATTATTACATTTATTTTCATTTCAGTTTATTAGCTTATACGATCTTTATAATATGGCAGTACTTTAGTGCTTTTTTGCGTGAAGTATAGGTTCTACTGGAATCGAAATAGAATTTGTATTGCGCAGTGTTGTATTTTATTAATTTTAACATCATTATATTTTAACAAAATGTGTAAAAATTATGTAGTATAACCTCAAAAAGTTATTTGTTGCAGTGTTTAATGACGGTAGTGTGTTTATGTGTCTTCACTGCTAAATTTATAAATTAATGTAAATTCGGTTTTCATTATTTTCCCCGTCCCGCTTATAATACAAAACTACCCACTTAATAATTATTAAGACTTAAATAAGCGGGATTCTTACCTTGTTGTCTTAGCGGAGGAGTGGCCGATATTTGAATTCCCGGGGTATTATTTTTGGGAGTACTACATTTATCGGACGGCGTTTTCGGGCTGGGACCGCTGCTAGACGGTCGTCCGAATTCCGGTTCCTTCTTGATGTTCTCCACGGCTGGGCCAGAGGCCGGCCTGTCACTCCGGTCGGTTGTAGACGACGACTGCGTAGACGGAGGCTGTGGTGGGGGCAAATAACCGGGTATCTAAAACGATAAATAAATAACCGTAATAATCGAAATTTTTTTTGGGTAAACAACTTACTTTAACGTCTCGTAAACTTTGCAGGGGATCCGCCATGGGCTGCCCTTGCATGTGACTCGGAGGCTGGATATAACCGCCCGAGGTCGGCAAATTCAAGTTCGTGGTGGCGGACAAACCTTGCGAACTCGGCGGTAAAATGTTCATATTATGCGACGTCTGGCCGGGTCCAGGCGGCAGCGCGTTTTGCGTGAAAGTATTCAAACCGCTTAGATGGTTCGGGGGCAGACTTTGACTGCTCTGACTGGAAGAGATGTCTGGAATCTCCTGCTTTATTTTGAGATTCTGCGGCTCGTTCTGGTTCTGTCCTTGTGCGCTGCCTTGCTGCATGTGACTGTGACTCTGACTCTTCTCCGGGTTCCTAGGCGACTGGGGGTGGCTGAATGGAGACACGCCCGTCATGAACCCGTAGTGGTTGATCTGTGGCGCTTGAGATCCCCCGATAGTGACCAAGTTACTGGATTGCATCAGGCTGGGAAGCGGAGGTTGCCCTATCGAGGACGAGGTAATGGGTCCCATCTCGGAACGATCTGAACGGTCGATGCGGTCGGGCCGGTCCAACCTTTCCGGGCGTTCCAATTTCTCCATCTTCTTCTCTTCTTCGTAGTGGCTGTCGCTGCTTTGTCGGAGATTGGCGGGGATCTGCTGCGACATCGGGATAACCTGGGGTATATTGAGGGGTTGCGGCATACTGCCGTACGGTTGTGGTGGTTCGTTTCTGTTTTGATTCGTGAGCTCCATCGGTTCGTCTCTGGGTTCTAGTTTTATCACCGTGTTGTTCACGCTGTTGATGGTGGCGGCGGTGGTGGGGGTCGAGTCTTTGTTGGAGCTCTGCGAGCTTTGGTAGCCGTAAGGATCCGGTTTCTTATCGGAAATGTAACTGGAATGGTTCATGTTGATGATCTGCTCTTTGTGTTTCTCCACCTGGGGCTCCTTCAGGTTTAGACCGTGTTTCGGTTGGAGGTGGTTCATCAGCGGCGGATCTTTCATTCCGAATGATATCGGCTCTTTGATGTTTTTACTGTGGGGCATGAATATGTTCTCTTTGTAAATGTTTTCGTCTTTGCCGTCCAGATTAGGGTTCAGAATCATAGGGTTCATGCTGATGGCCTCGTTGGAGGAATCCATCTCCTCCTTTATCTTGTCTATGGTGTGGACTTTTGGTATTATGAGTTCGGTTTTGAACGGTTTTTCGGGAACGAGCGGTATCTGCTGCGGAGGCAAGGACTCTTTGGTCTCTTCTTTTACTTCCTTTTCCATCTTAGGTTGCATTTCCTGCTTTTTCATCTGCTGTTGCTGCTGCTGCTGCTCCCTTTTATATTCCTGCTGAGCGAACCTGACGGCTTCTGGATTGATCTTCATGTTGTCCGAGTTATATTTCATACCGTCCGGATTGTATTTGATGTCTTTCATGTCCAAGACGTTGTCTAAGTTACGTTTGATAAGGTTCTTCCTCTCGTTTATGTCGTCGGGTAATCGAATGGATACGTTGAGTGGCATCGGTTCCATATTGGCCGGCGTTTGTAGTTTAGTTGACTGGATAACTGGCAAACTGGTACTGTTTGGCGCGGTCGCTTGTATGGACGGTTTTATCTCTGGCGGTTCAAGTATGTCTGGTTTCATAATGGGTTTCGGAAGGGGTTCCGGGGTAATTATGTTGTTGTTGGTGTTCATTGCAGGGGCGATGCTTGTCGTTACCTGAAAAGTATAAAAAATACACAACGAATTCTATAACGCTTTGCGCATAACTTACCATCGCTTGTAGGGGAGTTGTGACAACCGTCGTGGAGCTAGGCGGAGGTACGTCCGACGTATCGTTATCATTTTCGGTGTTCTCCACGTCTTCGTTCACTGTTTCAGAATCGGTCGTGACGCTGGAAGGACTCTCCGCTCTCTCTCGTTTTTTCTTAAGTAGACCCAGATCTTTCTCCTCCAACTCGTTTTCTTCAACTCTATTTTCTTGTTGACGTTTCCGATTTTTATTCGGCGTTTCGGGTTTGTCCGTTTTGCCCTTCTTCTTCCCTGGGGTGTTGGGTTGGTTCGGCGTTATCTTCTCGTTATTATTATTTTGCTTAACGGGAGTTTTCGGTTCGGGTGTTTCCGTTCCGCCACGTTTAGGTCTGGCGCGGTTTGTCGTCTGTTCCTTCGCCGCCTTGTTTCTCGTCCGCATTCTCTGTGGGCTCGCATCCGGGCTTTCTAAATCAAAAATAGTACGGAGGTTTATAAATTTTACAGTTACGATGTAAAATATTCTACCTGTAGTTGGTGGTGTGTTTCCAGTTGTAGGTGGTGCTGTAAGAGGTGGCAAATCATTTGTTTTTTTGTAGTGGGCTCTACAGTCCCAACAGAGCAACTGTCTGTCCTTACCGCCTGGTTGCCAATCTTTTGAACCTGCAAAGAATTTGTTACTTTAAACCCACTTTCTAAAGTTGATAATTTTATTGTAATAACCTTTTTAACTTCAAAACTGTTCATTAAATACGACTTACTTGTGGTGAAACAATGAGAGCAACGGTACTGTGCCTCGCGACTGTCACTGTCGTCTTCGCTGTCATTATCGTCCTCAGTTACAGAGCTTGTCTCGCCCGGTTCCTTGCCTGGCTGGGGCGACGGTCTGTTATTTTCAACTTCTGGTGGTGCATTGCGTGCTAAATCCAAAAATTTGTTAGAAATCATGAAATATTGTTCTGTTAGGATAACTATCACAACAATTTCATTTCATTTTTTAACAATTTGACAATTAATATAATGGTTTATTTATTATTATATTTAAAAGGAAAAAACTAAGGAAATTAATTAAAAGCAAATGTAAAAAAACTTTTCAAAATTTAAAAAAATATATTTATTTATGTTCTTAAATAACTAAAAACATGATAGTTATTCTGCAGAATTAGAATAACAAGATAATAATTTCAATTTAAAACACCGTTTCAATTATAATCTAAATTTTGTAACTACTTCTACTGATCTACAAAAATACATAGGATACTGTAATTATGTGAAGTTTTTAGAAAGTGAAATATAAGCAAAACGAGTTGTGATCTATTTCCTAAAAATATCCTATATATCTTACAGGTGGCCTAAAAAATATAACTATATGCAATGCATATTTTAAATTGAAAGAAATTCAAGTTAGTCAACGACAGAAACAGGAGATAATAAAGAATAGTTGTGATCAGAAGTATCTTTTCTTTAAAAAACCCGAACCATACAAAAATGCAGTATTTCTAATGTACTAAATCTACTACTACCTAATCCAACAAGAGATAAAATTGCATGCACATAATTAGAAAATTTAACTTGGCGAAATACTCATATTAATACATTCTATTGACATTAATCCCTTTTTAAATATCCCACCAAATTAAGTTTCCGAAACTACAAAATATCTAAATCATAAAAAGTAGATAACTTGCTAAAATTAATTTTTTTCTTTCACTTGTGAACAGTTACATGTTTATTTTAGAACGGATGGTTTAAATTTCTGTAATATAAAAAAGCATGATCGACATTTTTTTAAATATTTTCAGACATAATAAATTTTTGTTGCAAATCAATATTTATTTTTGTTATTGTTGCGTCACAACACCATTCTAAGCACTATATCGAATCAACACAGGGGTACCTTTTTGTTTCTATTTCAAAGAACCTTCTGATCAAAACGGTTTCCAATTTTTTAGGCCACCACCACCAACACAAACAACTTACCTGCATTAGATGAAGCATTACCTCCTCTACTATTTCGAGTATTCCTAATTCGTCTCAGGGACCCCTGTCTACGCCTACGATGGGGTCTGTTGTTATTCGCACCCGGCGTTTTCTTCCACAAGTAATAAAATTCTACTAACTCAGGCTAAAAACGTCAAAAAAACGACAGTAGAAAAACAATCTATGCACTTCAACAAACTTACCGTATCTCTGTGAGGTAGCAAATCTTTCCTGATTCTGAAAAAGTTCTTGCCGAACTGTCGCAGACCTTTCACGAAACGCTTCGTCTCCTCCTCGCTCCACTTCTTATCGATCCCTTTCGGCACGGGACACTTCACTAGCGCCTGCAGTGCCTTTCCGGGGTCATACCCGGAATCGTGAAGCTAAAAAATTCCCGCCTAGCAATTCACTCAAACAAGTGGCGTGTCCGACTTACCACGTCTAAGGCATTGATTGTGGTGTCGTCCCTAGAGGCGGCATTGGCGCCGTCTTCTGGACATCCTCCGTCGCACATGCCGGCGAAAGCTGCCATAGACCTAGCGGCCCGTAAGTACATCAGAAGGTCCGAATCCAGAGTCATGGCTGGGACCCATCGCAATTCCTCTCTGGTTTTGGTGTGTTCGGGATCAGGCGACAGTTGTTCTGGGGGTACACCTGGACGATATTCAGGTAAACGAGCCTAAAGTGTTTGATATGTTAGCAATGTTTAAATATTTAATGTTTAATTCGTTCAGGGGTTACCACTGTGACTGCTTCCAACTTTGTAATTAAGAAAAAGGTAGTACGACTGAAACTTGTTAGCGCAAAAGTGGTACCCCCTTAATAATTTATAGCTAATTCAAATGAACTACTTAGAAAAAGTATAAAAAAAATAAAGTCTTATACTTAACGATAAAGCAAAATAAATATTAACAACATATTTAAATACTAAATTTAGTGTTCTGTCATAGAAATAATACATTTTGTCCACAACAGTGCCAGTTAAAATATATCGGGTGTTTTGAAAAAAGGTGCCATTAATGCAGGGGTTGATTGATTGAAGTGTTTTTTTTTTAAGTCAAATTTAGGTCATACATTTTGTGAGAGATATAACCAAACTTTGATTTAAAAAAGTCTTTTAATAGCCTCTGAATTTTTTGCACATATTTTCAAAGCCCAATTTTGTCTTAATGAAAGGAAAAACAAATAAACTGATAATTCTTGAATGTGGGGTGAATTATTTTTATAATGCTACTTGTTCATAAATAACAATAAAGTTATTTAAGTAAATCTTTTAAGACCGATCTAAATTATATAAATTTTTAGACGTACTTCAAAGGGATCTAAATGTTGATTCTGACTCGTAAAATATAATATGTAGATTATGATAAGGATTTTGAACTTATACAGAGGTTTAGGATTTTTGATAGTGCAAAGCAGTATTTAAAAAATTCCACGGTGATCGAATTTCACAATTTTTTTAAAATTAAGACAGGTGTGGCAACAGCCATTTTAATGGCACCTTAGAGGAAAACAACTATTTACAATTAATAAGTAGTTTGTACAGTGCATGTCAGATATTTTTTTCAGCCAATCAAGGATTTCATGAATCTAGATATAATTAATAATGGAATAAGTGAAGAGAATGAGGTTTTATTAAAAACGCTAGGCGATAAGTAGTGGAATATTCAATATTAAACTCAGTCAGCATAAAACGGATTTTAAACAAAGCAAATGAAAATATCATTTTGACATAAGTCTATTTGATATTTCCACTAGTAGCAAATGACATACTTTTTTGTAACCACTCTGTGTAACTTGACAAGGAATGTCACATTCTTTGCCAAGGCTGTAAAAAAAACTCATCACCGGTTAGGTATAATATAGTATATTCCATTATTAAACGATGTTAACAAAATTTATTGAATAAAGTAAGGTTAATGTTTATCCAAAGAAAAAAAACGTACTTATTTCAAGTTGCTCTTGACTGCGAAGAAGTTTGTTGGACAAAACAAGCTCCGTAGCATACTTTTTCATCTAATACAAAAAGATATTGCATCGCTGTTGATTTACGCAACTACCACAAAAAGTTATTACCTTATCTGCGATGTTAGATTTACGCCTATCTTATTGCTTTTAAAGTCACATAAAATACTGGCAGTCTTTACGGAATTTAATTATTACTAAACGTTCCGATGATTTCCTGGATATGTAAGGTCTAATAAATTGTGAACATTAAATAATTTATGACGTTATTAATAAATTTACGAGCGAAATAATAAAACCTGACATGACGAAACAGACATAATAGTTCTCTAATTCAAACAAATTGCTAGTAGCTACTTTCATTTCATGTCCAAGGCAAGTGTGATTTCAAAGGAGGTAATTTATAATCTCTGTATATACTGTAATTTATTTCGGCTTGGAGCCACGACCTTCTATTAGAGGACGCCACACAGAATACAAAACGCTGTGAAAAAAAACTATATCTCATCCATAGTTAAAAATGTAATAAATCAAAATTTGCAAATCAGACATGTAGAGGAGCGGCACACTATTTGCATAATTCTTTTTAAATACAAACAATAAAATTTGAATTTTACATGCTAGGTGGTCTACAAAACGTGTTGGCGGCTATGAAAGATAAACTCCCAAATTTTTTAATTGGATATAATTCCACATAGGTCAGAATTTGTCAATATCTCATAATTATCTACAAAGGGTGCTTTTTATATCCATGCCCATTTCAGAAGGTTGTTTCTTGGGACAATGTTGTCTAAAAGGCAAATAAACCAAGGGTTTAAGACCATTACTTTTTTTTAAATACGCAAAATGACCCAATGAAAACCTATAATATGAATCTAGAAAACATCCCGATACATAAAAAATATTCTGAGGTCATGAGGTCATAAAGTAAGTTTGGGAATAGAGTTTAAATATTTTTCTGACTGAAGATTAAGTGATGTTATTTAAGAATACCCTGTATAACTATTTTTAAAGAAGGAGTCAGCAACGTTGTACAATTTATTACAGACTCGTAATAAAAAATTACAAACTGTTATTTAGCCTCGCTCTTTCGTAAGATCAAAAGCTTCTCCAGAAATATTTCTGATAAATCTCAGCTCTCATCGCCTCCATTTCGGTGTATACACGAGTGGTTATGAACACAAATTTACACATAATAAATTCCACTCGGAAACTGAAATATTGAGCTGTTAGAATCGAGACAGGCCATTCGACAATAAAATATTATATCAATAAATTTTCAGGTTATTAATTCGACCTTATGTGACTTCCTGTTTGTAGGCCACGGCTTTGAATTATTAATGCTCGCCGAGTTTTATGTAAGGTGAATGTGAAACGCCACAATCTGTAGATGACAAATTGTGATAAGTCAAAATCACATAGTAAATGTAATGGGAGTGTCAGTTTGTTGGCTCAAATCCATCTTTTAAATACGCCGCAGGAGATAAATTACCACGTCTCGGATACAAGTCGGCAGTTTTGCAACGGTAATTTATGGCTGTATTGTTTATTGCTAGAAATCTGCAGCGACAAGAAATTTGTGTACCAGTACACAAGGAATTTTAAGGAATGAACGGTAGTTCTATCTATGGATATTGCAAATCCATTGCCTACTTCTATGATTTATGGGACTAATATGTCATAAAGAAAAGATTTATATCTCGAACGATAAAAGGTAAATAAAATATAAAATGTAATTGTCATTATATTTACTCACTTCGTTTGAAGTATTTAGAGGTAATTATTTTTGAGATGTTTGCACTTCTTTCCTTTTAATTTGTTGATAAAATTTTAACGTCCTGTCCATTTCGACACTCTTGGTTGAATACAAGATTTAATACTCAAGTTTAAATTTTGCACAAAATTTTTCTTTTTTTACACGTAAATTTATAATGGTTGGTTTATAAAAAAGTATTAGTCCTAACTTAGTCTTAGTCTTAGCCTTAATCTTAGTCCTAAAAAGTTAAATGTACAGAATGTAATGTATCGGTTTATAAAAATCCCTAGTCGTAAGGAGGTCTTAAGACATGACCTTGAAAGTTCGCATCTTTTAATTTTTCTAGGATTAAGACTAAGATCTGAGAAGTGCGCATGCACAAGTATTGCATTTCGTAGCATAGTGGCCTCCTGTCTTTGTCTATGGTGGTCGCCAATACGCCATTACCATAGTAATAGGTTATATTTTTCTTTTCACTCACCAACAAAACAAATAAAATAACATTACCACAGAATAATAAACAAGTATTATGCTGTGATATTACTAGCCATGCGCGTAGTCGAATCGCTCATTGGTTAATCTTAATAAAATTAGGACCACACATTGTTTTTATAAACGTGTACCTATTCTTAGGACTAATACTAAGATTAGTGTAAAGGTTAATACTAAGACTAAGACTAAGTTAGGACTAATACTTTTTTATAAACCAACCAT